GTCCACTGACATCCGCCGACATCCACCAACACACTTGACAATACTTGCCCACATCATCTAACCCTCCACGCCACGCACCGACGTGATACTTCCGCGGACCCTCACCATCGCGGCACCCCGCACATGCAGTACTATTGTCTCTGCAGTCTGTCCTCAAAAACGTGACGTGTCAACACGTATGATATCACGGTCCACCCCATCCACTTCATCCACTTCGGGGTTGCATCTCGAACTCGGGTCAAGCTGTATTACACTACGCTCAATTCGTTTTTGAAGAAGCGGCGTAGCTCAGTATGGCACGTGGCATTTATGACGCTGTTTCGAAGACGTGGTGGATATTGCTTTTGACGGTTTCGTACGGTGGGTAGACGTGAGACTGTGCCTGTGCGTAGGCGTATGACGTGCGTGGATGAGACTTAGAAGTAACTGCCGGGAGAAGCAAGCCATGGAGAAGTAGTCTTGTCCTTTTCAGAAGAATAAAGATAAGATAGGGTGGAGGAAGCATTGACATGAAGATTCGCAGATCCGATTTTTACGGTTATGTCGGCTCGATGCTGCTCTTGATAAATCACCAGGAATCTCTCGACCGGCCTCTCATAGCCAGTTGATGGATCACTCTTGACAGCCGATGAAGCTATCCTGCGGGAAGACGGCAGACGAGACATGCGCCGAATTCAAATAGGTTTTGATCCCGGCAGAACAGCTCCGACATGAAATCGTTGTGCTTGTATTTTGGGAAATATCGCCAATGGATGGTAGCAAGAAGGGAAGTGTCTACAATCGTGGAAAGCAAGTTTTATAGTCCCATTCTAGAGCACCAACAGTCTCGCGACGCAGACTTGCAGTCGTCCATACTATCTTTCGAAGACGAGCGCGGGAAATTGCATCGCGGAGGTCATCAGGGCTTTTGTTTGAGTTTTGGAAAACGCGACTCGCTCGACACATTGGTCGATCGGCATCAAATTTTGCAAAAAACCAGAGAAAATGATCTTGTGAACTCGACCTTTTGGTGGAAACATGAATGAAGTATTGAAAGGAATGGAGAAGGAAGTAGTGAACAATAGTTCTATTTATGCATTCTCCGAGCCCTGGAGGAGTGCTGTAGGGCTTTTGAAGCACATGTCCACTTCCAAAACATGTTAAACATCCACACTGTCTTTGATGGGACCTGATTGCAGGCCATAAAGGCGCTCCAGGTATTTTTGTACGTCCGACGAGCGACGCAAACATGCAGCCTACGAACAGTGCTTTCGGTACCGTCAGCGAACATATCCCCACCAATCTTGTATCTTTGGGGTATCTGAGAGTAACACATGCTGCGCAGGACAGTTGTAACGTGATATTGCTCGTCTTTCGTCGTTTTGAAAATATGGCAAGGTTGGGATTGGTTTTGAGCCACACCCATAACGATAGTAGGTCATGTTATGTGGAAAGTGAACGGTGATTTTGTGTTTGCCGACCAGGAAGGGAGCTCGTCGGGGGATGAGTTTTGTCTTTTGGGAGAAGACAGAACCATAGCCACTGGATGAAGTCGTTTTGGCAAAGTGCACAACAAGTGTGGGGATGAAGAGAGGAAGGAGGAAGATCTAGAGGTAGACTTTATACCCGCGAATCCAAGGCGCATGTAATAGTGTGACTGTCGTTTCAGAGGGCGGAGCGGTATGCGCGGAGTCTGGCCTCGAGATAACAGCATGATTGTACGGCCTCTGCCTTTTGGACAATTTCTGGAATTCATTTGACCATGAAAGGTACAAGACAAGAGCCTTGAGCGTGAGTTTAAGCACACTGCCGACACAGATCATGGTTCTGCTGGTTGAGGTCTTTTGGAAGGAAAAGGCCATTTTCCCATAATATCAATGTTTGAAAGTATACCCGCGACATTCTAGTCCATAGAGCGTGTTGCATTTGGTCATGGAGGACTAAGCGGTATGGGAGGAGTCTGACTTTCCGAGAACAACATTAATACACCCTGTAATGTTTTCGATAAGATCTGAAATTTATTTGAAGATGAGAAACTGTAGAAGCCGGGTATGGGCGTTAATTTTGAACCCACTGCCGCCGCAGAACATGACCATCTAAGCTACTGCTTTCTGGAAAGACCAAATCATGCCCAAAGTCGGGGCTGATTTTGAAAGCCGACGGACTCCATGTCATGATCTGCGATCGGTTTTTGGAAGGGTTTCCGATGTAGGAAGAAGGATGGAGAGCGACAGCTGAGACCGTTCCTTGGGGCTTTTATTCTCGCAACGCCGGGCCAGGACATATGTCTTGAAGCCTTGTGTTTCGGGAAGAAGGACCATACCGGTGTAGGTAACTAGTTTAAGTTACTGCATGGCGTGGTTGATCTGAAGATTATCGGTTGTTCGGAGGTGTCGCATGATTATAGCCATAAGATGTTATCAACTGTGAGTACAGCTTTTCCGAGGAACGACCGCATAACTTGCTGTCGTCGCGTTTTTGGAAGGGACGAACTCCACAACTTTTGTGAAGCTGTCTTTTGAACGCCAGAATGGAAGGAAAGATGGAGAGTAGAGACCGGGTCGATACAGACGGGTTTTATACCTGCAGTGCCGGATCAGAGTATGTAGCTGAACGGTCGAGCTTTTGGAAAGGAAGGCCATGATATTGTATCCCCATAGTTTGCAGAAGTCCAGAGGCCATGAGTCTTGCTCTTTGGGATTTGCGGAGCACACACTATAGTGGCAGTAACAACGTCCAAGGAAGAAGAACGAGAAGTGTGAGATATCTTCGTGGTGCCGACGCCGACCATCCGGAGTATATCTGAGCTTTTAGACAGCTTCATTCTAGGCTCATCCAAGAATTTCGAGAGAACAGCACAGATCATCTCAGCGTCCCCGAAAGTCTTTGGATAAATCGAACGTGGGGCTGAATAACAAAGATCCAGTTGCTTCCAAGTAGATGAGATATTGGTAGCGCGGAAGAAGTCATCTGTCTCGCCCTGGCGGCTTTAAGAGAGGGCACGACAAAGATAGTCTTACTTTTGAAGTGTGAAGTCTTTTTCGGAGAAAGCAGCCATGACGGCATCGTCATCTGATTCAGAGGATGAGAAGCGGCCATGAACGCTCTGAGTTCTTGTTTTGGAAGGACAGAACAATAGAGGAAAGAATGTCGAGGAGAAGGAGTCGGAGGCGTACGGCATGCCCAAGATACCGACATTTTGGAAATGCGCTCAATAGATGTGAGGATAAGGAGTAAAAGCCAATAGAAGTGCGAGAGGAGCTTGTATACACGCCACCTCCCACGCGCGATCGCATGAGAAAGCTCAGCGAAAGTTTTGGTACAGCATAATGTTGTCATCTACGACCTTTGGTGCTCCATGACGAATTGGATTTGTCGTTTGGACGAGGCGCAACATGTCGTCATTGTCTTCAAATATTGGAGAAAGAGAAGCCAGGTAGACCATGATATGGGCGGATTGTCCTTTTGAGAAGGAAAGTTGTCGAGGATGATGGAGGAAAGATTGTCGACCAGCGGGAGGTTTATATAGAAGCCAGAGGTCGTCCAGCAGTATCACCCATTTCGACTATGGTTTCTTGTCGAAGGTGAGCAGCGAAGAGTCGCATACAGTACTGTACGGATGTTTTTGAGTGATGTTTTCGAAGAGGACACAGCCATGATCGCTTGATGCAGTGTCTTTTGGAAGAGGAGGAGCAAATCATGTGGAAGCGACGAAGTATTTTGAACAATAACCCCAGAAAGTGGGAGACAACAAGTAGGGAGCGAGACACCGGAAGAAGCATTAAATACTCCACCAGCGCTGTTGCACACCAGTATGAAGAAGTCGCCAAATTGCTTACATGCTGGGAAGTGTTGTTGCATTTAACGCCTTTCCTCGACGTAATGCGACGGTGAAGCAGACAATCCATGCGGCTTAGTTGATCGCTTTTTCGTTCTCCGGCCCACACTTCTCATGCTCACTCTAGAACTCTCTTTTCAGAAAAAGAACAGCACATAGCTAGCTCCTAGCCTTGTCTTGGAAACAGGTAGAGTACTGGAGAAGTACTCGATTCTGACTGCAATTTATACCCCAGCGGATGGCGCACAGTTACAAGAACACGTTGCCCAGCTCTTTCGAAGGTTTACGGCCAGATTAGGAGTTGAACCAGAAGAAGCAGCATGAGTAGTCCTTCTGTAGAATTTGGACCGGAGCGAAGGTGGGAAGACATCGACTGTTTGGTCGATCCTTTTTTGACTGTCGACATCACAATGTCCATCTTTTCTTTGAAAGAGACGCAGGCACAAGCTCCATGATACTTGAACTTCTCTATTTTGTTTCCGACAGGTCTTTTTGTGAAAGATCGGTGGAAGGAAGAGAGGTCGAGTCGAGCCGTAGGGTTTATATGTCCAGTATTTGCAGCACACGGGCGGCGGAGACATGACCGGCTAGACCAATGTTTTGAGGCCACAGCGCACAGCTCTCGGATCATACCGAGATGCTGCTCTATAACTTGGAAAGAAAAAAGAGGGAGGCACTCTCCATGAGAACATATTCCTTCATTTTCCAGAGACCGCAAGCGTGTAAAGCGTAATCTTTCTTATTCCTGGTAATTTGCACATACTGCATGTAAGTTTTCGATTCGGGAAGGCGGAAACCATATACGTTCTTCGAAGTGCATTTTTGTAAAGAGGATTCTGGGTGTAAGGTAAGGAGACAGGAAGGTGACAGCTCAATGGAGGCTTTTATATGTCGAGAGCGCGTTGTAGGTTGGGATGGCGAGAAAGCTGGGAGGCCATGTCTTGCTCCGGACTGTATCTTGAGAGAGGCCAGACAGATACAACGGCATGGCGCAGCCTTCGAACATTCTGTGGTATCGGCAGACGAAGGAGGGAACATATGAATTTTGCATATCCTTTTTGGCGACTCGCACATACCATCGATGGTTTGGTGTTTTGGAGAAGGAGGCAGGCGTCATGGGATGTCCACACAGTATTTTTGGAGAAAAGAATTTGAATGTGGAAGTTTGAATGAACAGAAGAGAGGAGGCCAAAGGGCAGTTTTTATACTCACAAGCTACCTGTGCACATCCAGCTGGCACGTGTTCAACGGCATATCCATCTACGAATCGTAACCTAGCGTATTCAAACAGCGCCATACCATGCCATCTTCCCCCAACACCACCCATCGAAGTAGCCCACATCTCTCCTAATCCAACATCCTCCTCTCCACCCGGCCAATCCTAGGAGGCGTCTCATCCATCCTCGCGCCCCGCTGTTCCTCCTCTCCGTAGCGCGCGTTCACATTCTCTTCTTCCCTCCTCATCAAGGACCTATCTCCATCGTTCTCTTGATCGCGCTGCTCTGGAGGTATGCGCCTATGCGTACGGGCTCGAAGAAGCGGCGAGCGCGAGCGTCTACTAGTCGTGCCACTGCCTTGGTCTAGGGCAAGAGCTGTGAGAGGGCTGTCGCGGGTTGAGTGGAGGTGGCGGGCGCCTGGAAGGGGGCGGTAGGGTTGAGTGGGTGCACGTTGAGCATAGTCGCGGGGCTGATTGGATCTATCGTAAGGAACCGTCGTCTGCGGCAAGCTACGTCGAGATGTGTTGATAGCAGTCTCGACTTGCATTGACCGCGGGTTATGCAAACGCTCAAATGCTGCCCTCTGCGCCTGCACTCTGCCGTGATGCGCAATCAGATCTCGACTTGTTGATTGCGAGACGGGGTCGTTCTCACCGGACCGGTGATCACCTCTTCCACCTCTTACACCAAATTGCGAGCTCTGCATCGTGGCAGTACGTTCGGATGGGTACTGCAGAGGTTGCAGTGACTGTTGCGGAGGCAGATGGTGGTACGGCATTCTGGGATTATTTGGGAATTGAGGCGGGGGACGTGGCTGGCTACCCTGCCCATGGCTCGAACGACGGCTCTGGAAACTTTCCGCATGGGACTGAGAAGGAAAGCGCTGATTCAGAATAGCTTGCTGGCGAAGAGCATGCTGTTGAAGAGCCTCCTCTCGAGCAGCTTGAGCTTGTAGCTGTTGCTGATAGTGCTGCGCATAAGGATCAAGAGGCGACTCGAGATCTCCTACGACTGCTGTAGTGGCGTCAATGTAGGCACCTGTGTAGCTGTGGGGCACCGGTTGACCAGCCTCGATGCGATTATAAGGCATTGAAGGCAGCGGCGAGAGCCCGTGGGGACCAGAGCCAGCCCTGCTTGACGAGGAGTAAGCCGAGCTACCTGAAGATGGACGCAGTTGTGCAACGAATGGGTTTCCAGGCGTGTAGAGGCGATGGCTTTCGTTCGAGACCGCCGCTCCATCAGGCCGAACCCGGGATAAGTCACGTCCCAATGATGCCTCGCTGCTGGGGAACCTCGTACTAGAGGCAAGTGAGCCGTAATAAGAAAACTTCGCACTAGCAGCTGAAGCGTCGCTACTAAAGTGCCTTGACCTTGGGTCTGCTTGATCTGGCTGGAGCGAGCCACCAGAAGTATAAAACATATCTGACGCAGTGGGATGGTAGTCTTCCCCATGAGTTACAGTGGAAGTCCTAGCAAATTGTCTGGCTGGGGGCTCGGCCGCTGGTAATGTGCGGAAGACGTCTTCAAACAATTGGTCAGGTTGGGCTTGGGCTTGACTTGCGACACGGGATCCCATGGCGGCCCCTGTAGAGGAGCTTCGCGTGGCGGAAGGCTGACGATCGCTACCTCGCCGTGGTTCACTGTGCGGTGCCAAACTCCAGAAACGATACTTGTCGCTTTCCCGGACATGATACGTAGTACTATTCGGGGTATCATGGATGTAGCCTTCGAGATAGAGTGTAGGATTTTGTACGCGCGGGCTGACTGGCGACTTGGTAGGGTCCCCTGATGGCTGTTGGTATGCAGGCGAACTAAGTCTCTGCATCTGGTGTAGGGGTGACGGAGCGTGAGGCGCATCTTGAACAATGTCGCGCACGCGATCGCCGCCTCCTCGTAATCCAGAAGTGCTTTCGGTAGACCCACCAGATGGAGATAACGTGGAGTTGTTGCTGGTATCACCTATGCTGCTTGTACCAGTCGAGCCCAGTCTGGCATGTCCGAGTGGTGCTCTTGTTGGCGTACGCGATACTGCCACAACTGCATCGGGCAGGGATTGAGTAGTGGAAGTTCGACGGCTCCGTCCGAATCGGAAAGGGAGATGCATTGTTCGGCGAGGTGGGGATACTGGAGAGGGCAGTGACCATGTGGGCGATGCTGGAGACTGCAGTGGCTCAGTTTCTCTCTCGTGACTGGACGAAGTAGTTCCCTCGGTATCGTCACGATCTGTTGACAGCATCGCTTCCTGACTGGAGGTATGCTCTGTCTCCTCCTCCTCTTCCACAGAAGAGAATGTTGCTTGTTGGGGCTGCAGTATGGGAATAGACCCCAGGGCAGTAATAGCATCCCGAGTCGATCTCTGAGCGCCACGTCTGAGTATGGGCCGTCCTGGTTGTTTTGTAGGGCGGGAAGGGAGGTTAGGAGTCGCTCTGGAGGTTTGCCTGATGGCTATGCGACGAAAGGTCTCCTCGACATCATCGGGCGTCAAGGTAAGTTCTGACGGTCTGAGACGTAACATGTTTACCAACTGTGAAGCGAAGGACGAGGGGAAGAACGCTGAAGGGATATGGGGTCCAAGAGACGGGTGTGCAGATGAGGTGCCTGCAACGGCCAGTATACAAAGAAGCCTACCTACCTGGAGCCATGGTGGTTTCCGATTCTAACTCTTACTATCATCTGGGAAGCTTCATTGCAGTAGCAGTGGAGGTAACGACGCGCATAGCAGCGCCTTCCAGTCCGACATGATGGACGTCAATACACTTTACGCGTTGACTGCCGTGAAGATGCATCGCTACCAGTCTTGAGACTGGTGATGTAAGTGAAGCCACGAGGTGGACGTCATGTGGTGCATGAAGGACTAGGGTGAGTCATGGCTGCGTGAATTGCTACGTGTGTCTAAGGTCTCTCAGGAGACGCGTTCTGTCGTGATGTTACTTGGGTGGTGTGGTGATCAGTGGTGTAGTTGATATCGCGTCGTGTCGAGTCGTAGTCCGCGTCGGTGGGTCGGGGGTTCGTCAGCGAGTCGCCGAGCATGGCATCACCAACGGTGGCAGCGGAGCATCATCACGGGCGCCCTGTATCGCATCCTCACCGCGAGGCCATAGTTGTTTTCTGCCCACTGCCCTGGCCGCTGGGCCCCTGCCATGCCTCCGCTGCACGCTCGTATTCCGCACGCTAATCGAGGCTACTTTGACGCGCCGCGGGTGGTGCCTGAGCTACTGCTCCCTCACTCGCTCTTCTCGTTTACCGCCGTTGCCAGACAAGGCGCTGCCCCGTGGCCGCCACGATGAATGGCGATCTGAGTCTGTCGCAGACGCTCGGCGGACTGCGCATCGCCAACCCCGACGAGGACGACTCGCCGCCGCCTACGCAGCACGCCGACGCGCCCGACCACGAGCATGCCGTCGCCCAACACCCGCAACAGGACCCCACGTATTCCCACTCGTACATAGAAGAGGAGCCCCCGAACAACTCGCTCCAGCCTACCGCCAATGCCTACCAGAGCTCCCCCTCGGGCTCCCCGGCCGGCTTCCCGTCCCCCCTGGCCGAGACGTCGTCGACGCACTCGCACTCGCCGCGCCTCTCCCACCGCCAGTCGATGCCCCTACAACACCAGGCCCAGCACCAGCAGCCCGCGTATCCCCCGTATGCCGCTGGCCCACTGCTCCAGCAGCAGCGCAGCGCCGCCCCGACGTCGCAGCCCATGCGAGAGCGCCCCGTCTCGACCAGCATGTACCAGCACCCCAACCTGTCCACCTCATCCACCACCGCCCCGGGCACCTACAGATACAATGACGACGCAATGGCTGGCGATATCCGGCGGACAGCCAGCTCTCGGGTTGCGCCTGGAGCCATGCCCGTCCGAGAGGCCAGCAGGAGAGACCCATACCGCCAGTCAGCCCAGATGAACGCCATGAACGGCCCCATGCCACCCCGGAGAAGCTCGCGACGGATACCCATGGATGGCGGAGTCTCACAGCTATCGAGTTCGCCCTACAGCGTGGAAGGCGGGCCACTATCGAGCAGTGAGGAATGGAAGGAGAAAGGCGCGGCTGTGAGCACCCGCCAGGACCTCGACCAGAACGGACGGCCGATCACGCGTGTTGTGAAGAAGGGCGTCAAGGACTTCAACTTTGGCAGAACACTCGGCGAGGGCTCCTACAGCACAGTATTGGCCGCCACGGACCGCCAGACATTGCGTGAGTACGCGATCAAGGTGCTCGACAAGCGCCACATCATCAAGGAGAAGAAGGTCAAATACGTAAACATCGAAAAAGACACCCTAAACCGGCTGACGGAACATCCCGGCATAGTCCGACTCTACTACACCTTCCAGGACGAGCGATCGCTATACTTTGTGCTGGACCTGGCAGCGGGCGGAGAGCTACTGGGCTTTCTCAAAAAGATGGGCACATTCGACGTCGAGTGCACACGATTCTACGGCGCGCAAATACTCGACTCCATCGACTACATGCACAACAAGGGCGTCATACATCGGGACTTGAAACCTGAGAACGTCCTGCTAGACGATGCGATGCACGTCAAGATTACTGATTTTGGAACAGCAAAAATACTCGAGCAGAAGCATAACGGCGTTAGCTCAACAACGGGCGATCCGCTGGAAAGCGTGCAAATGGACCGCGCGCAGTCCTTCGTCGGAACAGCCGAATACGTCTCGCCCGAACTCCTCACAGATAAGAACGCATGCAAAGCTAGTGACCTGTGGGCCTTTGGATGCATCATCTACCAATTACTCGCCGGACGACCACCCTTCAAGGCTGCGAACGAGTACATGACCTTCCAGAAGATTGTTGGTCTAGAATACACATTTCCAGATGGCTTCCCTCCGCTGGCAAAGGACCTGGTGGAGCGACTGTTGGTGCTGGATCCGTTGACGCGGTTACCCATGGAGCACATCAAGAACCACCCCTTCTTTGAAGGAATACAATGGGGCAAGGGCCTGTGGAAACAGAAGGCTCCGCGGTTGAAGGCCTACAGTCCGCCGGCACAGGAGCCCATCAAGCTGAATGGTAGGAACCCCGCCACTGCCCAAGAAACGCCAATAACACGTCCAGGCCCATCCGCTCCATCAGTAGCGGCATCCACCCAAACCCAGGCACGACCGAAGCCGCGCCTCATCACCGAACTACCCCCTCCCTCCCAACTAGACATCGATTGGTCACCGGTCCTCACGAAGCGAGACGAGCGGATATTGAAATTGGGAAACATGTTTGTGACGCAACACCCGGCGGGTCATGTTGTAGGCGGAAAGGAGGAGCCTGTTGAGCAACCCAAGAAGTTCTCGCGCTTCTTCGGTGGCAACACGGTCAAGAAGCGCCAACGGCTCGTCATGATAACGTCCAATGCACGCGTACTGATGTGCGCAGCAGGCACGAATGACAAGAAGTTGAAGGAAGAGGTATCGCTGCTCTCCGCAGGCTGCGCGTGGAGATCATTCCAGGACTCCAAGGGCCTTACTGCTTGGCTCGTAGAAACAGTACGTCAACCCTACCCCCCAACCCAACCACCACTAACACCTCCGCAGAAAGAGAAGCAATACGTCTTCGAAGACCCCAAGAGTACCACGAGCGACCCCGACGGCAGCAAGTACTCGAGCCAAGAATGGCTCGACAGCATTGAACAAGCGCGCGACTACGCCTTTGCGCAAACCATGACCAACTCGTACTCAGCCGACGTAGGTTTGAACGAGCTCGTCTCAAATCACACCACCCCGACCAGTACGTTGGGAGGAGACTCCGCCCTCGAGGGCGTCAACATACCCGCCTCGCGGCATGGCGGCCACCTTCGCAAAGATCAAGCCGAGACTGACTCGATGAAGGGCAGGAAGCGCTTTAGCAAACGTCATTCCAAGAACGGTTTGGCCAACTTTTGAGAGAGAGAGAGAGAAACAGTGTCACATGAGTAACGTAACGGTTTACTATGGGTACTATCTCTCAAATGCCAAATCCCGCGATTACGCATCTCTCACTATCATCCCGCCAACTGCTATTATCCGCGACCAAAGTGCTGCTCATCTATCCAGCGTACGGCGTTTTAGGCGTCTTGCTTTCCCTTTGTGCTCAACTACCCAGTCCACATACCAATCATTAAATCTCCTTTGTTACTCGAGAAACTCATCAGGTACGGCATCCCACAGAAGAATCTATCAACAAGCGATACTCGCTGGCTCAGACTATATTGGCATTTAGCGGCTGAGGCTTGGGCAGCAAGCAGAGGACCTTTCGTACATCAAAGAAGTAGCCGAATGCGCGGCACGGGTCTCCGCTATATGGGGGGTGATTGTTCCTTTTACTACTACATTTACCACTATTCTTCTTCTTCTTTTTCTTCTTCTCGATTGTGTATAGGGTTCAGCTTAGGAGACTGACGCGTTAGATTGGGCATAGTATTTGTCGGCGTCGCAAACTTTTTCGCGTGTGTGTATTTATTGATCGTTTGAGAGAAAGCGGAGGCAGGAGGGCAAGAAGGGGAGTGCAGTGGTGGAAAGGAGAAGGAGTGGGGAAATCAGATTGGCCATTTAAGTTGGCGTGGTAAGGGATCAAATTTAGTGCTTTTTAATGCAAGAATTGCTGGTTGTTGACCAGTTGTCTTTGCATACGTTTTGAGATTGTTTGGTTGTGAAGCGATCCAGAATAGCTTGATATGTCACTGTACGTTGGGTATTGATAATGTTGAAATCAGTAGATATCTTCACCGACCTTATTCACTAAGAAATCAGATAGAAGTACGTGTCTTGATATATACGTTCTCGATGCTAGCCCTCCTCCTGATAGATAAACTACACTCATAAAATATAAACGCAGAAAAGAAATATGCATGCCTCGCACATATCATCAACCAGCCAACCGGCGGCGTGTATCAGTAACAGTTTAAAAAAAACGGAAATCGCTAATGCAAATGCAACTCATCTATCCATCCATCCCCCGTCCTCTCCCTTCATCCATCGTAATAACAACATCTACCACCCATCCCCAAAAATCTCCTTCGGACTCTGCACCAGCTCCTCCTCAACCCGAGGCCTCCTACTCCCATACTTCCTCCCCTCCTTCTTCTCCATCTTGCGCTCCTTCCTCGTCGTCAAATGCGGCGTCACAGGCGTGATGGGTGTGAATGGCATGTACGGACTGTATGGCGTGAACGGGACACCTGTTTTAGGTGTACCAAGTGCGAGGGCCTCGACGCGGCGGTCTAGAACGGTGGTTTGGATGCCTGGGCTTGCGAGGGGAGAGGCGAAACTGCGGAGGGGGAGAGAGGCTGTTTGGGAGATGGGTTTGGGGGGTTGTTGGCGGGGGGAGGGTTGGGATGTCGGCGGTGGGCCGAGGCGTTGGGGTGCGGGTCGCGGGAGGGGCTGTACGCTGTCTAGTGCTTCTTCTATATATTGCTCCGGCGATGTTGGCGAGTTCGTCTGTGTAGGTGGCGAAGGGGGGACACCGGGGTTTGCGTAGAAGCGCGGAGAGAGGGGCGTGCGTGCTTCGTCGTCGGAGTCTGCGCCTGGGTATTTCGCTATCGGGCCTGAGATACGCAGGTTCTTCAAGTTGAAGCGCGCATTTTTGCTTCCGGTGGAGTTTGTGTTGGAGTTTTGGGAGCGCTTCGATAGGATACTGCGGGGGCTTGGGGGTGGGTGGGCGTCTGCGCGGAGGTGAGCGTTGTGAGTGGATGCGCTGGGTTGTTGGACGCTGTAGTTTGGTGGGTAGATGGCTTTTACGGGCGAGATTGGGGTTTCGGTGTGTGATTCCGGGCGCGCGATGCTGATGTTTGAGGGTCGTCGGCGCTCGGTGGGTCGTGGGATGGGCTCTGTTTCTTCTACACTGACTTTGGACGAGTGCTTTCGTTCGTCGAAATCCATGACGGCGGCGTAGAGACGCTCCATATCTGCTTGTGCTTGATCCCGGTGGGCATCAACAACCTTTTGGTCGAACGAACTTGGTGACTGAACAACAGGACTCTGTGGGTTGCTAACAGCAGAGTCGTTCCTGTTTCTCTTGAACTTCCCGAAAAACGACCGCGCGGATAGCGGTGGCGATGTGAGTCCAGCTGTTCGGATAGCCGGTACAGTCGGTTTGTCCTGGAGTTCCAGCTCCAATTGCTTGGGCGGGTCGAGAGCCTTTCGTCTCATCTTTCTACCAACGGTGAGGAGAAGAACCCCCCAGATAAGTACTGTAAAGACGTAGCCGCCAACAACACCGCAAATCTCGTACGGCAGAACGTTCTTGTCTCGGACAGCGTGATATGAAGCAGGAGGCCCCTCGTCAGCCGCCGGCGTGGGGTCGCGATAATTATCGAGAAAGTCGTAAGGCGCAGCAGAAACACGCGATGCAACAAGAAGCAGTGAGATGAGTGCCGGAGGAAGCGCTCCGACGAGCATCGTAATCCGCGCCCTCAGTCAAGGGGGGACTGGAAATATATAATGAGAGAGGAATAATGTGACAATCAGAGGGGCGGTCTATCTTTCGAGCTGCTGCTGCTGCTTCGTCCAGGGTGCAATGTCGATCTAGGGCCGCAATTGCACATGAATGAGTGCCCGCTATCCCGACTGAGAGGAACCGGGTGAAATGCAGAGTGTAACAGCAGGCGACATGGTGATATGAAGAGGGATGGGCAGCGGGTAAGTACTTTGATCGGCGGTCTGCAAGTGGTCGGATGCAAGGAAAGAGCGACTGGGTGTGATGGCTTGGGAAGGTGCATGCGCGGTCTGATTGGTCGGCCTAGTTCTTGAGCTACATTGGGGCGTCCAGTGGATGAAGTCTCTCAGCCGCTGAGGCGGGGTCGCTTCGTTCAAGCTAGAGCGAAATGGGATCAGCCGATGATAAATCTCGACATTCGAGGCTTGAGCTATGAGCATGAAGTCTACTCGGTGATACGCGCAACTGTTGTACTGTGCAATTGTTGCCGTTGTGGTAAGAACAACCTCGAGAAACATGTTTACCCGTGCCGCAACGCTCGAGCACAGTACTCGAGACTACCAACCTCCCGGACATGCGCGATCGCCTGCCAGCTCGGGGCACAGTCAACGGGAGACGGTCCGCATGCATGAAAGGCTGCCCCTGCACGCCAGAGAATGCGCACCTATTGCGCCATTTCTATTGGCTGGACAAATCTATTCTAAGCGCCCAGATATGCAAGAGTATGCGAATCAGCGCACAGTCACACCATCACACTAGCAATCACGAGCCATCACAGAGCCACTATACTGGCGACTTGAAGTAGATAATCCGGCATCTGACCCTGTGAATGGCGAGTCGGACATGTAAATTCTACGCGGCCTCGTGGCTTAATGCAACGAAAGTCACAGACTAGGCTTGCAGCAAGGACCGATTAATAGCCCGCATCACCCCCCGATGCTGTGACAGCCGTTCGCATTGGCCGTACTCCTCTTTCGTTCACGATTCATGCAACACTTTCGGCACTTTGGTATGCCTTACAGACAGGCGCTGGTGGAGGGATAACGTGGCTTTATTATAGCCTCGACTGACTGCGAGTCGTCATCACTATCACTACCTAAGGAAGCATCGTACCGATGCTGGATTAGCGAATGCTAGCAAACATATCTGCCCAGGAGAGGCTATGGGAGCTTACCCTGCCGGGACTGAGCACCGAGGTGGTGTACAATACGCAGTTTGGAGTGAGGTGGGAGGCATCACTTGCCCTCTGCCTTGGCCGTGAGGGTGGCGTCCAGACCGGTAGGCTCCCAGAGACTCTTGTCTTTCTTGTTTTGTACCCACAGAATATCGCCTTTGAGATACGCCACTGCGCCTCCGCGTCCCGTTGCGCTCGCTGTGACACGGAACAGCGGCAGACCGGTCTGGTCGTGGGCTTCGCGGAGGGGGATTAGAAGGAGGTTCTCTTCGGCGCAGAACTCCTCTACAATGTCTTTGAAAGTCGGCTCGTCGACTTGCGGTGTAGGACGGGATGCTTGTTGATTGACGGACTTGGAGAACTGGGACACTTCTGGCGAAGCTCCCGTGCTTTCAACCTGAGGCGCGGGCAGATCTGTCAGTCTCGCATCGCCAAGATCCAATGCCGTATTGATGAGTGAGTATGCCTCGTTCCATGACGAAGCGACTGATGGCAGATTGTTGATGTCGTCCTGCAAGATCTCAGTCCTCCACCAGGTAAGCCACGTTTGTACTTCCTCAAAGACCACTTCCGGGCTCGTGAGCCACTGATGGATGATCTCGAGAAACTTGGGGAAGAACTGTGCTTTCAGAAGCTCTCCAATAACCTCGTTCGATATCAGTCCTTTCCAGGCGAATACAGCCTCGAGTGGCGCAAGATCTTGTTCGGCGGGGTTGATCTCAAAGCTGTCTCGTAGGAAGGCGGACAAACGAGGTACCAGATGGGAAGTGAGTAGATGATCAAACTCCGCCTTTCCAAAGACCCTTCTCCACTGTTCCATCCCTGGCAATGGACCTTTGGAAAGATCGATAGACTGCAGTGCATGGCGGATCTTGCGCTTGATCTCGGCGACCAGGCCTGATCCCTTGGGGTCCAAGTCCGCTGGCCTAAGGAAAGGTAGCCACTCGACGATCCATGTATGTGGGCTCTTCTTGAACTTTCGCGGGTTCCACTCGTGGACAGAAGTGGAGAGTTTTGTAGTCACCTGTTTAAGCACCCTCTTCGCGATGAAGGGTGGGAGAACTGGCTTCCAAACTTCTAGCAGGTGCACCATGGGCTGTGGGTTCTTGACGTCCCATTGTGTTATAGCTGAGCTTACTCTAGGTAGCCAGTATTTGAGCATCATGGTCTCATATGACGATGTGGTGCCGCGTTTTATCGTGTCTTCTTCGTCGATTGCGGTGCGACTGACCAATGCTTCGGAAGGGTGGGTGTAGGCCTGGGATGCAACCCTCCTACTTCGGGGCTGTATGATATTCGCCATTTCAGAGAAGGCTGCCGCCACGCCCTCCAGCGCACCCTCGAGCGGCTCCCAGGAAGCAATCGCTTTGGAGAAGTGGGGATGTATGACGGCAATGGATTCACGGTGTAGTGGCTTGGACGGGTAGGCCGCGCGCAGGCTCTTGAGACCTTCGCAGACAACGTCAAAGGTACCTGTACGTAGTGACTCAATCCGCGCTTGTAGGTCCTCGAGCTCGTCCATCTGCTTTTCGAGCGCTTCCAATTCTCTCTGCAGCGCGTATTCCTGAGGGGGAATGGCTTGCGACTCAACCTGCAGCTGTTCGAATGCCTCTGAGAAGCTATTCAAATCTTGACGTACGCGCGCTTGTAAGGAGTTCTCGAACGGGACAATGTCAGGACCGCGGAGTGACATGCCTGAAGTAGGGGTAGACGCGCCGGTTGTCGCATCGATAATGGATTGTAGCGCAAGTGGTACATGCATACCAGCCTGTTCGAGTTCGAAGACGGTCTTCTTCGGTCGTGGAGCTGAGGTTCGTGTCTCGCCCCGAGCCTTGGCCTTTCGCTTCTTCTTCTCCTCGCGCTCCTCTTCCGACGTGTCGACATACTTCTCGCCATTTGCTTCGGCCTTGCGCCGCTCTTCGCGCCGTTGCTGCTCGCTCTTTTCTGCGACGATACCAATACCGCCCTTGGTGCCTCGATTCACGACCTGGATGGGCTCTGAGATACCACCACCTTCTTTTCCAAGACCACCCTCGCCCTTGTATCCCATCTTCGCCAGCATCTTGGCACCGAAGCCAGACTTGAGCGCGGAGCCATCCTCAGCCTTTGCCCGCTTGTTTGGTTGTTGGCGAAAGCTGTGCTTGCGCTTGCCACCTTCGTCCATGGTGGAGCTGTTCGTATGTGAGAATGTTTGAATACGAGAGTATTATTGGCAGAGGGCAGCTGTTCGGCGCGCGCGATATGTCTGGTAGTGGAATCGATGTCGCAGTCGGTGTCGCAATATTTGGGAGTGAGTCAGGCAGACATGCGTGCCACGTGATTCGTCGTGGATGAACCGTGGGCGAGGCGGGAGTGTTGTCCCAAAAATCATGTTCAGTCGCGAGTTCTGGGTGACAGCGCCAAGAACCGTTAGGTCTGGGTCGCTCTTGCCGTAACGTGCTGCGTGCTATTCTTGGAAAGGATCGGGGTCGATCACCCTCCACCCATGTCCGGTTCGGTGCAACAATCACACCAGAAGTCTCCTTTACCAGCGTCGCACCGCAGTCAAGTAGAGACTCCTTCACCGCTGCGGCGTTTCTCTGCTGTCTGTCTTTGTGATGACTTCCCCCAAGACTGACAGCGACCTCCGTCATCCGGTGCCCGATCTCCAATCGCTGCAAGGGGCATATGTCGGCAACATCGAACGCCTGGAAGAACATGCCGAACGCATGAGCGAGTCCGGCTCAGACCTGCAGGAGGAGATTCGGAAGACATATTCGGAACTCAAGCTGACTGACAGCCGGCGATCGTCATTGCGTTCACTACAGACTACCGACCTCGAGCCTACGAGACAGGCCAGCACCCGAAGTCGCGGCGTCTCGATGAGCTCCCACGCAAATTCAATCGTAGACCTCAACGGAAATGCAAGATGGGGCGGTTACTCTCCGGGCGGTTACATCACCTCTCCTGCAGGGTCTCTGCGCTCAGGGACAGGCAACTGGTCGAAACCCTCGACTTCGGTCCAGCGCCAGCGCTCGGAGTCAAAGGCATCGCGTCTCGGACAGATTGTACACCCGGAGGAAGTCGAGGAGGAACAAAATGAAGAGCGTGACTCTGCTTCGCCGCCCCAACGGAAGGTCTCGTCCTTTACACGCATATTCGATGAAGTCGCGAATGGTCTGCCAGAAGAGCTGCGTAACAGTATCCATATAGGCACCCCACCTAGCCAGCCGGAGCCCGACGAAGAAGTGCAGAACCAATATGCAGACTACCGCGATTTCGTAGACCGACCGCCGACGGCAGCCTCGACCGACACCACACACCAAGCACGTACACTATGGCATGACTTTGATGGCGTCCACTGCCCAGATACTGTCGAGGAGGAACCCGAACCATCTCACCACAGCCACAGCCGACATTCCTCCAATCACTCCTCCATGATGAGATCCAATCCGAGCGTTCACTCAATAGGCGCACCGCCGCCGGACGATAGCATGGTCTTCTACCCGGCCCCTGTACCGAAGATGCTGAATCTGCCCAAGCGTTTGTCACAATTGCCTAATATGAGTCAGCAAGCCAATCGTCGGTCACGGTTGTTGGATTCCATGCAAAACGAGCATAGAAAATCGATGCCGTTACTTGGTGATAACCTGGCAGACCCGAAGCCTAACAACAGGAAGAGTAGGCAAAGTCTCATGGCTCTTCCACCGCAACTACGAGCAAGCGCTTACTTTGACAACCGAGCCGCCCCTACTCAGGAGTTTGCGGTCAAGGGAGAGTCTGCGGAGGATACGCTCGAAAGCATCCTGGACGCTTCTGCACATGCTCCTGTGTCTGCGTTCACTGATCATCCATTTGCTGGGCATGTCGGCGACGAAGTGTACGGTGCGGAACGCAAGCGCAGAAGTTCCAAACTACCAGAGATGCCACCGACACTGGCAGAGACGCGAAGACGCAGCTCGTTCAATCTACTGGATACTGACCACAACGCAAAGGGCGAGCGCCTGAAGAAGTTGAAGAAACGAAACAGCTCTGCTGACATGAATCTATTGCTTGTCAAAGCAAGCGAAAGCCGGATGAGCCTCGGTGACCAATTAGAGGAGCGTGATGAGGACGCACGAGGACCGGATGGACGTGATCCCGATGCTGTTCGACCTTCGTTTGAAGAACATCCGGAAGACCATTATCAAGAAGGAGAAGAAGAAGAAGAATCCAGCGAAGAGGAAGGGGAGCCGGAGCCACAATACGGTGCACCGACCACTCTTCTCGCCGAGCTTCAGCTACGCAAGGCGAAACAGCAGACTCGGAAGATGAATTACGTGACGCTGATGGAGCAGGGATTGATTGACGGTAGACAGACCCTGCTCCAAATGAACGACGTGGCCGAAGCCGAGAAGCAACGACGAATCCGCAAAAAAGTAAACCTCGCCTGGGAAGCTCCACCAGAAGAAGACTCGGATGACGACGTGCCGCTTGGTGTTCTCTACAGACCTCAACAGCAAATGCGTCAAAAGAGCATGGGTCTTATCGAGCAGCGAGAGTTGGAGGACCGCGAACCCCTAAGTAGCCGTCGCACGAGGCTACTAGGCATTGACCCTAATCAACGACGCACGCAATACCTCGGAGCCTCCTCAAGCCAACTCAACCTCCCAACCATCACGACTCCCGAACCAGAGTCGGATGAAGAGCCAGGCGAGACATTGGCTGACCGTATGCGCCGCATCAAGGAGAAGCAACAGCGCGAATCAGCACTCGGTGATGTGCGCAAGAGTACAGTGAGCGATGACTTCGCCTCTGAGATGATGAGCAAGTTCGGTGTCCCAGAAGGCCAGGAGCAATCCAAAGACACCCCTCCAGCACCCCCACCTGCTGCTGACGACGAAGAGGAAGAGGAGACCCTCGGCCAACGTCGCGCCCGTCTGCAGGCCGAAGCGGCCCTACGAGGCGAACAAGCCCCCCAATCCGGCCACCGACCCAATCTCCGTTCCTCCAGCAGTCTCGCCGACATCCTCTCCGCCAATCCCATCGACCCGCACAACCAAGCGCGCAAAGTCTCCAACGAAGCCCTCGTCTCGCACCTCCCCCAAGGCAGTCTCCTCCACCAAAATGTGCTCGACCAAGAGCGCAAAAAGCAACAACGTCTCACCGCCACAATGCGCGCCACATCCTATGGCTCCATGGACCCACTCCTCAAAAATATGACCAACAACCAGAAAGACGACGACGACATCCCGCTCGGCCAGAAAATTCAAGCCTACAAGAACGCCCAGAACCCCATGATGATGGCCAACCAGCAAAGAATGAGCGCCATGCCGCCGCAACAGGGTATGATGGGCATGCAGATGCCTGGCATGATGAATGGGATGGGACAACATCAGTCTATGATGGGCATGCCTATGCAGATGGGCATGCAGCAGCCTGGCATGATGCAACAGGGTGGCATGATGGGTATGGGATCGCACATGAATGGCATGGGCATGCAGATGAACGGGATGGGTATGCAGATGCCGATGCAGATGGGCGGTATGCAGATGAACGGCATGGGAATGGGTGGTATGCAGATGGGCGGTATGCAAATGGGGGGCATGCAGATGCCGATGGGTATGAATGGGATGATGCATGGGGGGATGATGGAGCCGCCCATGGATCCCAGACAGAGGGATCAGATTGATCGGTGGATGCAGGGGGTTAGGCATTAGTTTTGTCTTTGGGTGTAGAGGGCGTGTTTACTTGGAGCATGTTCTAGTGTAGCGTGTTTCGGTGGTATGTGGCATCTGGCATTTCTTTGGGACAGCATCGTACAGCGTTAGAAGGGTTCGTTAGCAATATCTGCATTATCAGCGTTTTGGACATACAGTTGGCATAGTTTTGAGCAATTCTCAGGGCATATATATGGGACGAAGGATGATATACGATTTGTAATCTTGCATTAATCCATTCGCTTGCATTACTACACTACATACACTATGAAGATCGTTCATACTTGACCAGACGCTAGCTAACGGCGAGTTAGGAACCTCGTCCTGCCGCAGGAGCATCAGATCTACTGGAAGCGCTTCTCAGCGGCCTTCCAGTTGATGACGTTCCAGATAGCCTTGAAGTACTCGGCCTTGCGGTTCTGGTAGTCGAGGCTACGAGAAGGTTAGTCTTATGTCCATGATCAAGACTCCAGAATGAACTTACTAGTAAGCGTGCTCCCACGCATCAACACCGAGAATAGGACGGAACTGCCCCACGACCGGATCCTGGTTCGCATACGTCCTGATCTGAATAGCACCCGTCTGGGTATCCTGCACCAACCACGCCCAACCGCTGCCCTGAATACCCGCAAGCGCCGTGTTGAACTTCTCCTTGAACGCATCAAGGCTGCCGTAGCTGTTGTTGATAGCAGCAGACAGGGCGCCAGACGGGGGCTCGCCGCCGCCCTGGTTGGTAGGCGCGAGGTTCTCCCAGAAGAGGCTGTGGTTGATGTGGCCGCCGCCGTGGAAGTTGATCAAGGGCTGCAGGGCAATTTGCGCCTTGATGTCTTCTTTTTGCTTGGCTTCGGCGATTTGCTCGCTGAAGTTGTTGAAGGAGGTTACGTAGGTGTTGTGGTGGTTCTTGTGGTGGAGCTCCATGATCTTGCCGGAGATGGAGGGTTCGAGCGCGCCGTAGTCGTCTGGGAGCTGTTAGTAGGTGGTATCTGTAGGAGATAGAATGAGCTCGTACATGGGAGGTCGGGCAGCGTGGCCTTGCCGCGAACGAATGTCGTGCCTGCGAGGCCGGCGCGAGATGTGGTGGGAGCTGCGGCTCGGGCTGCGGAGCGCAGGGCTGATGTGCGGAGGAGTGCGGTGTTCATGGTGGCTTCAATTGAGGTGGTGCGTTCAATTGGGTGCGTGGTGTGTTGTTGTTAGTGTTGAGAGGTGGTGGAATTCTGGGGAAGCTTCGGATTTATTGCTCGCCATTTCGTCATATGCGAACATGCCGACCGCCGAGCTCAGAGCTCCTCCACTTCCTCACGGCCATGCGCTCCCCAGCCAATGATGACGCTTGCATGTCGCCTAACGTTCGCATGATGTATGCAGCATCTGTATCAAGATATGTGCGTGTTCATTTGATAGTATTTCAACACGAAGGCAAAGCTCGAGTATATACTAATGCCCCGCGAAAGCCCCGCGCGGGCGTTCTCAGACAGAAACTAGTCAATCGAGACGTGGGTGATAGCTGTGCAGTTTTTGACTATCGCGTGCCGCAAAAAAGAGACGCTTGATTCAAGTACCATAGATCTCACCCCATGTGAGGTGATTGATGTTTGCCCTGCATCTGGGACATAAGCATTCCGACCTTACTTCGCGCTCCATCTTTCTTCTAACATAACTGAGCTACCCCGCCAACGTCATCATGGCGCCTGTCAATGTCGTCCATCTGCCCAACGGCCAGAACCTTACCGTCACGCCCGTGTTTGGCGGTCTCTTCTTCAAATCGAGCGATATCCACACGCATTCGCCGTTCCCGCCTGGCTGGACAATTGTGCTCAATTCCGAAGATGAGCTCGCTACAGACGAACAAGAGCAGCAGCAGCAGGACCAGGAGGAGCTGTTCCCGCCGCGACATGTACATCGCTTCAAGAAGCCGACCCTGAATGGAGACCACCTCTATATATCGTCCATATCGAATCCCAGCAGCAGCGAGTTCAAGCCCGCTGCCTCGCCAACCCGTCAGATCGCCATGATGCTGTGGGCGACCTTGTACTGGTACTTTCACCAGCCCGAACCGACGCTACAAGTCACGAACGCGATCTCCAAGAACACTGCCGATGCAGGAAAGCCAAAGGGAGAATGGCGCATAAACATCAACAGGGAGGGCGTGTTCAAGGGCAAGGTCGTGCTGCCCAAGTTGGAGCGCATGGGACTCATCGCCAGCGAAGATTCGACCGTTGGGTGTGCACAAGAGGAGTCGTCTCCTGAAGGCTGGACGCGCATGTTTGTCAGTCGGAGGACCTTCTGGCAGCTCGACCCCAGAATATACCTCTTCACTCTCTCGCCGTTAGCCAACACCAACTCACCCTTCCCATCGGGCTCGCCGTATCCTTCGCGACCGTCGTCCCCCGCGCTTGGATCTGATGCGAAGCAAGAACACCAGCTTGACCAGGTCTCACCAGGCTTGTGGTCACCAACTGCGCCAGGTCCCTTCCACTCGAGCTCGCATCTACCCACGTTCTACCCACCGCCTCCCGCGCAATACGTCTTCACGAACAATACGCGACACCCGATTCGACCGAAGCCACCCCGGCAGGGCGAGATACTATACACGAGGTACATACCCAGCGTTGGGCAATATCTGTCTTTCCGAGTAGCTTCCATCTCTTCGAAAGCGCTCCGACACCAGGGCCCGGTGTCTAGCAACGCGCCCAGTCCAAACGGCATGTCGGATCCGGAATATCTACACAAGTGGATGAACGACCCCCGCGTGTCGCATTTCTGGGGCGAGGCGGGTCCGCAGTCCCACCAGGAGCAGTTCCTCAAGAACGGCCTACAATCGAAAAATTCGTTCCCGGTCATGGGATGTTGGGACGGGAAGCCGTTTGGCTACTTTGAGATATATTGGGTCAAAGAGGACAACCTCGGAAAGTACCTACCTATCGTCAGCGATTACGACCGGGGCTTCCACTGCTTGGTGGGTGAGCAGGAGTTCAGGGGAGCGCATAGGGTCAAGATCTGGTTGAGTGCGTTGGTGCACTACTGTTGGCTCTCGGATAACCGGACGGAGAGGGTCATGTTGGAGCCGAGGGTCGATAACGAGAAGTGAGTCTCCGATTCTACACGTGCAACTTAATACTAACTACTCAGACTTGCAAATTACCTCCAAGAAGCTGGCTTCTACAAGGAGCGCGAAATCAGCCTTCCGCACAAGCAGAGCAACCTGTTCAAAATTAACCGCGACGTATGGAAGGGACCGGCGCTGTGAGCCCGCGGAGGCGGAAACGAATGTGGAGTTCGTATTTGGCAGAGCCGCATGAACCGCATGAACGGGTTACGGCTCTTGGTGGATATAGTTTTGTGGAGTAAGCGCATCCTGAGATACCAAGGTCTAGACTCTAGTCATGCCATTGAACACGTCTGAACTTGACATGTCACTTGCGTGGGGGAATATTTGGTCATTGAATTGAACATGACCGGGGAATCAACCGCCGAGAGCTCAGAAAAGATGTAGAAGTGAAGCAATCCGGAGGTGTCTCGAAGCAAGTGGTTGCTACAAGGAGCCTCAACGCCGCCCAGAACCCCAACAACACGCGCGGGAAAAATTTCTGCTACCCCAAATCGCCATTTTCTTGTCGATCGGCCTATCTCAGGTTCCGACATTAGGATGACAATCGACCATTGACGTGCGTTTGCAAAGGTGCGATAGTAGCTAAATGTGGGGTTTAGCGAGGGACCAAAACTTTTTGGCTACACGTGAGGACGTCATTGGTTTGTTGGGATAGAAAAAGGGTAGCCCACGACGCTGTGAATCACCGTTTGGAACTTGACCTCACGATACCTCCAGTCCTGCTCTATAACCTTTTGACTGTAGTGCTAGCACACGTGTTGCAAATTACTACAACGACGTTGAGAGCAAACGTTGATACCGAATTCGGAAGACTATCGGGCTAATCCACAAACGAACAATTAAAGTCATCGACCACCACATCACACTCACACTCACACACTCCCCTCATTCACACGCGCAATCATGGCCGCCCAAGACGCTTCCCTCGACATTCAGTCTCGCATATCGACTATGAAGGCGCAATCTGGTGCCACCATCTTCGATGCCTACCAGACGTCTCTCACAGGCCGGTACTGCTCGCCGGAGATGTCGCAACTCTTCTCGCAGCGCAGCCGGCACTCGATATGGCGCAAGCTATGGCTGTTCCTGGCGGAATCAGAGAAAGAGCTTGGTATCCCGAGCATTACTGATGAGGCACTTTCCCAGATGAGGGAGCATCTGACTGTTACGGATGACGATTTCGGAGTTGCCAAGGTCGAGGAGAAGAAGAGGAGACACGATGTTATGGCGCATGTACACGCTTTTGGTCAGGTCGCTCCCGCGGCTGCTGGTATTATTCATTACGGCGTATGTTTTTATGTGTATGTGTGAAATTGAAGGTGACTCAAACTGATATCCCACAGGCAACAAGCTGCTACGTAACCGACAATGCGGAACTAATCCTCATGCGCGACGGCCTGGATCTTCTGCTCCCCAAACTCGCAAAGGTCATTTCCAACCTCTCAGCCTTCGCCCTGCAATGGAAGAACGAGCCCACACTCGCCTACACGCATCTGCAACCCGCCCAACTCATCACGGTAGGCAAGCGCGCAGCCCAATGGGCCCAAGATCTCCTCTTCGACCTCGAAGCCATCGAGCTCGTACGTGAAACCCTCCAATTCCGAGGCGCCCAAGGAACAACCGGAACGCAAGCCTCGTTCCTCGAGATCTTCAACGGCGACAGCAAAAAGTGCGACCAGCTCAACGAGCTTCTCTGCAAAAAAGCCGGTTTCCCCTCATGCTACGCCATCTCGACGCAGACCTACACCCGTAAAGTCGACCTCCTAATCGCCAACGCCATCTGCGGGCTCGGCGCCTCCGCCCAAAAAATCACCGGCGACATCCGCCACCTCGCGGCGTGGAAAGAACTCGAAGAGCCCTTCGAAAAAGACCAAATCGGCTCCTCAGCCATGGCCTACAAGCGCAACCCTATGCGCTCCGAGCGCATCTACGCCCTCTCCCGCGAACTCATGTCCAAGCCCGCCTCCTTCGCCAACACACTTAGCGACCAATGGATGGAGCGTTCCCTCGACGACTCCGCAATCCGGCGCATGGACATCCCCGAAATGTTCCTCCTCGCCGATGCCATCCTGCTCTCCCTCGACAACGTAACATCCGGCCTCGTCGTGTACCCCAAGCGCGTTGACGCGCGCGTGCAGGAAGAACTGCCCTTCATGATCACCGAATCCATCATCATGCGTCTCGTTGCCAAGGGTGAGTCAAGACAGGAAGCTCACGAGCAGATTCGTGTGTTGTCGCACCAGGCTGGTGCGCAGGTGAAGAATGAAGGCAAGAGCAACGATTTGGTGGATAGGATCCGCAAGACGGAGTTCTTTAAGCCGATTTGGGGGGAGTTGGATGGCATGCTCGATAGTAAGTTGTATACGGGACGCAGTGAGGAGATTGTGGAGAAGTTTTGTGGGAAGGGGGGTGTGCTTGCAGGGAAGTTGGCGAAGTACTCAAGTTATATTGAGGGGGCTAAGGTTAGTGAGTTGAGTGTATAGGGTGGGGAGGTTGTTTGGTAGGAGTGGGTTGTTGGAGTTTAGGGTAGAGAGAAAAGCAATCGACTTACGAGTATATGAACATGTCTTATGGGAATGATATCAGGATGGATCTTGTCAATGGATCGATATTGAGCGTGCATTATGCTAATACTGGCCCCATGTAAATGCCCATGCCTACCAAACGCCACCGCTAAAAACACCTGTATATGCATAAATGATCCCAGCAAGGCAAAGTGGTATAGAACATCATGAAAGATACACTCAAAACATCACAACCCCACTTCACTCACATAGCTAATACTTCCGCCCTCTCCGTCTCGGTAAGCCACTCTCTACTCCCACACTCGCCGTCGTCACACTCGGCGGAATGACCACCTTAGGCGCGACCAACCCCTTCTTAGGCGTCGCATCGCTCATGCCCACTCTACTCACATTCTCCTTATCGCCCGCCTTGGCAGAAGAAGATGTTTGCGGTAGAACCACCTTTTTCGGCGCAGCAAGCCGGCTCTTGCGTTGGACGCCTACGGGTGCGACGTCGAGAGAAGGGAGTTTGGTGTCTGTTGTGCTGGAGGAGAGACTGCTGTTTAGGGATGTTGATGTTGATGTTGGTGTAGAGGTGGATGTGGGGGTGGAAGAAGTGGAGGAGGCAACGGCCATCTTCTTGACTTTAGTCGACTTCGGTTTCGAAGATTGTTGCTCCTGCGTCGCAGCCTTTTCTTCTTGAACGGCTTCCGGGAGGAGACTGGTAGGTGCCAGTAGACCCTTTCCAGGCGTGCCGTTCGTAGTGCCCAGACCGCGTACTCTGCGTATTTTGGGTGTGGACGTCTTACTAGTCTTTTCCTTCTTCTTCTTGGGCTCGGGGGTGGAGTCCGACATGCCGAGTTCGTCTGGGGTGGCTAGGGACTCTGCATCGGCTAGAGCGTTGGCGAGGGTCTCCGGGTTCTCTTGGTAGTATGCCAGTGTTTCGTCCCAGCGGACGTTCTTGCCGACGACGAGTTCTTTGGTAGAGTCGTCGAGGGGAGGGAGACTGGATGCGTCCATGGCGAGCTTCATGAGTCGGACGGTGACGCAGAAGGCGCCTTGTTTGTTCTTGCGCGTGTTGTTGCGTGTCATGTCGGCGAGGACTTTTGCGTCGTCCTTCTTGAGTACGACGACTTCGTTGCCGTCAGCACGGCGGATGTTGATCTTGGGTGCTGGTGCTGGTCCGAGCGATGCGGGGGTGGGTAGTCTTGTCTTCTTTGCTCGTGCAGAACGTCTTGATCCTTGTTCGCTCTTCTCTTCTGCGGTTTGGGTCTCTGTCGCGCCGGGGTCAGGTGATGGAAGCTTATCATCTGGCTTGGCTAGTGTGAGCGTTTGTGATAGATCTAGCGTCAACTCGGTGTGCTGCTTAGTGGGTGAGTTGGGATCCTTCTCTTCAAGCACCTTGCGGGGCGAGGCTAGGGCGTGTTTGATGATATCTGAGTCTCGTCGATTCTGTAGAGATTCTCTCTTGTGTGTAGTGACAGCCGCCTTCTCAGCCTTGCTTGCGGCAGCACGAGTCAGGAAGTCCTTGAGGATGGCGGTGTCATCATCGAAAGCGACCGTCATTGTGACATCGTCAGGTCCAGATACAGGACGTGGTGGGGGCGGAGGCGAATGTAGTCTGCGTGGAGCGGGCGACTGTGGTTTGCTGGGTGTGAACGAGAATGTCAGTCCATCGGCGATGTCTACAGATGTTGCGGCAGGCGCGTCGGCCATGTCAAGGTCCTGGGCAGGGAACTGAAGAGCCTCAAGGGAGGCTAGTTCTTCCTCAGGCCGCATATCATGGTCCGTCTCTTCTTGCTCAAGCTCGTTGGACTCTGACTGAACTGGTGTAGGCGCAAGATTGTGCTCTTGAAGCGCTGCTTGATAATCCCGCAATATGTTCAGCTGCAAAGAAGCTTCCGTGAACTCGTCTTCACGGTCGACCGCTTCAGGGGAGTTGATAATATCTTCCTTCTGAACTGCATCTGTCGGTGTGCCTAGCTCAACCTCAGATAACTCAACGTCTTCGTCGAGCGCTGGTAGCGGCGAAGTCGTAGTATCTTCCAACGGCAACGCTGGGTACTGGAGCTGTGTCACCGGCTCTGGTGTCTCTGAAACTGGGTCCGCCTCTTCATGCATGGTCTCGTCTTGTTGCTTGACAACCTCGTCTGGGATCTCAACATTCTCTCGGAGTCCTCCACCCACGGAGGTTGTTTCCTCTGTATTTGTCTCCTCTGCGACATTGCTGATCATCTCGGTGGATGCAATCTCAGTCATAGCCGTCTCTGCTCCTGCTTCCAAGTTGTCGCTCAGAGGAAGTTCGGGGTATTCGACCTTGTCCGGCGACGCGTTCAAAACATTCGGTTGCTCCTTGAGTGGCGAGCGGAATAGCTTCGCAAGCGTTGCGTCTTGTGTGGACTCTGCTTCCTCTTCTTCTTGGTCGCGATCTGTGATCTCGTAATCGGGGGTTTCGGCTGTCGGCGCGTCTACTGCGAACGTGAAAGTCGAGTTCTCCTGTTGCGCAGGAGGTAGATCTCCTAATGATTCCGTTTGTTCGATTATGTTCGTGTCTGTCTCGTTGACGCTATCCTCGCCTTCCACGGTATGAGCACTATCTCCCTCCTCTTCACTGTCGGCTTCCTCGTTTGCGCCGACCACGGGGTCCTCGATCTGGGTCGCTCTCTTTCCTGTAAACTGTCAGCGAATGTCGCCGTCATGCGCGTCAGTAACATACTTGGTAAAACGCTCTTCCTGCGGTCCCAGCGCGTCGCTTTGAACGCGCGCTTCTTGCCACCAAGTCTGCTGGTAGACTTCTCCATTGCCTTTGGGCTCATGTGTTGCCGCCTCTTTACAGGTCTTGAACGCGCGTCTCGTTCCTCTTCATCTTCTGCCTCCTGTGGTGTGTCGTCGGCACGCGACCGAAGATTGAATCTGCGCCAAATCTTCTTCTCCTTTCCTTCGCCCACCCTCTTTACTTCTTGTTTCCTCTCCCATCCTCGCGGTATTTTGGAAACTGGTAGAGCATTTGGGTCGAGGAATGCCGCATTGGTTTCGTTCCAGGTGTTGTCGAACGTTGCTGTGGGTGCGGCGCGCTTGCGCGGAGTGAAAACCATGACGTCGGCCGTGTAGTATTACTGTAAGAAATATATCAATGGCGCGCAAACATGAGAACTGTGTCGTAGGCTCGTTAGTATCGTCGTGACGAGGGTGTCGTTCGTGTTGGCCTCCGTCGCTAGGAAGGTGCAATCGTAAACAAAGCCGGACAGGGATTAGGATGGGGCAGGCACGCTAAGGAGATTGCCGCGGCGGAAACTTTTGAATCCACCGAGTCGACGACGACAACGCCATCGCCTCTAGCAGTCTGTGCAGCACCAGCACCCACGTCGCATCCGAGTCGCATTCATCTCCCGAACCGCATCTGCAAAATGGTACCGAAGCCCTCAGGCACCGCCGTCCAGTCGGCCACGCACCGACCCCTCCCACCACTGCCAAAACTCCGCGTCCGCCGACCAAACAAGCCAGAGGCAAACCCATGCCTAGGAGCAATGTCATCAGTTCTGGGTATGTGAAGAGGTTGGGAGTATACCGATGGAGGGTGCAAGGCGCTGTGGAATGCAATGGGAAAGGCTACCACGAATCTGGGCTGACATGGCTACAGGATGCTGGGCATCTTCCGGCTACAGTGTACAAGGCTGCGCACAGCTTGAACAGAAACTACGGCAGTGCATGGATGCGCCAGTACGTTCACTTCCCATAAACTCACAAACCCGTCTAACCCTTCATAGCGAAACCCCAACCAGAAGAAGAACAACATCAATTACCACCTCTCAAGAATGTACCCCAAGATCGTCGGCCCCCACAAGCGGGACTAGACCGCCCACGCATTCCTTTGTATATTATGTATACCCTTACGACGGCCACCCGTACGAAACAGCATCATGGGGGAGTTCAAGTCGATGGGTTCATCGACAGGCGTTATGGATACAATCGTTGTATATAGACGAATCTAGGAAGAGTCGGGCATGCTATCTTGAATCCAAAACAAACATCTACCAGAGCCATTACGTACACATCAAAGCTCACGCAAGGGATGCCTCAGACCACAAACTGGCCTTGGCCGTCAGATGTCTTAGCTTAACTGCAGGACGACCCTTCGCATACGACCGCTCTGCTTTGTCTGTTGGCTTCATTTCCCACACCGACTACCACTCAAAGATGCAATAGCGAGCCATCTTGAGGACCACAATCTGCCGAAAATGGCAGTGCATGTAATTCCCCATGTGCATCCACGTGCAATACATCTTTGTATGTTTCATGGAAGGCCTGAAGGTCGACTCTCCATCTCATCGCCCAATAGCAAAAGACACCGACTAAGGAATTACTGCAGTGTCATACCCCGCTCGTCATCCCGCATAATTATGCTGTGCATCGTGCTCACTTGTGCTATATTTACCCTCTTTCGCCCAACGCCACATGTAGGCTTAGACCCACTCACTCTACACCCCACCAGCCCACCTACCAATGCGCTGCTGCGCCCCAAGCCGACCTGATCCTACACCAACCTCCATCCGGCCGCACACCAGACCTTCCCCAACCTCCTCACTGGCCCATCATGTACACGTTTTGTCCAGGGCGGAAAATGCCCGATGTGATTGGGCTGCTGTGCGAAGGGGTGAAGGGTGTAATGCGACGCCTTTCCTGAAGCTACCCCAGCTCACCCGCATCATCGCCAGGCGAGACCGCTTTCGATTGGATCGCCAGGGCCATGGCCCGATTTCTATAGCCAGGGAAGCTCTAGAGCTCACCCTGCCGCTACATGTGTTGCTAGGGTGCTGGGTTTCCTCCCATATGCACTCAGCCGCGTAAGATGCTGTGGGCTTCTTATAGTCTGCTGCATTGCGTAGCGATCTTCGCCTTTTGCACCTCATACTACTCGACGTGCACAACGTTTTCTGGTGTCTGGCGGTCGCCATACTTGATTACTTGGGTGAGAGGGTTGCCTGTTTACATAGCTAAAGAGCTGCGCACATGGAAACGAGATGGCGGTTGCACTTCTTCTCGCCGCCTTGTTAGGACCGACAATGGTATACGCGGCTGCGTTTTCGTTACCTGAAGCTACACAATATACTCCAACGATGGATGGATGGAGCCCAGCGCCTACGGCAGCTCCACAGCTACCGTTCGATCTTTCCAGACGGCAAGATATTGGAGCTAATACTTGTGGATTTGTCTCTGGCTCCGGCCTCTCAGGTAACCATAACTCCCATCCATTCCTTCATACGTACTGACAGTCCAACAGTCAGCGCAATAATATGCCCCAACCTCACAGATGTATGCTCCTCAAACAACTACTTCGGCGCACTCGGCTGCTGCCCTTCGTCTCGAACAACAGACTGCATGATAGCCACATCCTGCGTCCCCTCCACCGCCTTATCAGCTTCCTGCACAGATACTACCTGCTCTCCCAACGCGGCAATCCTGAAATGCACAGAAAGCTCCGCACCAGCCTGCTATGAATGGCGCGTCATCTACGACAGAATAGTCTTCACGCAACACGGCTGCGCAGCCAGCGCCTTCACCGGTACCGCATACCACAGCCTGGACATGAGTCTCTCAAGCAACACCCCAGAAAAAGAAACAGTCTATGCTACTGTCACGAAGGAACCAGTCAGCACACCCACATCCGCACCACCTCCCTCTTCATCCAACACCTCAAAATCCAGTCTAGGCGCTATAGTAGGCGGTACCATCGGCGCATGTCTCTTCCTCTCTTTCTTCGGCTTCGTCATCTTCCTCACTTGGCGGCGGCGGCGGGCTCAAGCACGCAATACCGCTCACTCCACAGGTTCTTTCCATCAAAGAGATTCCAGGGGTATGGTCGAGTATAATGCCATGGGCTTTCCTTCCCCGGGGTTCATGTCCCAGGGCTTGTCTTCGCCGGAGAGCCCGAGTGGTGAGGTTGATAAGGTGTGGCAGCAGAGGGGATCTGGAGGGGAGTGGCCGGGGATGGAGAGGCAGATTGAGATTGTGGAGGTGGATGGGACGAGTAGGCCGGTGGAAGTGCCTGCAGGTGAAAGATGAGGGGGTTTGATACCGTTTCTCTTACATCCTTTTGTACTTTTTGTTCAATCCACGACTTCGGTCTTGGTAGATGTGTTTTTCTGTTCTTGTTTGTATGTTCTGTACGGTGTTTATGGGGATGATACCCACTCTTCAAGGTAGTTTACAGGGAGGAAGAGCGGACTGCTCGGGATGGACGTATACGACCACGAGAGTATTTATAAAGCAGCATGCATCGAATAGAACTTTACTACGGCCTTCGTCACATATCATAAGCATAAGTGCTCCTCAGATACTCCAAAGCCTTACTACCCCCAGACCAGCTCATACCAAGGCCACATCGTAAGGCACTGCAACGCATACCCAATATATGTCTATAGCTCGCCATTTTTTTCGACCAGCCTACCACATAAAATCCTCCCCATCACCAAACTCCAACCCACTCATCCCCACCCCGTTGCCATTCCCATCCTCCCCCTCCGGCACCAAACTCCCAACCCTACACTCTACCCCATTCAAATGCATCTCCCTCTTGAACCGACACTTCTTAACCCCCCAACCCTCCCCCTCACTACACCCCTCCCTCTGACAATGATGTCCATAGAAGCAATCGCCCCGTCTACAAGCCCCCTTCCTCGGACAAGGATTACACTTGACCACATACTCCAACACTTGTCTCGCTTCAGGCTCCAGCTCGCTGTGGTCGAAAGGACAGTTTGGGGTGGCGCAGCGCTGCTGGAGGTGGAATGTGTTGCAGGGCTTTGCTTTGGCGAAGCGGGCGTTGTAGATTTTCCAGGCGGAGGGAGGGGGCATGGGGAGGTGCGGGTCGAGGCGTTGGGAGAAGGTGTTGAGGGGGATGAAGCCGGGGATTGGAGCGGCGGGGAGGAGGGCGGAGAAAGGGGTTTGGTCGTGTGTCTGTTGCTGAGAGGATTGGGAGGAGAGTGGTAGAGAGGGGTATGGCGCTCCTTTGGGGCCACGTGGTGGTTGCGCGGATTTAGATCCGCTTGTGTCGGAGAGGGTCTTGGGGATGTGGAGGAAGTTACATTTGGTACCGAAGCGGCAATTTCCTTTTTGAAAGTACTTGCATAGTTGCGAGTTGTTTTCTGGCTTTGAGGAGTTCTTGGCTGTTTGTGTGTATGCTGAGCGGTCTTCCCAACCTACTCGTTCTTGTTCGAAGAAACTGTTGGATTCTACCGGGGAGAGGTCGCCGAATGCGGAGTCGCTCATGCTGAACGAGTCGTCTCGTCTCCATGATTCTTTGCGTGGAGTCGGCGTGCCCGGTGTGAGTATCGGTTTCTGTACTGCGGCTAGTGCTTTTTGTTTGGGTGCTGTAGCTGGACCGCCTTTGGTTGTAGGTACGGCAACAGGGAGTTCCGACCATCTAAAGACAGTCGGGAACTGTGTGATGTTCAAGTTGAATTGGTGGAACTCCGAGTTCCATCCAGCGCCTTGGACAAGGGTAATCTTATCGCGTACACCGCTGAAGGGTACGAGTTGAGATAGATAAGCCGGATCATGGCAAGCGGCATATAAGATATGGCTACACGCCGAATCTTCAGAGGCGATCTTGAAATGTTCTCTGATCTTAAACTTGGTGCCTTCTTCATCCAGAGCATCAACGAAGTCGAAGAGGCTGATGGCTCGGGTGAATGCGGCCGAGAAGGGAGACAGCGAACGCTTTTCCAAACCAATGAGTTTGGACCTTGCCAGTTGCTTAGATAGATTGGTCAAGTCTGCGTAAATCTTAACATGTATGCGAGCGGATCGGGCTTGCGGGACGCTTTGCTGTAGGTACTTCTCTATGGCGTCGTTAAACATGCGAGCAGCGCGCATTCCGCCCTCCTCTTTGTCGCGAATAAGTTCGTCATTGAACTGGGTCTGTCAACGCGGAAATTGGAATGTCGCCATAATACTGACGATGTAGTTGTTGCCGTCTATTAAGACCAATACGTATGGATCGCGGGTCGTTGTTGCCGCAGCTATGGTCGGTATAGGTATACCTGGAGGCGCAGCGATAGTGCTCTTGGCTTTCTGTTCACATGCCCTCTTTAGGTCCTTGTATTCATCGAGTAGTTGGCCATACTCTCTAAGGAGGTTCTAAGCGGGGTTAGCGGAATACGGATTGGTGAGGACATCTCGGTATGAACCTACTGTCAGATCATTTTGTCTGTTCTGATCATTGAGTTTGAACTGTTCTAGATGCGTGTCTAGCGAGTCGATCTTCCCGTCCGCTAGCATCTTTGATAGTCGCGCGTTGTCGGCGTTGACGGTGCACGCGTTGGTCTCTCGACGCGTACGTGGGCGAAATGTGTTGGGTAAGAGATACTAATTGCGAATAAGCCACGGCAATTGCGAATTGACTCTTGGGGAATTTAGGAATTTCCCATATCCGCAAACAATTGGCAAGTTGCTTCCTAGGAAAACGCGATGACAGCAAGCCATTCCGCGACGTGGCGCGGGGGCTCCTGCTCCGCGTGTGCTAGCGCGAGTGCCTTAGTGTCAGGAGTCAGCCCCGCCTCCTTCACTACCTAAACATCATGACTGCGGCGACCTAACTACTCCGTTTTTACGACTCCTACGTATCTAGCATGAGGAACGCCTGCGAATGTTCGAAAGCAGTGACGTCAGCAGCAGGTTACAGCATCGAAGTCTTGTTCATACTCGAAGCTTGCCAGCGTTTAGAAGGCTCACCACATCGAGTAGATTTCGCGTCCTACGATAATCATGACCTGGAGAACGAAAGCCCACGATGAGGGAGCATCTCATTGCGTTTTGATCAGTCGCAGGATTGGGAAGAAATAGATCACATGCTCGGATACATGTGCTCTTTCTTCTTGAGTGCGAGAAAGCGTCTAGAAGATTGTCGCACGTGCGCTATCATGGGACTAATCGGCTGATCAAGATGCAATATATTCTATTTCACTATATCCGGGTCTATGGGTTGTCATTTTCCCTTGCTTTCAAGCGGTCTCTACCCTACACAAGCACTCATCAAGTTGAGTCAACTGAAGCCGCCCAAGGTATAAACATCATCCGCCTTACTCAATCTCCTTAAACTATCGCTGGGGAGTTGCCCATGCCTCGCTACTCACCGGTGTACGCTTTGAGGATGATTAAAAGCGAGTTGAAGATCGTTCCAGTAAGTCCTGTCGACGGAAACTGTCTGGGTGCTTTGGCGATCCTCAGCAAGGCGACATGCGGGCAGCAGTGGGTGTTCGAGTGTCTTCTCATGGAGGAAATGACGAAGAGACAAGCGACTCACGAAACTTTGCAGGAGATCGATGTCGTCAAAGTCATCAAAGAGTTCTATAAAAAGGCTTTCGCGATTGGATTTGTTTGGGAAGGCTATGTGAAGCTTTGGGACGATACAGAAAATCTGATTTATCAATGAGAGACAGTGTATCGTCGGGAAAAGCTGATATTTAGACTTTTCCTGGGCTCAAGCTCGAGCTGTCTTTGCACGGTCACGACGTTACCACAAGTCTAGTGCGTCGTTGAGAGCCAATGCATATCTAGATATGCAAAGGTCATGATACAGTCTATCTAGCATACTACATCCCTAGAGGAGGAATCATCTTGAGATGTGCGAACTCTCCAAGCACCTCCCTGATAGCGTCATTTGAATCCACAAACCCATGCCAACCCATCTTCCGCGCCTTGTTCATCGTAAGATCCAGAGAAGAGCCCATCAAGCCCCCATCCGTAAATCCAAAGATACGATCGATATCCATATCTTGGAGCTTGTCAACCTTGAGGCCATGCTTAGAAATGATCTCCTCCCATGCCTTCTGTATCTTCTCTTGCTTTGCCCAATCCGTCAGCGTGAAACGCACGCGGAGCTTTGCTGGTGGGCCGAAGCCTCGCGGGGGCGGATCATGCTTTGTGGTAATGACCGTGTAGGCACTGTCGTCCAGGCTGGGAGTCTCATAGCCAATGCCATACCAACCCGCGTACTTTGGCCAGAAGTTGCCCCACGTGAAAGTTGTACCATCCATAGTATTGAACTTTTCGTTCTTCGCTCCATCGTTAAGTACAGCCCATTGCTCCATGTACGCGTTCATCTTGCTGCTCGACATGCACCTGTTCGCCTCCCATGCTTGCAGATCAGTCGGAAACTCGAGCTTTTCGCCTAGGTGTTTCTGTACACTTGCGTAGACACCGAGCGGAAAGACAAGGTTCATTGCGGCGTCTGGCACAGCACCGAGGATACCTGCTGGCATGCATACGTTCCACTCGATACCTTGCGTTTTGCAAAAGTCCCAGAGGAAATCTTCTTGTGGGTAGTAAAAATTGGGTTCGAGAGTGACGCGCGCTGCTGTTTCTTCCTGAGGAGTCGCTGCTGGACCGAGATGGATACCGTAGTTCTTTGCGCCGGTCTGGAGCATGATGCGCTTTGGCTTGATGTTGGCTATGGGGAGAGCTTCACAGAAGTTCTTGAGAAGCGCGGCTGCGGCAGGTTAGTTTCATAGAATTGGTATGTGATAGATCAGCCAGCGCGTACTGTTCACCTTGCACATCTCCTCCGCGTCGCTCCACAAGCCACCACCTTCTTTTGGCTTGACTTGCACGTACGAGTAGAAAAAGACGTAGTCGGCTTTGACGCCCTTGTCCTTCAGCACTTTCGCGATCTCCTCCGAATCCTTCAGAAAATCGAGAGGAATATGCTCGGCATTCTTCGGTAGTCCATCGGGAATTGCGGGTGGTCGCCGCGACAAACAGTAAATCTTGGTCCATCGCTCGGGATCTTGCGCTAGTACGCGCAGCATGTAGTTACCAGAGATACCATTTGCCCCGGTTACAATGGCTGTAAGCCCTTTCAATGACGAGGGGTATACAGGTAGGCCGTGAAAGATGCCTTTGCTTTCGACAAGCTGCTGATTGGACATTTTGGATGGACCAGTGTAGAGAAAATGTGACGAAGAAAGGAAGGGATAGTACTGAGCGGCTCGAGAGTAACATAACTGACAGACCTGCTCATGTGTCCGACGAATCGATGTCGACCTGTACAACCTCGGATCATGACGTATTGCGGGGAAGTGCAGCAAGATCGATTTCGACAACAGTACAGCATACGGGTGAATACATGTATGACACACTCGATTATCCAGCCAAATAGCGCATGCTTCTGTCACGATTTCCGCGTAGCCCATGCATATTTCATCAGTTTCTTTAGGGCTGTCGTAATCATGACAGCGCGTCCAGTCGCGTCAGGACAACAATCTATATGCAATCAGCAATTCCATGGAAGAAAATACATACTCCCACGCTGATAATGTGATAGCGCTATATATTATCGTAGATCAGATGGACGGCTTTGTCTCCAGTCGTAGCGGTGCCTGAGAAATGCACTGGAGCGCGTCCATGGGTACGCGTTTGCTTCTGAGCCTTAGCGCGGCGCTAAGCAGGGACTGATCGCCACGACTACTACGCGACATTAAACCTACAACCCTAGACATCTCGCCGCAACACCGCCCTCTATCAATGCAATTTGGATCCATTTCTTGGAAATATTAATCACAACATATTTTCCAGCGCCGTCTGAGGCGTCTCATTTCCTCGGCCCTCCCTCTCATAACGCGCACGTTCCAGCCAAACGAACATCTGCGATTCATCACATTCCGAAACGGGTAATCTGCGGGGGCTGATGTTTGGGATGAGCTGTCGACTTCTATACGTCAAATAATCTGATCCTTATCCATTTCTGTTAGAGAATTAGAGGATTGTAGCACTGTAGGACAGCTCCTGGGCTGCCTTACTGCTCGGGATCCTTACATTGCGTCGAAGTGTTCGTTCGCAAAAACATATACCTTCGCTCCATCTCTGGCGGAAATTCTCCGTGATATCGAAATTCATCTAGGACGCCGTTCGACTTATCAATCAGTACAGTCTTAGGAGCGGCGTAGCTCAAAAAGGTCTAGCATTCACGTCTGGTTGACGCTGCTACTTGCACTTCGCAACGCATTAGGACCATACCCAGCGCCATGCCCCAAGCAACCCACCGACCGCATGATTCTTCCGATATGAACGGAGGTCAACATAAGCACGGTAAAACCATGGAAAAGGACATCTCAAAGCTTGTAGCCGTACCTAATATCGCTTTCAGGCCAAAGGAGCAGCAAGTCTTACCGGCGAACCAAGGTATACCAGAGACATCCGGGAGCAATGATACCTCCAAGAGTGATCCGGCTGACATTCAATGGGACTATGATGTGTACGCCGCGCCTTTTGTTCCGCCTGGTCTCCAAGCGATCAATACCGAGGTGGCTACTATCATCCCAACAAGACCCCGACACTGTATCGACTTCGAGCATTACGTACATACCTTCACCGGAACGAGCTTCATATTTTCTTCTCACGCGAGTAATGATGACCTCACGGTCAGATCAGCAGCGAAATATCCTGCAACGCTCAATGAGTCCACCTATCTGCAGCACTTCGACACATCGGCCGCCATAGAGCGTGTAGCGAAGGAGAAAGAAAACGAATCATACGCGATGTATCAAGTCCCACTCTGGCAACAACATCCCTTGGAAGACCTATGGTGTCTGCTGGTGCCAGGACTAAGAGAAGACAACCCACACATTGAGATGGGCGATATGCTCCAGATACGTCAACTGTGTGTTAACGAAACAGGGCCCTTGACTTTGATGCCAAATTATCTGGATGATTACCAATACGGATACATGGGATCCCCTTCAATCGCATTCAGGTCCTGGACGGGCGTACAGCACAATGCCGCAGTTTTCGGTGTTAACCGTGCGCAAGAAACAGTCTATCTCAAAGCAGACGGCCTCTGTCCACCAGTATCGCCTATGCGCATGTTCGCTAACGTTGTAATTCCACTCAAGTTCAACATACTCCAAAGCCGGCGAAGAGCTTTGGCACAACTTAGCTCCGAGCTGAGACTCGTCGGCCTCTCTCCACGAGCATATGGCTACGCATCCTCCAACGGTGCGCTTAATCATTTTGGCGAGTCGCCCGGTGTCAAGTATGCGACAATTCACGCCGATGCCATGAGAGCCGTATCCCACAATTCTCATAACGATTGGAGTCTCCGAATTCTCTTTCCTGATGAAGCCCATGGCAAAGTTCAAACTACACTGCGCAAAGTTCCCCATCGCAAGCTTTTCGATCGCGCCATAAACTACGAACAAGCGCATGCTGTCAATGATATATGCACTAACGTATATGGAACTGTGCCTTACTTGATCAGTGGACCGCCAGGTAAGAGAACGATGGTGCGAACTGCATATAGGGCATACACTGACTTGATATCTTGAACTTTACAGGCACAGGAAAGACAAAGACTCTGGTAGAGACGGTAATGCAACTGTTGAACACTACAGATGTCGGACACACACTTTTATGTGCTCCATCAGAGGCTGCGGCGGATACACTCGCCCTCAGGCTGAAGGAATATCTCTCACGAAAAGAACTATTTCGACTCAACCGGCCAGGAAGGGCTGATAACGAGGTACCGCGGGAGCTATTACAGTACTGCCATATCGAAAACGATATGTTCTGTTTACCACCATTCCGGGAGCTCATGGCTTTCAACGTTGTAATTACTTCTTGTCAAGACGCGGCAATACTCGCAGAAGCAAGAATGACCAACAATGACCTCTGGACCATACAAAGGAACATGCTGTCAGCTTTCAACCCGGACGACGAAATCCCCAATCCGAACCTACACTGGAGCGCCCTGTTCATAGACGAGGCAGCTCAAGCTACTGAATTAGACATCTTGCCTGCCATTAGCGTTGTATGCCCACCATTCACGTATCCGGCCTTATTGCCCCAACCACGCTTAGTGATGGCAGGAGACGAGAAGCAGCTGGGACCACGAACCGCATCCCGCGACCTTCGAGTACGCAAGTCGTTATTCGCTCGGCTTTTCCAACGACCACTATACGAAAACCACCCTCTCTCACGCTCCAAGATCAAGCCTTCGTCTGGCCCACCAGTACTAAGGCAGTCGATGTTACCGATTATATACCCACCATTCACGTTACTAGTCCGAAACTACCGTTCTCATCCCGCCATCCTCAGCGTACCAAGCACTCTCTTCTACAACAACACATTGATCCCAGAAGTCCCTCTACCAAACACCCCACTTCAGCAGTCTGATCTCTGGTGCGGTCGCAAATGGCCCGTCTTATTCATCCCACACACTGGCCTCGATGAAATCGAACGCGACAACGGGGGCTGGTACAACGTCTCCGAAGCACGTATCGCCTGCAACATAGCCCAAACCGTCCACCGCTATTCCTCCGTCAAGCAATCAGACATATGCATCATGTCACCCTTCGCCGCACAAGTCAAACTCCTTCGTTCGCGGATCCGTTCATCCGAGTATGGCAGAGGTGCAGGACTGTGGGACGTCAACATCGGACCATTGGAAGCATTCCAAGGACTCGAGAAACGCGTCGTCATTTTATGTACGACACGAGCAAGAAAGAGGTTCCTGGCTAAAGATCGAGAGATGGGCTTGGGTATTGTGGGAGAAGAGAGGAAGATGAATGTCGCTCTTACGCGAGCGAAAGAAGCACTCTTTGTGATAGGCAACGTCGAGGTTCTGGAGCAAGATCAGCATTGGCGACAGTGGCTGGCGTTTTGTTGGCGGAACGGGTTGGTTGGCGATGAGAAGGGGGGTTGGGATGGGAGTACATTAGTGCAAGAAGGGGGAGAGGTTGGCGTTCTGGAGAAAGCGTTGATTGCTAAAGAAAATCAGGGGAAGTATAAGGGGAAGGCGTTGGGGGCTGGGGTGGGCACGGAGGATGTGGGCGAGTATGATGCTTGGGTTGAGAGTCTGAGGCAGACGCTTGGGGAGGGGGGTGAGGAAGACGAGGGGACAGCTGTTGTAGAGGGTGGTGATACGGTCGGTGGGGCTGAGGAGGAAGAGGTTGTGACGAGGACTAGTAATCTAGTGTCAAACCTTTACGAGGATGATGACGGTTTGGAGCGGGACGCTGCCTCTACTGGAGGAGCGAGAAAGTAAGAAGACACGGAGAAGTGTACGCTTATCACTGTGGTACTACATATGGAGCCCTATATGGTTAGCAGAAATTGTTGGTAAGCTGCAAGTGTTTAATAACATATAATTTTGATGTAAGAACGACAGTCTGACGTTCATTATGGGGTATCAATATGTCTAGCGAACATACTCCAACTCCTCAAAGGCCAAGCACGTTCGAACCCCACAAGCTGAAACACCCATGCCAACCTAGCATGCCATGTCAGAACACCTTTTCCTGCCCCCAAACGCCTGATCAATGATGCCATTCCTACCGCTAATGACCCTCAAGACACGCCAAGCCTCTAGCCCTGAAACAAAAAAACCCTCAGCGCATTCTCCACCTGCTGATCATCATACCCCTGACCTTGCATCTGCTCAACCATCTGCTGCTGCGCAGCCATGCGCTGTTGGTGCTGCATAGCACTATTCGCACTACCCTGCGCTCCTTCCATCTGTGCTTGAAGCGCGAATTGGGCGTAGGAACGGGACGGGTCGTTTGAAGAACCTCTAGACATGGATATGGGCGGGCCCATAGAATCAGATGCTGAGCCAGAACCAGAGCCTCCACCGTTCATACTCCCATTCATCGAGCCCAGCGGCCTCGTATACACACTCTTAGGCGGGCGATCAATCCCGGTATAATTAGGTGGTGGAACGGGCTGGCCCTTAGCCAACGCCACCTTCTCCCTATCCCTCTTCTTCTGCTGCACAAGCGTGCCCTTGACACCACGGAGATACTTCATCGCCGCATCAACGAGCTCTTTCTTTTCCGGCGAGTTCTTAAGCGCCTCGAGCATCTCGCGGACTTGAGTTTCGGATCTGATGTGCGGGCAAGTGCGCGAGTGGCCGAAATGGGCTAGGCCACAGAGATTGCAGTGCTCGACGCCGGCGGCTTTGAGCTCGCAGGCGCCTTGAGGGTGGTTCTTGTGACAGGCGGGGCAGATGCGGTTGCCGAAGGAGCCGTAGGTTAGTCCGAGAGGGTTGCGGACGGGTATTGTGGCGCGCTCGAAGGGTTTGACTGTCACTTCGTTAGTCATTTGGGCTTGTGGCGCTGACTCTGGTGGTGGTGTAGAGATGTCGATGAAGGTGGCTGGTGGGCGGGGTGACGACGCCTGACCTGAAGAGGCGGTTTGACCATCACTGCTGAGATGTGTCGAGGGCTCGAGTCTCGTTCGGGTACCGCCTCTCGGTGGCACAATCTCCACCGGCTTCAATGGCGACATGACAGCTCTCGCACCACCCTTCTTAGACGTAGTCTTAGGCGTAGTTTGAACAGAAATAGTGGCAGCGTGGGACTTCGACGAAGAAACTTGGGACGCACCTGCACCATTCTGCTTGTACAGCGACGAGCTGACGTTGTTTGTTGTACTGCGATGGCGAGCATGACCGAGCTCCTTGGCTGCATCAACCTCGTCAGGACCAGGCTCAGGCTCGCTTTCGTCTTCAGACTCGGCTTGGAAGTCAGTATCACTTTCGGAGCCTGTCTTGTTCTTGCGCTTCTTGCTTGGCTTCTTGATTGGTGAAGGCGGTAATGCGGATTCCTCGCGTCGATCGTCTCCCGCGGCGGATGCTGCATCGGCATCTTTAGGATCTATAATGTAGTCGACAGTCTGCATAATGTTAGTACCTGTCCCGATGAAGAGTAGAGTATGACGTACTTGTTTAGCCCGCCGTCCTCGACCCATAGCCTCTGCCTTTGCAAGTGCCTCAGCGGCCGCGGCGGCTTGTCGTTCTTTCAAGATCTTGTCCCAAACACCGGGATCTGGAGCCACCTGCTCGTCCACAGTATCGAAGTCGTCTTGTAGTGCGCCCTTATCGTTGACCCAAATACGGGCAAAGCCGAATTGAGATTCCGCGGAGTCATCATCACCAGTTTGTGTATTCTCGATCTGGCTACGATCGAGTAGCTTATCGACGGAGGCATCGTCGTAGCGAATTTCATGGTCTGCGTCGTCGTCTTTGAAGAGTTCCGCGGCACCGTACTTGAGTATCGACTCGACGTCTTCGTCTTCGGGATCTTCTCGATCCAAATCCTGAACAACGACCTTGTCAAGAGCCATCTTCTTTTTGCCCATCTGCATGATCTTCTCTTCTACAGAGGCTCGAGTCGCCAGTTGAAGACACAGTACTTTCTTCTTCTGACCGATACGATGAGCTCGAGCAATGGCTTGTAGATCTTGATGAGGATTCCAGTCGGGATCGAGGATGATGACGGTGTCGGCGGTTGCAAGATTAATACCAACACCACCCGCACGGGTGGACAAAAGGAAAGCGAACAAAGGCGAGTCGGGTGCGTTGAATTGATCGATACGCTTCTGCTTTTCAAGAGAGCCCATCGTTCCGTCTAGACGCTGATAAGGAAGCTGCATGCCGTCTAAGAAGTCTTCGATGATATTGAGCATGTCGAGGAACTGGCTGAAGATAAGTACGCGATGACCGCGTTCCTGAAGCTTCGGAAGCAGGGTTTCGAGAAGAGAGAGCTTGGCGGAAGCCTCGACAAGGTTGCGGTGAGAGACAGCGGCAACTTCGCTTCGCTCTTCAATCTCTCTGCTATAGACGAATGGATGGCAAAGACACTTGCGTAGCTGCATGAGGATATTGCTCAAGTTGGCACGTTCCTGTTGCTTCAGCTGCTTGTCGGCGGTGAAGAGAGCTTTGAGGAGTTCTGGGCTCTTGGACAAGATGGACTTGTAGACCTGCTTCTGGAGATGACTCATCGAGATGGGGAGAATGATCTGACCCAGAGGCGGGAGGAAAGTCAGGACCTTGACCTTGGTACGTCGCAGTATGAAGGGTCGGATCTGGTTATGAAGTTCTCGGATATTCTCCGCTGTCATCTCAGCGTACTGCTCCTCAAGCGCAGCTGCGTCGATCGTGTCGTCGAGGAAGTGCAGCAAGTTGAAGAGCTCACGGGCGTTGTTTTGCAGGGGTGTACCAGTCAACAGAAGTCGGAATGGTGCACGAACTGCTGTAAGAGCTGTATACAACTGAGACTTGTCGTTCTTCAAGCGCTGACCTTCGTCAACGACAAGACCTGCCCAGCTAACACCCCTGAAGAATCTCCTGCAGTTGTCATCAGCGGCTGCGTCGTACGAGGTTACGACGATATGGCATCGCAAGTCTTTCGTCTTCTCGGGATACATCTCGTACTGGTAGGCCATCTCACGAGCCTTGGCGGACCCGAAGTAGGCCACCACACGAAGAGACGGCGCCCATTGCTTGATCTCTCGGCGCCAATTGGCACATGTCGAGTTGGGGACTACAATCAGAAAGGGAAAGCAGTTGTGCTCTTGGATGAGGGTCGCCATGAAGGCAATGACTTGGATCGTCTTTCCGAGACCCATCTCGTCGGCGAGGATGGCGTTCTTTTGATCGTACCACTTGTAGTAAAGCCAGTTGAGACCCTCCAGCTGATACTTCATCAGCTCGCCACCAACAAGGTTATCAGGCTGTTTTTCTCGCTCAAGTTTGGCGAATGGTGTACTGCGAGCCTTCTCGATGCGTCCTTTGAGGGGACCTTGCTTGGGAATCTTGACGTAGCGACCAGCCACCCAGTCGTTGTAAGCAGTGACAAAGTCGAGCCACCTGTCACCGTCTTCTGGGGTCGGTACGCTCTCCCACACCGTGTCTTCGTAGCCAAGTCCTTTGTACTTGATGAGCGCCTTGTCGACTTCTTTGATACGAGCTTTGTCGATCTCTTCGCTACGGACTTCGACGTAGCTCGTGTACTTGATGTCGAGGACGATGTCGATACGGAGGTACTCCTCGGGGATGGCGTCTTCAGTTCGCATCTTCGGTCCATCCTCTCGCTTGAAGAAGGCTTTGCGCTGGACTGCAGCAGTGACGCCCCAAGTCCAGGCTCCGGAGTGCCATGCGGATCGAAAGTAGGATTCATTCTCCCACTTGATCAAGTACTGCTTGTCGTCTTCGCAAACGAGTTCGCATGGTGTACCCGGGCGATATATCTCAACATCCGATGGGCGCCAAGCGATGATACCGCCTACCTTCTGATCGAACGTCTCGTCGCACTCCTTGCAGAGCCATTTGCCAGAGTACTCACGGAAACGCTCATCTGCCATTTCCTCATCGTCGCGATTGACGTCCATAGCGTACGGCGACATGGGTGGTAGATGATGGTAGTGCCAGGCACGAGAGCACTTAGTGCAGCGGAACATGACATTGTTGGGGTCGTTGACAAGCTCAGAAGGTACGTCAACGACTGGATCATGGCCGTCATTTTCCTCACGCTCCTTCATCTCCTGCTGTGTGGTTTTCCGACGTCTAAAGGGTCGACATGAAGCACCCGAGACAGCGCAATCCTGACATTTGGATAGATCAGGGGCAGTGGCGTCTTTTTTCTTGTAGAAATTGATACACCTCTTGCATTGTAGGACAAACTCCTCATCTCCGATCTTGGTGACTAGATGATCGCGAGTGGAGCGGTTGCCTAAGCAGTTCTTGTGGTAAGCCAAAGAGCAGCCTTGACAGTAGACCAGGGGCGCGAGGTTGGGGCCATCGAAGCATACTTCGCAACCCTCGGCGTGTCGCGCACGGAAAGGGTCACTTCGAGGTAGTTTCGGAAACACTTCTCGGACGACTGAGACTTTCTGTGCTACCACTTTGGGAGCCGAGTCGGATCGATAGACGTCATTGATACCCGCTTCCTGCATGTTGTTTGTAGCACGTGTTGCCCGATCAGATTGTCGGACGCCCGCTCGGGGTATCTTCTCAGGCTTTGTAGCACGCAGATGACGTCCCTTGCGTTTGCGACCTGGTAGAAGATCTGAACGGAGGATGTCTGAGGCGCTGGAATCGTCCGTGGTTCCATCTTCCGAGTCTTCCTTTTCATCCTCGTTGTCGTAGGCGTTTGTTCGAATCGGCTGTCTTTTTGAACGTCGTGTGGGTTGTTGTACGCCTTTGCGAGGCCGACGCTTCCGCTTCTTGCGGCCGTCTTCAGAGTCTTCTTCACTTGTGGACAGTGCAATGAGATCGCTATTCTCTGAGCGACCTCTTGCTGGACGTCCTCGACGAGCTGCGCGCCGTAAGCCCTGTGAGCGGCCATTGCGACGACCTGGTGAATCGGAGGCAAGCTCGTCTTGATCGTCGTCTTCGGAAGAGGAGATGGGGATAGCTGAGATATCTACGAAACCGTCGTGATCAGCGTTGCCTGTTCGATTACGAAGCCTCATGTTGCCGTCGCTACCGATCGCGTTCAGATCGTCGTCGGGTTGGAAGGTTTGTAGTGCCTCTGGGCCACCATTAAGCTCGAGGAGCTCTTCGAAGGTAATCTATAGACCTTTGGTCAGCTACCGAAAGTAGAGAGTCGTAGAAAAGGAATCCAAGCAGAGGTGGTGCCTATATAGCAAGACCAGCTGCACCCGGTGCGAGAGCTGCCTTTACCGGTAATAGAAAGGCAGTTCGGAATCTCAAGAGTGTTGTCACTCACATGCTTGACGCGGCCACCCGAAAGCTTGACCTCGTAGATCATCTCACCCTTCCTCCCGGAGAACTCGCGCAGGATTCTCTCCACTTCATCTTGAGGTTCGTAGTACTTGTACTCCGCTTTCTTGACTTTCGCTGAGGGTATCCGAACGCACACCGCCCGCCGCTTGCGAGGCGGAGTTTCGACGTGCATAGTAAAGTCTTCGTTTATGTCGTCCTGCATTGACATGGTAGCGGGGCAATCGGACGCTTCCCTCGCAGGCGCGGGGCGGGGAGCATTCAGGGCAGCGTTTGCCTTGGGGCCTGGTGCTGGCTTCCTCTTGAACGCTGCCATAAGCGCTGCGCCATCTTTGTCACTGCTCATGTTTGCGGTTTGCGATGCGTGTGCTCGATGTGATACGCAGCTGCGGGAAGGCTCCTTCGGCGACTTTGGGAGGAATCTATATCGACAGCATCCAATGGGCCCGACTCGGTCGAAGCGTGCGAAAAAGAATCGGCGTAGGCCTCGATTTCCTCGGGAGGTCCGATGTACAATCTGAAATGCGACATGAGTGCGTAACGGGGATGCAGGCGCGCTGCTGTACCGCGGTTTCCGTCGCGTCTCGATGAACGATTATAGCGCCTAAACGCCAGACGCGTGACTTCGCGTCCCGCGCTTGTGATCTTAGTGCGAACGCCTGTCTTGGCAATCAGGAACTTTTTGTCGCATCGCTTTTGCGCTGGTAACAAGTCAAATCTCGGAATCCACCACGACTGTAGGATTGACCTTGTTATGGTTTATCTTTGCCTATCTAGTAGCACGCTACTACGATCCCAACCACTGGTCACTCCGCGCAGCTTCCTCCGCTACAAATCCATTACTGCCGCCATCGAGAGGGGCAGGCAGGGTGGACCAGACCGACCCTTCAGACCGCGGACACGAAACAATCGCAACGATGAAAGAGATGAACCGGTGAAGACCCGCCGTGAGGCACGGTTCGAGAAATTCGGTCCTCCTCGCGACGATCCAGAACCAAGATTCGGTGATCGCTCGACTGTGACACCTCGCAGTAGCAGATTCGGACGTATACCCCGTGATGACGATGCACCCAGTCGGTTCAAGGAAGAGCGACCTAGTGGCTCTGGAAGAGAACGATCGAGCGGTTTTGGAAGAGAGCGACAAAGCGGGTTTGAGCGAGAGCGACAAAGCAATTTCGGAAGAGATGCGCGCGGAACGGGAGCTGAGCAGCGCCCACACAACACCAGCGACGCACAAACAGAATTCATGAGGCTGCATCGCGAGAGAAGACAGTCTTCCCCGTACTCGTTTGATAAGATAGGGAGACGGATGGGTGATACAAAACCACCAGGAGCTTTCCGACGCGATGAGGATGGCTCTAGGTCCCGGCCTCGCATGACAAATGATCGCAACGATTCACGGAAACAGAAGCCAGAGAGAACTTGGAGGGATGACAGGGCGCCTTCATATACCACCCGTACTCGCGATGTAGTAGACGAAGGTGTTACTGAAGCACGATCCTCTCCAATGGGATCAGGCGCCCCAAGAGATGACGATGCAACATCTTATAGTCCGCGAACGCGCGATGGGAATGACCGTTCGTTCGAACCACGATTCTCCCACAGACCGGATTCGAAGGGCGCTAGAAGAGAGCGCTACGGACGAGAGTCGTCTGATGCCGGCTCCGCGACAAGAAGTGGCCCAGACGCACAAAAGCCTTCCGTGCGAGGACCAGAGTCACTCCCTTACACGACTGCTGCTTCAGAGTTCGTTTACGGGTATGGCAGCGTGGTCGCTGCGATCAAAGCGAACCGGCGTAAGTTCTACAACCTCTATGTACACTCACGGGGTGCGAGTAGAGAGGGCCTCATGTCTCGTATCAGGTCCCACAAGCTATTCCCCATCACACAAGAAGTTGGAGATGAGTATATGCGCGCTCTGGACAAAGCGAGTAGTGGTCGCCCACACAACGGCGTGATCCTCGAGGCATCGCCTCTGCCTGTTCCTCCTATCACTGAGCTGAAGACGGCGTCTCTCGAAGACGAGAGCTTTAGGGTTGCACTTGACAGCCAAAGTGCTGAAGACGTGCTCGTCAACGGCAAGCAAGAGCTATACTCTTACAAGTCTGGAGGGTGGAGACACCCGCTGATTCTCTACGTCGATGGGGTAGTAAGTGCAACAACACCGCCCGTAAGATGGTAGCTAACAACGGCAGGTCGATGAAGGCAATCTTGGGGCTATCGCACGCTCAGCCTATGTCCTGGGTGCGGATGCCATCATTACACCGACCCACCATACCGCAAACTGGAGCCACATCGCGGTCAAGGCCTCGGCTGGTGCCGCTGAAGCTATCCCGCTTTTCAAAGTCGGAGACCCAACCGACTTCCTAAAGAAGAGCGCAGGTGCAGGATGGTGCATATACGCGAGCGACGCGATTCCGCCTGCGCCATCAAATCTCTCGTCATCCGACGACGCACCCGAGCCCGGGGCCAACAAGGTAGTTTACACTATTTCGCAGGGTAGGAAACGTCTTCCCGCCGACCACAGCCCAGTTGCCGAGCACCCCACGATCCTCATGATGGGTGCTGAGGGCACAGGATTGAAGACCAGTCTGGTCAACCTGGCGAGATACAAGGTCGGAATCCCCCATGGCCGCGAGGCCAACGAGGTCGGAGTCGACAGTTTGAATGTTAGCGTTGCTGCGTCGATACTCTGCTACGAGATGCTGCAGAAGCCGAGGACACAGCCTAAGCGCGACCCCGAAAACGTTGTCTTCTAGACTACCATTACTTCGAGGAAACTGTCCTCTGTACTATATGTGTACTTTGATAAAGCTCCATTGTAAGCTTGCAGGTTAGACATGCCAGGCTAAGATGGGCAGGTCGTCCAATAGCCGTCAACGACGTGCGTCGTTATCAATTCGCTCTCTCCTCCGTGCGAGGCATGCGCCGTTGCAGCACTAATCGTCCAATGACAGATGCAGGCCAATATGGTAGCTGCATGATGCTGCAGTGCGGAGTGCATCCACTAGGTCCTTCCCGACTACCTAGCTCAGCGCCTCTTATCACCGAGGCCTCCCTAGACTAGCAACAATGGCTTCATAGCGACATCAATCGTGAGGCTCAAAGCGGTGAGCAAATTTGAAATGATCATTGCTGTACTCGCGTCCAGCTGGTACCGCAATCTACCATTCCAATATCACATCGACCCCACGTGTTCGCTACAGTTCGCATACCGGTGGGCTGACGCTGATCGGTGGTGTGGCTGGTGTGCGTGACCAGATCCTTATCAGTGTATGCAACTGCAAATCCATCATCCCATCCAAAAATGCCTCGTACCTGTGACACGCAAAGATTCGGAGTCGAAGGATACGGAAAAGTTCACAAGACTTGACAAAAGTTTAAGTTTCAAGGAAGTAACAGAGCCTAGGATCATGCCATGTCCATCACGACATGATCGGCGATCGGAGCATGGCGCAAAGCTCAACATGGGATTTGACACCGCTTTTCCGAAATGCGATGCAGATTTTGCGCCATCCGCGTCGACGAATCCTCCGCGCTCGCTTGGTGAAAGAGACATGTCGCATAACGTATGTACATGGAATAAGAATGCCAAAACCGTGACACTTCGCATACCCACAACGCGCTATGCGCTATCAGTGGGTGGGTGGTGTCGAGAGAAAAGTCCTAGCGGTGAAATGAAGCTAAACGCGCGTGGGGAAAGGCGTCCAAGCGCCCCTGTCGTCATGGAGCACACGCCTCGCCATACCACGATCCTCCCCCTCCTAGCGCGATTCCAGACGGGAGAGCAGCGTTTTTCACACACCCACCCTCTGCCATACCATGGTGTCGCTCTGACCCCGTGTAGCCCCGGCTGAATCCGTCCTCCCCGCACCTGCTGCTGCCCTCCGTCACCTGGCGACTGTTTATCTATTCGCTCGGTCGCGCCTGCAACCCACCCTTTGTACTCGAACCGCCGCCTAGAGTTAGAGCCTCTGTCCTGCGCATCTGCACGCTGCACGCCTCACACCTAATCGCGCATCCCGCAGTATCATAAACCCCGCAACTCCTCCCTTTGCGCCACCTTCTCGATTCGACAAGAGATTCGGGGCGAATCTCCTCACCACCTGCTAGAGACTTTACACATCCACCATGACGCGAAGAATTGTATATGGCGTGGGGCTTATCCTCACTTTGGCCTGTAAGAGACGATGATAATACCGATACCAAGGGAAATGAGACTGACCGCGCAGGCACCATCATGACCATCGCCAGTATCTCGATGCCGCGATGGGTCAGCTATAGCCCCGACGGCAAGCGCGAATACTCGTACGGCCTCCACAGTCGCTGCTCCGCCGTCACGGGCACCTGTGTCCCCTTCCCCAAGATGAGCGACTGCACAAAGGACCCGTCCTTCTGCAACATGTGGCGGACAGTCGGCTTCCTGACTTCCTTCGGCGTCGTCGTCGAGCTCTGCGCCATCGTATCCTTTATCGTCATCATCTCAGGCGGGGTCCAGCGCCGCGCCGCAGGCTGGCAGGTCGCCGTTGGCGTACTTTCCTTCAGCGCCATCGTCCAGTGCGCCGGCATGGCTATAGTGGTACGTGATCTCCCCGCGTTTTCCCTGCTTCCTGCAGGGTCTGGGGTCCCTATCGCAGAAGCAATGCATGCTAACAGTCACACGCTCAGGCCTTCCTCTTCGACCACGACGAGCGCTTCTGGTCCGGCTGGCACCTCGACCTCTCCTGGACCCTCTGCACCGCCAGCTGGACCATCCTCTTCCTCACCTCCGTCGCCATCGCCGTATCCGCCTTCTACCTCCCCGTCGAAGGCGACTACGAGCTCATTCCTGAAGAATACTACGGTCCGCCAGACGATCGGTAAGGCGCCCAGCTACATCTACATCCACATCGCACATGGTTACGCGTAAATCCTTGTGCACAAAAGAATTGTTTTAATTTGGGCGTGTAGGCTTCTTTCGCGCATATCCGCTTGGGACAACGGCTTCAAAGGCCCCGACTCGGGCATGCAGTATAGTTACCAGCGCGATCAGGATTCCATGAGCGATGTTGTTAGTATTGCGGCGAGTAGTATTGCGCCTAGTGATCGCATGAGAAGGGGGAGCAGTATTGCGCCTGGTAATCGGAGGGAGAGTGATGCGAGGAGATAGGTGGATCACGAACGACGGTTTATGTGCATAATGTGGTGGGACTAGGATGGGGGAGGCGGAGGCATATCTTTATTACTTTGGGCAATAGTCTGGTCTTTGTTGCGCTTTTTGCGAACTTGTTTCGTTTTGTTTTGTTTTGTTTTGTTTTGAGGTTTTTGGTCTACGATACCCTACTGCCATCCACCGGTGGTTGGGCATATATCTTCTCAGCCAGTCTGGATATAAAATATTAGAATCGGCAATTGATTCGGCTTTCTACTCTCAATGCAGTCGACTATATTCTGAGACTTGGCTTATGAGTTCCATTTTGGCTTGCAAGTCCCCGAAACCCGTGGATCAGTACCCCGATCGGTCTCGTTCCAGAGACGTTTGATGAAGTTGTGCTTTGTATTGGATAAAATTGTCCTCAATAAAAGTGGTAACTCGTAGACCATCGCCGAGCTCATTTGCGGTTCGTTGGTGATGAGTCAACACGAGAACTGCGCAGTGTATCTCTATGGGAAATGATTGCGAAGTCCTTTCGGGGTTGTTGGTCGACCTGATCGTTTCATAGTATCCTTGATCTTGTTGGACGAAGCGTGTCATTAGTTCATCACATTGTAATGCTAGAACACCATGCGCTTTTGCTTCGTCTATGGAAAAGTTGACATCCGTACCTCGATTAATGTCGAGCAGAAAGTCATGTAACGAAGGATGGTGAAGCTGGAGTGATTCATATTCATCTTTTGGTATGTCGAGTATTGCATGCAAGCCTTGGACGGTCCTTTCGATGCCTTCTTTCCCAATAATTAACAGATGACCTAGCGCTTGCACACTGCGAGGTAACTGCTGCAGTCAGAGTTTCGAGCACAAGCCTCAGCATCTTGCATTGATCCTCCTTCTCTTCAGTGGTATATTCCGGAGTAAGTCAGTCTCGCAGGACGGTAAGGTATAAGTTGTCGAGATATCTTTCGGGGCCGACTGGACTGTCGCCGTCCTGTTCCATCATGGATTTAAGTCTTTGCACCGCAAAACGTCTTCCTTGTCGTATGCATCTACACACGATCGCCGCCCAAATGAAAAGGCCGCCGGCCCTTTGTGTCATCTTTGCGATCATTTCTGGGCCGGGCCAATCTACAGATAGATATTGTTATTTACAGATAGTCATAAGGTTCTGCTTCAGGAAGAGCGTTATGTCAGCATTGACTATGTCTGGCGATATGCGGTGGAGCACATAGCGCTGAAGCAATGCGTTCGACCCATGGTCAAAACCATGCCGGATTGGTACTTCAGGTCTGCTCGTCAGGAGTATCCTGAGTTGTAGTCTGCCCGGGTCCTGGAGTTCAGCCAACAGCTCGATGATCTTGCCAATATTGTCATCGCCATCGCACTCGTCCAGTGCGTCAATGACTAAGACAACAGAGGTCAGACGTTAGGGAACTTGGTTACCACTTCACATATATGCTGGCGCATTCCTGAAACATGACTCACAAGCTGGAAAGCGATGCTGGTTGCATGACTAACGTCGCCGCCGCCTTTGGAGAAGAAGAAACTGGCCGCTAGGCTACTACGATCGCTAAGCCTACGAGCCACAGTTCACGCGATCGTCGACTTCCCGGTGCCAGCTAGGCCGTTCAACCAGTACAAACAGTGCTCATCTTGTGCATTGGCCCAACTGTATATCTCTTCCAAGAGGGAGATTCGTGTGCCGGGAAGGCAGAAAGGCTCGGGTTGCCTGACATACGCATTTAATGGCGCCTCGACAGCGTGCGGTAATAGCTCGAGCTCGGCGCCCGAGGTTTGACTACAGTTCCGTCAGCAACGTTACACCTTTCTCTCAATTCTAAAGAGTGCACATACTCCACAACAATCTGACCATGATTCTGGTACACTCCCGCTTGAATGGCGAACCGCCAACCATCGTTATTGAAGCTGACAGGCTGAGTACGTATTTGTGAATCCATAGCCGCTTAGTAGCAAGAGCGAACGAGAGCGACATATCAGAGAGGACACCAGGTACTATAAAGACATAGGGCAATCGTATGTCGGCTCAAGGAAAGTTTTGTGCGCATAGCAGGGCTGAGGCAGTCGAAAAGGTGATCTGCGAGGCAGACTCTCGGACAGCTGAAGGCAGGTCATGCAGCCACTGGCCACACGCAGTGGTTCAGCCTCTCGCGTGAGCAGCAACGAAACCGCGAGCCTTTCCGCACTATTTCTTGCACAAATCCTTCCCTTCTGCGATCTTCATTTCTGAATCATCGCCATCATCTTTTTTCCGGCTCTCACTATGGAGCCAGCCGGTCTTGCACTTGGCATCCTCGCCCTCACAGGCACGTTCAATAACGCCATAAACTGCTTCGAATACATTCGACTTGGCCGCGCTTTCGGCACCAACTTTCAAACTAGCTTGCTCAAGCTGGACAACGCGAGGCTACGACTTTCACATTGGGGCGAATCTGTTGGATTAGACAGCGACTTCAGCAACGCCCACAACATCAAGCTGGCGACAGGACCGCCCGGAGACGTGGCTGCAGCCGAAAGAGTACTGTCGCAGATAATGGACCTTTTCGCAAACGCTGAGGGTATATCCATCAAGTACAAGAACCGGTCAGGAGAAGTCGAGTGGAACCTTGCTATCATCGACTCAGCCACAAACATGGAGCCTGTGGGCCAATTGCTACACGAAATAATGCGCTCTCTGTCTATCAAACGCCACGGCAAAAAGTACAATGGGCACTTTACAAAGAGAAGCACTCCAAGAGGTTGATTGAAGATATTACGGATCTCGTCAGCGATCTCGTGGAATTATTTCCTGTGGCACGCGAAGAGCAGCGCAGGCTGTGTAGAACAGACGTGTCGGAGATCAGCTCCAGGGACTGTCTTCGTGCTTTGGAAGAGATTGCAGCATTGCAAGACAAGGAACTCAATCGAGCACTCGTAGAGACCTTGCAGTCAGAGGCTAATAGCTTCATGTCAATGCGAACATCAGGCCAACGCTGACATCCGAAACAGGATAACAGGAACGCGACGTTCAATAACTACGAGTCTAAGATTGGTCAGCAAGTGGGTTGGACACATATTTCTGGTAGTCAGATGTTCAATGTCTCGTAGCGAACTCCATAGTTCACGCAATGTGAGACGTACTCTATCTCTAGGCTCAGTAGTCCATCTTATTGAATCTTGCTCGCTCTCTCAGATCGTTGGTCGTGGCGATGTTAGATAAGAACAATATCTTTCGTCTCCTCATCGTTTCGCATAATCTCCCCATCCATATGGTCGAGCAGAAAGCAGTCCCCTATAAAATGATAAGCGTTCGCATTATCATGCGCTCCCTCTGCCTTCCGCAGTACAACCGGCACCCGCATCCCCATCAGGGCGCAAACATCATCCCCAGGCCTTACACCTGGATAAGCCAATCCCATATTCCCCTTCTCCGTGACATAAAAGCAGCGGTCTTCCGCGGCGATTATAACTGGCGACAGATACGTTGTATGGAACGGGAAGACGTCAGGCTCCAAATCCAAAAACTCTTGCCAGTCTTCCAGACTGGGCAGATCTTCATCTCTACTGCGGCGCCATGAGGTACCTTCCCCGATCGAGTGCAGCGTCGCGCATATTGCGCGCTGAAAAGGCTTCCGGATAATCGCTTCGTCAGTGCAGGATAGTGCCTCCATGGCGAGTTTGTGCCACTGTCTCATATTGGCCATCATCGCCCTCGGGCCAGATTTAAGAGTGTGTGGTGCGCCCACATGACGAATGACATCGGCTTTCCGTGCTTTGACATAAAGCTCCCATTTGTCGGTTGAGATGAATGTGCCCAGTGGTTCACCACTACAGTCGTACATTGCGGCAAGACTTACCCTATGGCGCTCATACATGGGGTCGGTGGGCATATTAGCAAGATCGCGAACCCAAGATGGTCTGCCGTCGCTATTCGGCCCAAACCCGTTGCCTTGCAGGATTCCCGAAACGTCCGCAGTGTGATCTAACATCAATCGGTATACATCCGTCCAGGTCTCCGCTAAGGGTTCCGTGTAGTCGGGTTTGTACTTCCCGAACATCCGCGGCGGTGCTAGCGCCAAGATGGAAAAGACTTTGTCGCGGGGGTCATGACACTGTCGCTTCGAGAATGAGAGCAGAGTTTCTTTGAATGGCATAACTCCCTCGATAGTGGATGAATGACCAGGTATAGTTGCAATGCTGCCATGATAATACTCTCGGAACCAATTGATCGTCTCATGCTCGTACATGAAGGCGTCAATAACCTTAATCTTGAGCCAATGCTTCTTCGTTTCTCGGCTATCAGGCAGGCAGCAGTGTTTGACTCGGGTGTCTTGGTTTCGGATTGCTTGTGCGAAGCGGTCCCAGGTCGTGTTGCAGGTTCCGTACCAGAGGAGGGTGGATTTGGGTAGGATGACTTCTTGAACGGTCCAGGATCTTTGCCACCATGGACTCCCTGTCATGAGATCGAAGGCAAGTCGGTGGTTAGTGAACTCTTCGCTTGGTTTTCCGTCATGCTCATCGAGAATTGCGGGGAGAGTGTGCCAGTGTTTTCCTTCTGCCATATGCTCGATCCAGGCGAAGGGGGCTGTTCCTAGTGGTAAAGCATCTGATATTGCGCCCAACCAGATGTGTACGACGGAACATCCGGAGTAGATGTCGCCCATCATGGCCACCTGGTGCGATTTCTCGCTCAGATCTGCTTGGTTTATGCACATGGCATCCGCCCAGAGCGTGAGTATTTCGTTTGGATCTCGGATGTGATAGAGAAAGTCGAAGAGATTCGTTGTAATTTGCACTTCCTGACCATCTACTTCGATCGGTACCGTCTTGTTGGGATCGCCCCATACATAGGAGACGCATGCATAGGTCCCAGTAGCACTGGCGAGATCCTTTACGCTCAGTGTGGCTGTTATGCGGTCAGTGCTAGACGGGTAGAGATGTAGCAACCGAATTTCTCGTCGACTGACGTCTAGCGGTTTTCCTTGATACTTAAACAAATTGTGAGTGTCCATCTTTGATGACGATAGGATCTAGATTGGAGGAGGTGAAGGACGTGGTTTATCTGAATGCGAGAAGCCGATGTCGCCGTCTTCCCACTTCATTTCTGCAGCCTTACATAGTCTGAAGGCATTCGAGGTATTCACAGACTCTTTCTCTTCTAGGAAGTTAGTATGATTGAATCTGGCGACGTTCCACGTGATGCCGTGGGGTGAGGGATGAATAAGCATTCTGTTGGTCGTGCTTGTGTCTGGCGATACGCGAAACCCACAGCTACCTCGGTAGACTCAAGGAGAAGGTACGACATCAACGCAACTCTTTGGGCTGAGTTCAGTTCGATGTTTAAATGGTTGCGCTGCGATTGCGAAACTCATGGCGGAGCGACCGACTGGAGGCATCACTCAGGGCGCGTTTTGATGAGGCCGCTAAGGCTGTTGCGCCCAAGTCTTGAGTCCAGCCAGATTCGAAGGAAGGCGGGACGCTAGGCGAGGTCTTGGCATGCAGGTGCTCTGCCGACGACAGGTACACAGCCTCCACTGATCTCACACGATTCCACGAATGACGGCAAAATAGCGCTCGACGCTGCAAGGCGGACGGGCTGGATGGCATGTTATTATCCAGCTGAAACACGTGCTGTGCTTGAATACCTAGTCTACATCCTGCGCATTGTCCGGAAGGATTTGGGGTTGCTTCGCCTCCTTATCTTCCTAGACCTGCAGCTTTGTATTGACTACATCATACGACTCCGCGGACCCGGCGACATACCACGTCACACGCATGCGGCAGGTCTCATTGGCTGCAGTCAAACGTAAGTGTAAGGTGAACGATCGGGTGCCGCTGTGATGAGCGTTGGGGCTACTACCACGCCTCGAAGGAGGGGCCTAAAATGGGTGAAGAAACGCGTTTGATGTTTGACGTCGGGGCTTCCAATAACACAAGGAAATTCCGCCTCCAATCTAGATACGACGAACACGGCGATGGGGCTTCATTGAGTTACGATGCTTACCTGTGCCGCATTACATCTTTTGCAAACCTCGGAAGTCTTACCCCGTTCTCCCTAAAAGAGGGTCCAGGTATAGGCAGACAAGATAGCCGTCCGAAAACCTCGAAAGAATAACTCTAGACTCTAAGCAAAGAGCGTCATGCGCTTTTCAAGTTGAGGATATAATTAACGTATCCATCATAGATACAGTCTGCATCGGGAGCTTGGAAAGCTCTCTGCAGACCACGTAAACGCCGGTCAGGCGTACCTCTACAACGTGTAGCTTGCGTAACCGACGTGGCTGCGCCGTCTACCAGTGGCCAAGCCAAGATCCTACACCGTTCTTGTGAGGCGTGGCAGAAGATGAGACAATATCCAGATACTTGTACAACCGTACATCTGTCGTGATATGGCGTTGAAACGGTGCGCTGCCGTCACGTTACGCCTAATGTAGTCCTGCACTAGAACCTCTCGCGCGACTTCCAACGGCATCCCGCGGATTATTCATCAATCTTATCAGCGAAATGGAAGATTTACCAGGTTCAGTACCGTACACGGCGCGACAAAGGCGAAATCCTGCCGAAATCCCCGACTTGGGTACTGTACGCTGGCGGCAACGGCCCCATAACGACCATCCCGTCAGACTTTTCAGGAAAGAAATGCGTACAATCTTATTAGACATTGCTCCTTCTGGGCGTGCACATGCCTGTGCTCCTACCAGATTAGTCTGCTCATGTACCTGTACTAAGGTTCCGTCGTTACCGAGTAGTTCAATCGAAACATCCCGAGGAATGATCGGACTGCGCATGAGAAGTTTTCCATTGCTGCGACCGTATGTCTTTCTGTAGATTTGCAGACCGTAAGCTTTGCGTCTTTAATTTGGCGTTGTTAGGCGCCCCGAAATAGCGGATTGTAGGCGTGGCGCGACTGCTGTTAGCTCGGCTATTCTGGGCAAACGAGCGAAAGATCAGGCGCGATACGAGGCTCGCATCCATTTCTTCGTTTTCGGACGGTTACCCAAGGCCTCTAAGGGTGCATCCAGGGAGGAAATATCTGCGCATTTCACCGAGTCTACTCTGCTTGTGCAGTCTTGGTTAGGTCAGCATTCGGCCCGTCATGTTCACGATACTCGACGGGCAACCCCCAGACGTACAGGGCTGAGCTCGTCTTACTGCGCCGACAAGGGGGCGGGGGCGATCATCTCCGCTGCATGCTTAGTAGCTAATCAAACTATCGCATTGTCGCCAAGCTTTGCTTGTCAAGCCTGTCAGCGTTCGCAAGGGTCTGGACAGCGCGAGATATGCCGGGGTGTCCGCGACTCATGGTAGGCTGCCTACCTTTCGACGGGTTTGCCCCCTCGCATAATATGCCGTCCAACCGGATGCGGCTGGGCTTACGGGACCGGCGTGGAAAGGGATGAGGTTGAAATACAGCGGCGTCGCTGCCTACCGGTAAGCTTGAGTTTCGTCGTTCTTTTGCTCCAGCACCATGGCGTCCATGTCTGGGTCGAAGCCCAACTGGATGAAGCCTTCCGGCTCTTGGAATATCTTTGCAAGCCCCCGATGGATCCGGATTGCGCTGGCGACGTTTGTGGTCGTGTCGACATTTGTTTTTCTCGCCGTGGAAACGCGCGCGTTCGATCATATTTCCATTCCGGAGTTTAAAAGTCACAAAAGCGACAGCGCTGCCAAACCAGAAGAAAAGGAGCCAATACCGCAAGCACCGCCTTATGTCAACGCCAACATCACTCTCGACAGGGAAGAGAGGCTAGCATACGTCACATTTCTCTCCGGAACCGTTGATGCGGGCGATGATCTGGAGGAGGACAAGTACTTCCAAGCTATCCGGATTCTCGTCTGGCAGCTCGTACATAAAGAGGAGACTCGCACAAAGCACGATGTCGTCGTTATGGTCACACCCAGCGTCTCTCAGGCGCGGCGCGACCGGCTAGCGAAGGACGGTGCCATCGTTCACGCTGTCGAATTCCTGCACACCGAAAACGATAGTTGGGTTCACGCCGAGCTGCACCGATGGGATGACGTTATGACGAAGCTACGCGTCTGGGAAATGACACAATACGACCGCATCCTTGTCATGGACGGAGACTCGATGCTGCTCAAGAATCTCGACGGCGTTTTCGACGACCCGGGCGCCCAGCTCCTTGCCACCAAGCCCACGAACGAGACGAACTTACCCTCCACCTACCTCCTCGCCTCCAACTCCGAAGTCTGGGACTCGACCCATTCCTTCCCACCCGGTCACGGCACCGGCCTGAAGAAGGCCGGCAAAATGAACGCAGGTTTCTTCATCCTCGCACCCTCACTCGACGCGTTCGACTACTACAAAGAGCTCCTCAACACCCCCAACTCCTTCGATCCCCGATACCCCGAACAAAACCTCATGAACCACGCACATCGTTGGGACGGGCCGATGCCGTGGCGGGAGATAGCATATACCTGGAACATCCGTTGTCCGAACGACGTGGATATTGCCAAGGGCCTGGTCAGCGTCCACGAGAAGTGGTGGAAACAACCGTATATTTATGAGAACGCCAAGACGAAGCAATGGCTGTTGACGAGGCGGTGGGAAATGAAGGGCTGGTATGACGCTTTTGAGGGAGTGAACTTGACGCGCGTATGAGTACTTGCGATAGCATAGCAGCGAGGCGCTTTGGAGTTAGATGTTTGTTGCGATAATACCCAATATCATATCATGTTCATTTCAAGATTATATCATACAAATTTTGGCCAATATCCACAGCTTACGGTGATACTCAGTCTCGAAAGCGCCAATGTGTTGACGGAGCGAGGTAGTGCAAAACTATAGAAGGTATTATACTATGCTACGAAGAACCATCTTGCTTGCTCATCGCTGAAGATACTGAAACGTGAAGCGAAAAAAGTATACACACTGTAAGACATGCTCAAACTGCGCTGTCAATGATGCATGTAAGTCGTGGCGACTCGCTGTGTAGCTTTTGAACACCGCAAAGCCTATCCATACGAGTGCTTCGGCCATGTCAGCTTACATCTGCTTGTAGATGCTATCCATACGATCCCGAAGCGATCGCATTGCGTCGTTAATGATGGTCATCCGCCCCTCGGTGATTTCCGCACCAGCCGGAATACGAGGTCTCAGCTCGGGCTTCCGCTGAATTTCCTCATCTAATGCCACCATCTCATCCTTCATCTTCTGTTTCTCGTCACGATCATTCTCGGCTTCTTCGATCTCCTTTTTGTACAACACTAGTGCAAGTGCACCAGTGTCACCAGTTTGAGGCGCGTCCTGGTACTCGAACTGTTTCCTTCGGACATTATTCTCTGCTTGGCGGCAATGATGGTGCTATCGTCCACGGCCTGGAATGTCTTATTTTCGACTTCCTTCAGAGGTTTCAGAATAGATTCGACGTCACGATTTCGTATACCGTAGGCGGTCATTTGCTCATCTGCAGTGCCTTTTGGCCGATCCGGATCCTCTTCATTGTCCGGATTGGACTCATAAAGTGGAGGGGTACGCTCGTTTTTTTTTTGATTGTCTAGCTCTTCCGGTACGTCTTCTGGTGTCTCTTTGTCGATGCTTTCGTAAAGCTCAAGCATTCTCGCTGTACTGAGATCAGTCAGATGACCTACGCGTACGAGATTTGTGGACCAAAATAGCGACGTTGGATAAGAGATTCAAAGATGAACGAGGACTTAAGTCGCCCCCGGCAAGCATGAGCGGGATGCAAAGATACAAGAATCCCGGGTCTTTCTCAGTGAGCTTACTGCGGCTAAACGTCTCCCCTTCCTTCCGGAAACCGATGTAGACAGCTCGTTCCTTGAGACTAAGACCCGTTAGCCCCTGCAATTCTCGTGATGTCACGGGTGCAAACACTCCGTGCTTGCGGTATTTCTTCACAAGGATATGGAATCGGTTTTTTGGTATCGCTTGGCCATAGAAGGTCCGTGTAACCCCTTTTTCTCCGATTTGACGGGGAGGAGTGGTTGCTTCGTAGACGACAGCTCGAAACAAATTATCTCACTTGAAGCTATCGATCTCCGCCTCTGAGAGGCGTCGACAGTGTCTGGTGTTTGAAGGCTTGACAAGATAGATTGCCTAGGTATCCTCGTCTAGATACTCGTCAATAGTCGGGCCATTGAATCTACGAGGGAGTGCATCGCATAGTAGTTTGCCCAAATCGGCTTCGCTAAATGCACTTCTGGCATAACGTGAAGGCTTAAAGCGTCTGCATCTATCTCTGAATCCCACCCTTGCTATGCCTGCAGGTGCTCGCGGGTTATTTCCATTGACATGGCTCCGAGTATTTCCATCACCCACAGTGCTTAGTTGAATCCCACTTCGTGTTGTGTTGTCTCTAGTGGGCCGAGCGTCTGCCTTTGATCTTGCCATATCTGTTTTACAGGTGCTTTCTTGATACGGGAAGCCGTCTAGAATCGATAGATGCTTCAGTAGTTGACAGTCGGATTGGGCCTGCAAGTCCGTTCGATGCGTATGAAGGGAAGACCTTTGTGGGTGACATCGTAAGTGTGTTCACATTCGTCGTCTTACGCAGTAGTGAGCAAACATCGCGATGCGCATGTATGGGCTGAGTGAAACAGACCATGCCGTGTGAATGTAGAAAAGCGATATGTTCACACAGCAACCCGCTGCATAGCGCATCACCGCATAGTGTTCACTCAATGCCATGTCGCCTGACTCAGGATAGTAATGACTAATCTGGAAATGCAATGACCCAAAAGAGATGCATTGGGCCGGAAGTCGTCAACGAATCTTTCAAGTTCTCGAGTTGTTTTGTTGTCTTCATCAGCAGTCTTAATGAAACTGTACTCACTTGCCATTTACAGTAGCAAAGAGCCGAGACTTGCGCACACAGAAACGCTATGACCACAATGCAATAGATCATGCAAAGGGGCGCTTTGTTCCGTCTTGGCCCTATCACCACTAAATCTCAGTTTTCTCTTTACCTCGAATGTAACTCCTCCATCACTCCTGAAATGGAGTACCGCACCCATCGAGGCCCTCTGCAAGAAGTAAAGGAAACTAGGAAGTCTAGAAAGCGGGCTCTCGATGACGATAACAACAACAACGCAAAAGCTGTAGGAGAGCGGGATGGCAGAGACGCAAGACAAAATAAGTAAACAAAGAAAGAGAAAACAACCAGTAAATGACCTCCAGATCTATATTACAGCCAGAGAAGAACGTCTTCAGTCTTGGAAGAAGGAACTAAAAATATTGGGGATGTGAAGACTATAATGGCTACAAAGCAAAACCGAGGTTCACCCGTAGAACGATCGGACAGAGAAGCCGGCGAGAGCAAGGCAGTCATCGAGCGCCTATGTGCCAACGAAGCTTCCGAGATCCTCATCTTGAAGGGAACTGAGATTGAGCCGGTGGATACAAGTCCGCCTGTAATGTTAATGAAGGTCTCATACGAGCTAGCACAGAAGGTTCAAGCCCAGATTTCAACCGGCCTGGCTTATCGGCACGAAAGAAACATGTCTATGTCGAAATTGGACAATGATCTGAGAACGGACGGGTTGGTGCAAAAATCCATCGATATTAGATTTCAAGGAATCCAGAAGCCCGACGAGGGCCACGGGCCCACTCCGCAGGAATGTGCTTTGGCCAAGCGCTTAGAGCAAGAAGCGCATAATACCAACCTCGAGATAAGACTCACTGAGCAGAAGAAGAAAACCCTATCGCGAGATGTTGAACTTGCCCGTAAGACGTGGGAGGATACTGCGATGACGGTGGTGGATGCCCTACAGGGTATTTTCGCCAGATGCGGGTTATTCGACGATGCTGGGGGCGTAAATAGGCCTGCTGTCGTGCAGCAAGTCGATGAGAGTAGGGCGACGAGTGGATGTCTCGTCGTGCCACAACTCGACGAGAGGAAGGGCTCTAAGCTTTCGCCGGAGGAGAATCAAGCCACTCAGAAGGCAGTAAATGATGGATCCATGAGCACCAATCAGGCTGTGATTATCGTTAGAGTGGCTAAAGCTCGGAGAGAGAAGCGCGAGGCCCAAAGAGAGCACGACGAACATCGCAACACTTTCCGACGAGGACTACTCGCGGCACGTGTTGCCGCTGCTGCTGACCGACCGGATGCACCCAATCGCCTTATAGAGGAGGAATTCAGCCGCGACTATGTGCGCGCTGGCAATAAACTTACTGAAGCGGTGACCCACGCAGAAGCGGCCCATGAAGCTCAGTTGGCAGCTGCAGCAGAAGCGGCAGTCTCCATCATAGGCTCAGACGATGACATGGAACCAAACTTCCCATACGATCTTGAGGAATACGCAGCAGTCAAGAAGAAGTGTCTTGACCGAGACGCCGTCCAAGAACGGATTGAAGCATTTGAAGCAAGCTCCAAGCCCAACTTGCGGCCTTTGGGGTACCTACTGCACATGGCACAGAAGTGGCAACGGGCAGCAGAGGCAGATGACGACGTCTCGAGCTCAGGAGAGGAATCAGTGTCGATTGCCGGCGTCGAGCCCCGCAGAGAGATGACACAAATGCAAGACTCTGTGCTGAAGCCGGCATCAAAAAGTAAGTCCTGGCACACGGAGCCGTACTGGAGCTTCAGCGACTGCGCAGAGGGGAAGAAACGGCGGCGGATCGACGATTAGACGCGCAGGATACAACAACCTGTTGGATGAAGATAGCCATACTGTTAGTAGTGAATGTTCGAATGTATACACATTTCACCTAGTTTAATGTGTCCACAGGTGGTGGTGTGGATGATCGCGATTTCATCAACGTGCTAAATTTGGATCACGTCATGGCATAACACATCTAAGCCCAATATAATTAGCGGCTTGTCGAGCAGCTCACGGGGAAACGAGTGCCAAATTCCGCAATGTCACGAGCGCATTTACATCATGCTTTGCGCATCGTCCGAGCACTGGATGATCTCGATACTACTTCCACAGTGACTACAGCTGTTTTCATGCTACGTTTCTACGTAACCCACTCGTATACCCCTTGGTCGAATCGCAATTCCGAGACGTCCGCGTGGTGGATAGCGACATGCAAAGACATTCAAATGCATGACACCGGGCGATCTCAGCTTGCATATCCCCAAAATCTTCTCCAAGTCCAGGCCGTCATAGTTAGCAAATCATATCAGGCGTTCGTGGCACCGTCGCTATCGCCGACCGGGTCTTGATCAGCGACCTGCGTGATAGCTTCTAATGGGTCAGTGCTGGTGTCTCCCTTGCGGTACAGCTGCCTCGAGACGTGACCAGTAAGATACCCATCGAAATCCCGCATACACAGTGACGCGACGATCGCAAGCACCCCGATAGCGACAGCGAAGTAGTATACGTAAGCGTACGATCTGGAGTAAGCATTGCTGATAGCTATGTTGGTGGTGCGAAGCAGCTCCGGTGTCATGCCATCGATTTCGAGAAGAGCTGTCTGGTTGGCGGTCTGGGCAGCTGTCATGAGCGCGCCTAACGAGCTTTCCTGTAGTCCATCCGCTAAAACGCGTTGCGGTACTATCGATGCGAGGTATCCCGGCACTTTGTTCGTATACACTGCGATGAATGCGGCGGTAAAGATCGAACCGAAGATAGTGCGGGACGCTGAAATGACAGCTGCTGGCAGTCAGTAACGCCACATCTTTCAGGTTGCAGTTGAAGGACTTACAAAACGCAACCCCGAGATCTTGGTCCGAGACCACATACTGTACGACAATGGCTGCAATGACCTCGCCCCACCCAATGGTCCAGCCCGCAAGAAACGAGAAGGCGATTGCACGGGCTTTGTTCTCCACTGTAATGCTGGCCATTGCACCAAGGAAAGCTGTCATCCAGATTGAGGACACCAGGATCTGGTACCGGATGTGGCCAATCCACGACATAAGAGGACCGAGAATGACTATCCCGCCCCAAAGACCGAATGCAGCTGTTGTTGAAAGCCATGCGGTCTCTTCCCAGGAACTGACAGTGGAGCCAAAGATATAGACCACCTGTTGTGGCCACATAACAAAAAGCGCGATATTAATGATGCCGTATGTTGCTGAAATGACTTCTAGACAGGTAAACCCGCGTATGTCGCGAAAGAAGCGCATGGGAACGATCGGTTGCGCTGGCGGCAAGAAGACCTCGTAGAGAATGAACGCGATAATGGCCACTGCGCCGGAGAGCAAAAGACCGAGAATCCTTGGAGATGACCACGGCTGTGCCGGACCGCCCCACGAGATGCCAAGCAGGAAAAGAGCCAGACCTGCTACCAAAAGGATTACCCCTGTCCAGTCGACCTTCTTGAGCTCGGCGAGCTTGCTGGACTTCTTGCCGTGGAGCTGGGTATATGAAGGTGGGTGGTAGCAGAAGAACCACAAGACAGCGCCGGGGACTGTGTTGATTGTTAGCAAGTCAAACTGTCGTGATGAATGCTGACTCACCCATCATCATAATGTATATGTAGAAGATCCATCGCCAATCAGCTACCTGAACCAATCGCAGACCGATGTATGCCCCAAAGCCGGTCGCAATCACATTTGGCACAACGACCAAAGCAGTACCGACATATTTGTACCTGTTACTCACGAGCTCGCCAGCCAAAAGTGGGTAGGCTGCTGGCACTCCAGACGCGATGCCCATGATGACTTCAGCTCCGATCAACGTCTCAATGGACTGCGCTGTTGCCGCCACGATCCCACCAATGATCGCAAGCACACAAGAACCCAAAGCAAAGTTGCGGCGCCCAAACCGATCGCTAAGTCGGCCGAACAGCAGGAGAGAGATAGGCTGCGACACAGTCCATACTGTACTGACGAGGGCAACGTTGGCGCTAGGCCCAATGTCTGCGTTGACGGAAGATATAGCAGCAGCTAAGGCTTGGAATTGGAAATATGTCGCAAGCACAACGATTCCAGTTCCAGAGAATGAGCCCACGATTCTTGCACTGAAGAAGTAACCGTGTCGTAACTTGGAGACATCAGTCGAAAGTGCTTCGGATCGTAGTCGGTCCGCTTCTTCGGGGTTGGGGCAAATAAGGGATGTGTCGGGTTCTGGAATGTGCTTCTCGGACAAGGTGTCTGGCAGATTGCTGTTTCTGTTGAGGTGAGGCATCTTGTTCAACGAGGCTACTTCCTTGAGACTCGAGAAGATAGCTGTGGAAGTTAAAGTGAAGGTGAAAACGACTTCCAACGTGTGTAGGATCAGACGCCATACTAAACCAAGATGGAGTGTAGATCCAAATTACTATGGGCTCACCTAAAACTCATATCGCTCCCTTTCTCGCGTAGTCAACATCTTGATCGCCAAAAGTTTTGGACAGCGGGATGCAGTAGCGCATGCAGAGTCTTTCCAGGAACATTGACCCGTAAGCGCAGTGGCTAGAGCATACAAGCCGATCCCAAGGGATTGCCGTCCTCAACGAGGGAGATTGTAAATGTACGTCGCCGAAAGGATTGGCCTCGCCTCTTACGAGCGCTTTAGGCTCGTGCTTAATACACGGACCAGGGACCAGTGGTTACCGTTGGTGTCTGTCGAGTAATGGGTAATACAGGTATGGGCTGCGATACATGTGCTAAGTCAGGGTTACTGCATATCGGACTGTTAAAGCACTGGCACTAAGTGCTGGCGTGGCTAATCAGCCATGCATCAATGACAGGGGTCTGTTGTACGCCGATCCATGAGCTCTGGATCCAGGTGCTATTGATCTACAACTTTCACAGACTGGCTAAGGAGGTAGAAATTGATCAATTGAGTGGCAGCTGTCTCTGTTATGCCATTGTGTATAACTATATGCTAGGGTTCGCCATGCATCGAACGCTCAATCATCTGCTCTATGTTTTCTCTGCCTCATTGTATTTGTCTAGGCACTAGACTTCTTCAATGACCTTTCGTTTTCTCGTAGCTGACCTTATACTCATGATCTACCTGAATACTCTGCGGTCCATGTGGGCTCATAATGTTTCGCGTAGACCTGTCATCTTCACCCAGAGACGAGTTGCCATCCATGTCGTCTCCAATATTAGCAGTAGTTTCGATTCCTGTTCGGCCGCTCAGCCTCTTCGACAACGTTGTCCTCTTCTTACTGCCAATGCCCTCCTCAAGCTCCATGTATGGATCACCAGATGCTTGGTCACCGGTACGCTTCTTGCTGCTCCGCAACGTCGAGCCAAGGTCGAGCATCTTCTCGAGAAGGGGACGCAAGGCCGAAAGGTTTGCAAGCACAACGCCAAGCCCAAGCTCTGCATGCGCCCATGCAGCTACGGGCATAGCATAGTATAGGAAGTCTGTTGTCGCGCTGAGATTGAGCGTTACGGTGAGGCGAACGATGGCTGCTGTTGATGCGAATATGCCGAGGCCGAGGAGGGCGATGATGGATATCTTGACGCGGAGGTCGATCTGGACGTTCCAAAGTAGTGGAATGGGACTGCATTGCAATGAGTCAGGACGAAAGCAGGAGTCTCAGTGGAACTTACATGATTGCGCAAAACCAGTCTGAGAAAATGGACACCGCAGAAAGTGCAAAGCTGAATCCAGTAATGTTGCTTTGCGCTTTGCAGGTGCCGCCCTCTACTGCCTTCCAGTTCATCGCAATAGGTGTACAATGGAAGAACTCGTATATAGTCGTCGAGGCCATCACACACGCGACAGCCGCCATAATCGCATATATTGACCACTCATATGCCTTTTTGCCATTGGCGATGCGGAGTAAGGTGAAGCAAATGGCCCATTTGACGGGGATGGCGGCAAGGCAGAACATGGTTTGCATGATGAACCTGTGCGAAGTCAATTATTGTCGAGCTTGCAGTCTGTGACATGGCAGAACTGACCACCACTAGATATAGTGAGCATGAATCATCTCGAAGGTACGTTGCTTAACTTACAAACATAGCTGTCTGCTTCTCGTTGACTGTGAGTTCGTCGTCCCTCTTCCCACCTCCTGTGAAGGCGATTCCAAGCATACCCATAGTTGAGATGATAAAAAGTGGCTGTCTTTCATAAGCAAGTGTGACATTGTTAGAAGCTGCCATGTTCATACAATTGCAACTACCATGGACCAGTCATCCGGCCCCCATGCTTTTCTAGAAAGTCGGACGTGGAAGCGAAGCGCCCAGGTGATGATATCGAAGGGAAGCAGAACAAATACCGCCAGAGCCAACGAGGGGGACGTAGGGCCAGACATGATGGACAATGAGTTCTCCTCTCCTTCTCCATGACTACTTTATGTGCTGACAGTAGGAAACACCCGTGCATCGTAAGTATCCCCTTTCATGGATCCCTTGACGTGAGATATCCAGAAAGATGAGCAATAGTGCTACCATCTTGAGCTCCACGCACATTCTCTTCGGAACCTGAGACAAGATGGTACGTCCCAACGTTGGTAATCCGTCATGCTGGAGCAATAATCCTGCCAAGGTCGCATCCTCCTCCCAAAGTAGCGCCTTGCAGCGACACCCAAGTCTAACGACGAAGCCTGGTAACAATGTGACGAGGTCGAACAGTCAAGGCTACCAATGAAGCGCGCTTTCCGTATGTGACATGCGAGGACGCGGCACGGTGGGATTCTCTAGTCCATGCGCAGCTTTCGGCCCCACATCGCTTGCCACGCCAAGGATGCGGCATGTGCTACGGGAGGGCAACGAACCGAAGAATTCTCGATGGCAACACTAGTGACTAGATGAGAAGAGGGTAGGGAAGGCAGTGGCTGAACAATACTTCGAGGAAAGGTTGAGAGGGAAGCCTCACGCACGGATACCCGCCGCGGGCGGGGAAGACGGAAGAGCGGCCAAAACGGGCTGTAGCGTGGTATCCTTGAAATTCGCCCGCTGCCTGCACATTACATCCCATGCAGGCACAACCACAACCAGTATGGACCTGCAATAGCTGCGAAAGCTCCAATGTTCTAGACAAACTTCGATTCTGAAAGCTGACAAGAAGTCCACACGTTACTGAAGGAAGTACTTCAAAGGCTCTATGCGTTATTTGACCCAATAAAACGCAAATCTTATTGCGCATTCGTTCATTGCGCTGTTAAGCCACCATCGACGTTCAAAATCTGACCAGTTACCCACTGCGCATCGTCGCTAGCGAGATAGACTGCAGCCCTTGCATGATCGTGGGGATGGCCGAATTTGCCGCGAGGGATGGAGGCTTTGACCGCGTCCGCTGCGGATGACAAGGCCCCACCAAGCGCATCCTCGAGCATTGCAGTTTGCGAAACTGGTGGAAGACATTAGAGTGGCCCATGCGATACTGAAAAGGGCGACTTACATCCAGGTGCAATGCAATTGGCGACTATGCCTTCTTTCGCAACATCCAGCGCAATGGTCCGCGTCATCGAAGCCACAGCACCTTTGGACGCCGTATACCCAGCTGGAACATGTAAGCCCAACGCCAAAAGCATCATGATCGTATGTTCTCGCGTGGAACAACTTACTCAGACCCTGCATACCGATGTTGGATACCATGGAAGCGAGGTTCACGATCCAGCCGCGCATACCATTGGAGTGTGGCGCTTGTGCCTTGAACTGACGAACGGCATATTTGCAGCCAAGGAAAACGCCTCGTGTGTTGATACGCATGTGGGCGTCAAACAAATCTTCGTCGACTTGATCGATGGGTAGGGGGTTGCTGGCCTCAGTGCAGATTCCAGCGTTGTTGACCACTCTTTTAGGGTCACGATGTCAGTCACTTCTCGTAGTTGATCGAATACAGAACAGCTGAATAGACACGTACATATCAAGTCGGCCATGTACCTCCACTGCTCGCGCAACGAGTGCCTCCCAGCTGGTGGCTACACTGACATCGGTCTCAACGAATACGGCCCGTCCGCCTTTGCTGATAATCCATTCGTGTGTAGCAGTGTCTTCGCCCTTTCCAATAGGTCTAAGATCAGCGCATACGAGCAAGGCTCCCTCAACGAAAAACTGATGACAGATCTCCCGCCCGATACCTTGGGACGAGCCTGTCACTATCGCAACTCGATCTTGCAGCCTCATGACGGATGATTCGATGGGAGGACCAGTCACAATGAAATGGTATACAAGTTTGACCAGGAGCGCTGTGAGGACATGAAAGTTTGCTCATTTCGCAAGAGACACAGCGGCCCGCAGTTCTAAAACCAAAGTATCAAGAAGATGAGGCGGGCCAGTCACATGTGTCCCTCTTTCTCCGTCGATCTAGCCAAGCCTATCCCCACCCGCGGGACATACCCATGTTCTTCCGCCTACGCGAAGGATCAATGTCACATGCAGCACCCGGGATGGAGTATTCGCCAAACTATTGGTGTTTATGCAAGATTTGTTGGCATATACGCGGGCATAAAAGTATCAAGTAGGTTACATTCGACTAGAGTGGGCAACTAGGCGGCGACAGTACTATCTCAACCTAGCACCAACACCGATCATGACGAGACCTTTGGAGAATAAGTTAGCAATCATCACTGGTGCATCGCGCGGTATGTATGTCTCTCTTTTCGTGACCCCAATGAAAAGAAGATGCTGATCGACCTTCAAAAGGCCTTGGTGCTGCTTTAGCACGTCATCTGGCTTCCAGGGGAGCAAACATCGTCATCAACTACACTTCGGAATCTTCAACAGAAAATGCAACTGCTCTAGCTAAAGAGCTAGAAGCCAATCACTCCATCAAGACATTAGTAGCAAAGGTTGATATTACTACACCTAACGGCCCGGACCAACTCATCAATGCGGCAAAATCGACTATCAGCAACAATGAGAAGTTCCAGATTGACATACTTGTGAATAATGCGGCAGTCGTCAACCCAGCGCCGATGGGCTCAGTCGCACTATCCGACTTCGAAGCCACATTCAATCTAAATGCGCGCGCTCCACTATTCGTCTTACAAGCTGCACTACCATATCTCCCGAACGACAGATCCGGCCGTGTAATCAACGTCTCCAGTATCACGACCTCGATGGGTTTCTGGTGGCAGTCTTGCTATGCTGGCACTAAAGGTGCTCTTGAAGCAATGACAAGGGTCTGGGCTCGCGAACTCGCCGAACGCTGCACTGTCAACTCTATCAATCCAGGTGCGATAGCCACTGGCATGTATACGAGTCTCCCGAAGGAGATGTTGGAGAGGGCCTGGCCGCTAAACTTTATGGCACCTTTGGCTGCGACAAGAGAAGGTATCGATTCGGAGGAGACAATTGCGGCGGCAAAGGATTTGGGCGGAAGGCCCGCGTATCTAGAGGAGGTTGCGGGTGTTGTTGGCTTACTTTGCATGCCTGAGGCTGGGTGGATTACTGGTCAGGTCATTGGAACTAATGGCGGTGGTGTTATGACGAAGGGGTAAGATGCGACTGTTCGGAAAACATGATGGAATGATCGAAAGCATAGACGAGTAGATATCTTCCGCTGGACTACCAAATACTTCCCTCACCATCATCACCCCAGCTATAGTAGCTCTCGTAGCCAGGACATCGTCCGTAACTATCATAACCATCGTCGTCGTGGTCGGTACGACGAGGACCATCACGGCTGTCATGCCTGTCATCGTAGCGATCGTCATGCCACCTATCACGGCTGCGTTCTCGTTCAGGATATCGACCACCATCGCGGCCAAGGTGCCCATCGTCATGGCGATCGTCTTTTCGGGTTTCGTTATTACTATTGTAGCCTTCGTCGCCGCCACCGTTCCCAGCATCGTCATAGCCTTGAACAGTCTGTTGATCTCGATAGTTGCGATAGTCGTAATGTGCGATATTCTGCTGCCCGGTACCGGTGTTCAAATGGATGCTGTTATAGTCACCACAGATGGTGATGTGACGAACGATCCCACCAAACTGCATGGATCCATGTGAGCGGAGTGGAGCGTTAGCATTGTCTTCATTCAGCGGCACTGAAGTATCTCCAGGATAGGCAGGAGGCGGTGAAGAATGTTCGGGCTCTTGACGTCTACTGATCTTGCCTGTAGCGGTGGGTAGTGCGATGGCGCGGTTTGGGACACAGACGCCGTTCGCCGCATCACACATGCGCTGACCCTCTTCTGTATAAGACTGTAGCCCAGAGCCTTACCAGTCGTTGATGTCATCATGAGATTCGTCTTGAGTCGGACGGGACACTAATCGCATGGCAGCTGGGCCTGTTGGTGCACCTTTTGGTATGTTCGACGGCACTACGTATGCGTTCATGCAACTTGATGGGGGAGCATCAGATTTCAATATTTCGATATGCGAGGTTTGTCGCTGGTCCAACGAGGAAAATGCTGAGTCATGTACACAATGCGAAGGATCAACACGTGACGGTAATCCAGGTATGACAGAGGGTGAATCTAGTTTAGAAGAAGAGCAACCTGAAACACCAGCGAAAGACGAGGTACCGCAAGAGTACGAACTACCGGATGAGCAAGCGAAAGAGGCAGGAGAGGACGATGAAGAGGAAGAGAACGAAGATGGGGGCCCATGAAGAAGAACATGTCAAATTCACGTGAACAACAAAAGTAAAATTCGTCGACAACAAGATCATAGGTATCATCCATCCTCCGCTCACCCGCGCGCCACTACCGCATCAGTCCAAACCTTCTACAGCAACGCCCAAGCCAAAACCGCCGCGACCATTCCGCTTCCCACAACAGGACTAAGCCTGCCCGCCGCACCAGTTGGCGCAGGTGACGCTGCCGCATCACCGCCTTCTTCCGTGCCAGAAGCCACATTCTCAATTGCTACGCCACCAACATCCGTTCCGTTCTGGCACTGATCATCCGAAAGCAATTCCGCGGTAGCGTTGAACATGATATCCGCGCACTGTCACTCGTTAGCTCTACCCCTTCCCTCTCTCGAAACCGCAAGAACAACAAAACTCACATTATACAACGCCGCCCCACTATGTCCCAACTGAATAACTTGCACCGTCGCCATCAACCCATTAATCCTCTCATCATCCATTCCACTGTACCCCGCCGCTTTGAACCCTTCTTCCAAGTTGGCGCGCCCGGTTTCTTTCATGCAGAAGATGCCTGGGCCGGTTTGGTTGAACATTTCCAAAAGGGTGATGTTGAAATTTGTCGCGTTGCTGCCGAGGGCGAGGTTCACGGACGTAAGTGCGGAGGGGTGCGAACCGTTTATGATTGTGGAACCGCCGGATGGGGGCCATAGTGTTCCTGTTCGGGGTGAGTTAGAAATAAAGACTAGGATGAGGGTATGTTTGGGGGGGACCTGGAAGCATGTTGGAGGTTAGGAATGGGGGAATGCTTACGGTTCGCCATGTCGGTTGTTTCATTTACGTTGGCGCATGGGTAGATCCATTGACTAGCTGGTTCTTCAAAGGAGCTACCGCGCCATGTGGGTGCGAGGAGACGGAAGTGGGCATTGGCGCCGGCGGCGAGGGCGGCGACTGTGAGGAGGGATGTGGACAACATGGTCGCGGTAGGAGGTAGAGAGGAATGCTGAGATTAGGTTTAGACGTGGAGCTGGAGACGAAAAGATACAGTAGAGGGGAGTTATAGGATGGGAAAAGAGGCACGTTCTCTCAAACAGCGTACAGCATCTGACATGCAGCTACCATACCTTTTATACGCGCCTGTACATCACTCCTCCGTCTCCGCATTCCTCATTACCAGCAATGCCTGCCCTACTAGCGGAATATACATGTCTCTGTTCCGCTGCCAAGCAAACACAAAGCAGCCTCCGCTCGCCTAACCGCGACCACGGCATTGGGAAAGCGAGGATACTGTATGTAAGATCCAATGAAAGATGATGATTTGAGTTGAGGAGTCTAGAACCGGTGTGCACCTGTCCACTCGTGGTTGTTGCGAAGGGGTTGTGGCGCGAGCTACAGCTGCGGCCCTGCATACGGACCCCAGGATAATGTGCTCAAGTGAGCAAGTTTTGGGCTTGGCGAGGGTTGACGGCTTCGCGAAAGAGCGGGCAACATCAAGCTGAAGGAAAGCGGAGATGATGGCGCGAGGGTCGAGACCATTTCATCGCTGTGTTCCGCAGTGGGTACAATTGACGCAAGGTTGAAGATGCAAGAAGGCGGTGTCGAACATGCCGTGAGACGGTAGTAATGTAGGAGTCGCGGGAACGCTAGCACCAATAGGGCAAAGCTCAGAATGATGCATGTGGCATCTAGGTACTGCAGATCAACAAAAACACGCATAGAGAACAAGAAGCTCGTAGAGGAACATGACTGAATTGCAGGGTCTGGTATCATAAAGACTCACTAATCAAAAACTCCATACCCAATGCCACACCCAATGCCACACCCAATGCCATGACCCAAACGCCAAAGAACCATTCATCAAAACATACTACTTTTCTTCTTCTTGATCTTCTCCACATTGTTCTCGCTTTGTGTTCTCAAGCCCCAGAAACTCTTCTTTGCCTTGGCTACAGGCTTCGGCAGTCCGTTGCTGAAGAAGCTGCTCTGACTAGCAGCGGGCCGATGTTGTACAGGTGCTTGCAGGTATACACCTTGCGGGTGCTGCATGCGCGGGGGTTGTGCAGGAACAGGTGCAGGACGGGGCGCTGGACTGGGGCGTTGATTCTGCCATCCTCCCTGTACGAGCGGTGCGGAATGTCGCTGAGGTTGTGGGGATGGGCGCTGGAGGAGGTTGGATTGGTCTCCGAACTGCTTCTTCAAGCGTTCTGTCTCCTTGTCGATCTCAGCCTGCTTCCGGCGTCGCTCCTTCTCCTCGCGTTCCTTCTGCTTTCGCTCCTGCTCGAGGAACTGCAGCGTCTTGCGTTCTTGTTCCTCTTCCTGCCTGCGCCGAGCTTTTCGGTTTGCTTCTTCTTGGCGCTTCTGCTCGCGTGCCTCAGCCTCTACTTGTGCCTTCAATCGCGCAGTCTCAGCGTCAAGCTCCCATTGCGCTCGTGGATCTAACCTTGGCCCCGGCTGCCGTTGTTGTGTTGGGCGCTGCGGTTGGGGCGGGCGCTGCTGCTGAACGGGTCGCTGAGGCTGAACGGGTTGTGGAGGCTGGCTTGGACGGGCCTGGTTCGTAGCTAACGGAGGAAGCGAAGAGCGCTTGGCGGCATTGTTGTTGCTGGTATATGAAGGTGGAGGTACTTGTGCGTTTGCACCAGCACCGCCGGCAGGCTGGAGGGCAACCTTCTCGGGTGGGTATTGTGATGAGGAAGGGGTGTAGGCTGGTGGGGGAGGAGGCTGTGGTGTCATGACTGGCGCTGTGATGTTCGGGCCTTCGAGCGGTGATGAGCCCTTCCTCGCGCGCACTCCCGCGCTGTTCTTTCGGATGTTGGCATTGATGTGGAACTGTTCATTCAGATCGCTGAAGAAAAGATCGCGTATTACAGCGGCTCCGATGAGCAAGGCAACCTCCAGTCCCTTGTAGTCCTCAATCTCGACGCGATAGAGGTTGGACTCCATGATTGTAAGCTCCTTCAGGCCAGAGAACAAGGCAACGGCAATATCCGGCTCCTTGCTCTTCTTGACCTTCTTGCCAGTGGGGTCGGTTGATTTGCCCGTCATGTAGCATGTCATATCTTTGCCCAGCCTGCCCTCCTTTCGCCAGGCAAAGTTGACTTTGGGCGTGTTCGCATCGCTGCCGGGGTCCGCAAGGCTACGATCGAGAGTCGAGTTACTCGGGGTCCTGAAGGTCACCTGGGGTATGCTGAACTCCCAGCTCACGGTGCTGCTCCATTTTGCTGTCGAGTGCTTAACGACAACGCGTGAATCGGGGTTGTACAGCTGAATCGCGAACTCGGTGGGGTAGATGGGCTGTGGCGGGGGCGGCACTCCGCCATTCCTGCGAATCTCCTCCTGCGAGAGGGTTGGGTGCGACCATCCTGGCTTCGCAAGCACTTCGCCGTACAGAACCTCGGGGTTGCGCGAGTCGAACAAGGCTACGGCGTATGTGTTCTTCGCATCGTTGGAGGCTGGGTCGACGTGGTGGAGGGCATATTGCGCCTCGGGCTCGGAGCCGTTCTGGGTGAAGTAGAAGGATTCGTGGTGCTTGAGCTTGTCGGTCGAGGCCTTGAGAAAGAAGGCTAGAGAGTGGTTAGTACCACTATTGACATGGCGATTGGCCCGGATGGCTGGGAACACGTACTGGGGAGATTCTCGTCTAGCATTGCGTCATAGTATACCCGTCTGAATACTGCGTGTGGTTTGTGAGATGACCAGGTGCCTGGAACGAACGATGAGCTGGCAGGTTAGCGGATGTACGGCGGCGGCGTGGACATGTTATGGCTGGTCAACCGGATACGCGTCTCCCATGAGGCTGTACGCCCATCCCTGCAACTGCGCCGGGAGCCGCTGCCCAATGACGCTGATCTGCCCCGCTTATCCGCTATACTTAGCCAAGTCAGCCTCGCGCGAACCGTTCTTCGCGCATCCACGTGCTGCTCTCATTTTCACTCGTTCATTCGTATATCCTACCCTTCATCATCTCACCTGCCATTGGATGTTCGCACGAGTCGACCCTCTGTATCTATGACGCCAAATAGGCTTGTGGCATGTTGACGATGCTTGCGCAATGCACCGCAGCGGCGTTTCACCACGGCCCGCAGCACAGCCGACCAGCGGATGACCGCAGCCCATCGACATTTCCAAGCTCAGCGCTACAGGTAACGTCGCTTGCTAGTCGCCTTGCGATCGAGGCTTGTCAACGGTTCACGAACTTGGCATCTTCGATTGTCCTCGAATTACGACACGCCTACGCGTCTTTTGGCCAAGCAGCATACGTGCATTTCGCAAGTAATGCTACATTGAGATTGATATCCACCCCGCAGAGACTGGGAAGTGACTCTCGGCTCAATGGAAGCTTCAACCTCTCAACGGATGCACAAAATGTCAAAACTCAGACTCCGCTCACTAACGCAGGAGTGCTTCCTTTCAACCATTGACAGCTCGACGGTAACGACTATCTGTCTTACCATCACTAATTTCGGCAACTCTACGTTGGTGCCAGAACAGAGACACATAATCACCCAATACACAGGTGTCTCTCTAACACGAGGGCAGGAACAGAAAAGAAGGAAGGAAAACAAAATGATGGAACACAAACACTACCCAAACCCCAGAACCCTCTAACCTTTCTAACCCTCATCGGTTTCGCTTACCTCTCGCCACCACATTCGCTCAACACACAGTACACCTCCCAGACCGCTCCCCGACTGGTATATTCCACACCATGCATGATAGATTCGTCAGGCTTGAACGTTGGGGTGGCCTCGGAAGAGGTACCCACTGGCGAATTGAGCCCTGCAAACTTCACGGGGCGGCTTTGTGATGAAGACGTTGATGTCGAATGAGCGACCTATTGACCGCTACAGCTCAGCCATTTCTCCACCAATGCACCGTACTGGAACGACTACTTCAGCATAACCCTGTAACCATAATCTCGAATGTGCTACAATAGGAGCTAGGTCACTGCGCGGAAAGTACATAACTCCATCTCTATTCGCCGATCTGGACGCCAAATTGGACGAAGAATCATTCACATAATTTCATCGGGATAAATGTAACAATGGACGGGGTAAGAGTTTAAACACCTTGTTATTCACGAAATGCGTATTCACTTTGATTGAGACGTTGGGTTCACGAGGTGTTTGACGCACGCAATTTTCGACCTGGTTCCGCGCTAGCTGCTATTGTCCAGCTAGACCCTGGCTCTACGTTTGCACCTTCCATCACGACTTGCAATACCACATATTGCGACATCACTTGTTAACGTCTGCAGACCAACTAACCTCACGTGTCCACGGTATCCTCATCGCCAGTCATGACTGAACGAGCACCCGCCGCCGACGCACACGTGCAGCAAGTTCTGGAACATGTCAATACCACTTCTGATAATGGCTCCATTGCAGCTGAGACGACTCCTTACAATACGGTTACCAGTTTAGCTACTCTGTCAGGAAGCAGGCTTCCTAGTGCTGCTACATCATCGATTGAACACGGCGAGTCTGGGTCGTCGAAACATGCGGCGGTCCCATCGACAGCCAAAGTAGCTACTCAAGGACGCGCCTTGTACCGCAGTGCTGGTATACAGACACTTCCACCAAGCAATGCCGATGGCTTCCGCAAGATCTATGATCGCGAGCCTACAGACCAGGACCTCGTCAGCAAAATTGGATCTGCCGCACTTGGTCGCTACAAGCCGGGACTATCAGCGAACCCGCACGATGTCGTTCTGTGCACACCATTCTCCGCTCTAAACGTTTCTGATAGACGTGCAAGTTATGTCACCTCCTCGTTCCAGACCAAGGATGTAGCGCAATGCAAAAAAGATCTTCTAAAAGCAAAGGTCAAGGCATCGCTGTTGGTTAACAAACTGCGCGACGCCGCTCTGTCGGCAGGATACAAGGTCTGGTCGGAAACAAGGGACGACTACATCGCACACTCAGAGCAACTCGATATCAGTGTTCGATTTGATCACCAAGGCAACGCGATGAACGCGAATGTTGACGGCCTTTCCCTACCCAACATCTACGGCGAAGAGATCGAGCCGCACCCTCCCAAGACTCATCCTACGCAACTTTTAAATCGCGGGACTCCAGAGACAGAGGCTGGGGTTGACATAAACGCAAGAGAGTACACCTTCAGCGCAGCTTCAAGTCTTACGCCACCACCAACGCCGCCCTCACTCAAACTACAAGACGCCATTACCAATGGGAGCATTCCTCAGCGCATTCGAACTGTCGAACCTTGCATACCAAGTGAGAAGTCCGATCCACCTTCCATTGAAGACTACGGCTACGTTCAACTCGTCCCAAAAGAAGCCAGAAAGCAATATGTGGACAGGGACAGTGGTCAAGAACAAAAGCCACAGAAGAGAATGAGCTCAGATATGAGCGAGCAGGATTTTACGGAGGGTCAAAAAGAGAGGTCCGCCATCGTTGAAAGCAGTGAGGCGACCGTAATGGTGTTCGGTGCCGAGAGATTTGCGGATGAGTACGTCGTTTACGATGCCACGACGTGGAATCCTACGAAATCAGACATGTTATCTAGATCACCTTCTAATCTAAGCAAGAAGAGAAAGTCTGTCGACCAATACGAGCCTGAAGCAAGCATCGGATCGCCAAAGCGCTTCAAGTCTTCAGCCGCTCACACCGATCCTCCACATTTCAGAACGGCTACTGAGACGGAACTTTTCGCACAGGAAACACGTGACAGTGTCGCACGCAATGATGCGGCAATTGTCAGGATCAAATGCGCTCAACGTGATGAGGCTTCTGGGGTGGCAAAACGGCACCGTGTTCGGACGATCTCTCCAAATCGACCACGCGAGGACCAACATCATTCCGAAGATGATCGTCCCTCACGCTATTCACGAAAATATCAGGAGCCCAGAAGGCGAAGCCGATCACCCGCTGCTCAACACGATGGCAATCGTTATAGGTCAAGAAGCAGCACCACACAGCCGTTTCAGAGCCCATTCAAAGAGGGGCGTCAACTCCACACGACGGAGTCGCAGCCGCGTCAGACAGACCCAAGCCATCATCTTGCGAACCCTGAAGCGACAGAGCAGAAAGGAACGGAGAAGCAAGCGCAATGCTCAAGTGACTTGGACAAGGTAGTCCACACACGTAAGAGGGAAGATGACCGACGAATGGGGCGAGCGAAGCAGATCACCGACGAGAAGTTGGCAAACCGCCGTCAACAAGAAGAAGCCGAGATACAACGAGCGCGCGAAGCGAAGAGCCAGCGGAAAGTTGAGATCGAAGAGAAGAAGCGAGCTCAAAAGGAAGAGCGTCTACGCCTTGAAGAGGAGAAGGCCAGAAAACGATGTCGACGCCGTCGCGACGATTCACAAGAGAGGGGTGACACAGTACGTCCGATGGTCGTTAGCAAACAAGCTGAACCAGCTGCTCTGGTCGATGAATATGCACTTGCACGCGAGGTTGAGGCGAAACGACGAGAACGTATGTTTGCAGCACGTTCCACGGGAAAGACTGAGTGTCGGCCGCACGAGCAGTCAGCCACTGCAAATGAGAGTTCTGGTAGGTCAGAAGCAGAGCCAAAGAAGCCAGAGAAGAAGGTGGAAGATGACAAGGTAACGAAATCAAGAGCGAAACCGAGAGCAAGCAGGACTGCCCGCGGGGAAATTGAACGTTATGATCCGAGGAAGAAGTTTGGACGCGGTGGGTAGAGCTTAGTATTGGTGTTGAGGTAGGTATAGTGCGGTAGTATGTGGATGGTGGATGGTGTCTGGGAGACGGGCTCACTGGCGAGTCTTTGTCATTTGGATTGATGGGAGTGTGGAGGTAGACAGCCAGTCTTTCGATAGTATAAATACAGAAAACCATTTCAAATGCTTACTGGAGAGTAGATAAATCCAGTATATGGATCGCAAAGTTGTCTTTTATAAAGATATCTCCACAACGCCCGCACTGCGCCGCATCTTTCTAGCAAGCCCTCCATACAGTCTAAGACATAGCAGCTAATTCATACAATATACAACACCCACTCAGACGCTGATACAGTGACAAGCTATGTGCTCGTGACTCCCACTAGTCTGTTCATAAGTTCTTGTTCCCCTTTCACCTCCATTCACTTCGACTTCTACACCGCTTCACTGCCGCGGGTCACGCAGTGTCCAGGGAGCTAGAGACCCACACTAGCAATACGTGGTCACTTACGCATTCCCATCTCACAATAGCCCCAGCGTAGCAAAGCTGCCATCCGTCACTCACGAGCACGAGCATACCCAGACCACATCTTTTGCGAACACACATCACACCGCCCTATCTCTGCCTCTGTCACTAACATGCAAGATGCTTACATCGATACGTACCGCGGATATGGCCCACAAGCGCACCCCCAGCGACCGCACCATCAACACCCGCGTGTCCAAGACACATATCACCCGTGCACATGTCCATTTCAACAGCGAACCACACCCGGCAATACGCACGGCGGTCAAGCGCGACAAGACACCCCGCCGCATCGACATCCTTCCCCTTCCCCTTACCTACGCGCGCCTGATGCAAATACCATTCGACGTCCGCTTCCCGCGACAGAAGCTGATCTGGTGCCCCGTAGCATATGGCTTTGTGGAACAGGAACAAGAAAAGTTGAAGAATGCGGCGTATGACGAGATGGAGTGTGACTACGATACTATGGATCCACTGGCGGCTTTTAAGGTGAGCGGTGGGGTGTTTGGTAGTCCTCCCGCTTCCGTTGCGTCGTCACCGTCTTCCTCGTCGTCGTCTTCGGCTGCCGTAAATAGTTTTGGAAGCTCGAATGGATCTCGATGGAGCGCATCAATCTTCAGTGCGAGTGCCTCCGCCAGTTCCATGGGGTCGCAACCCAGCGCGGTGGCCTTCGGTGATGTTGCAGGCGGCTCAAGCGCGGACGACAGCGGACTGTCGTCTCAAGAAGTCGACATTATAGATGCCCCCGAGGGATCTGTAAGCCATGTCGCTGCCGCGCCTACGGTTGTAACTGCTTCCATACACGTACTACCATCCTCGCAGCCGCCACAGCCCGTGACCCCGGCCCCCATCGCCAAGGTCAATCCACCCCCATTCTCGAGCATATGGTACCTATCATCTCAACCCTTATCGACTGAGAAGGCGGTGGCAGTGGAATCTGCCCCTGTCGTTCCCTTCCAAATCTCAGGCTTGGGATACCTCCCATCCAAGCCCTTACCATGAGAGCAGACTCCGACACCACACTCAACCCCCGCTTCACAGCCCAAAGCCGCCATGATACCATCACCAGAGTCAGAGAAGACGCGACTAGGAGACATGACCGAAGCCAAATCCACCCCACTAATCTTTTCCCCACCAAACACCCTCTCCTCCACCCCCACCACCCCCCCTCGAGCCAAACCCCCCTCAAAATCACGCTCTACAACCTCCTCTCTCCCTCCCAAAGACGCACCCAAGTCCGACGTCGAAATAGGCATGGGCGCTTTCTCTCCATCAAACATCAATAGCTCCGCTACCCTCGTCTCCGCCTTCTGCAACTCACACTTCAAGGACTTCTTCGCTGAGGAGATCAAAGCGTTACAAACCTGCCTTGAGAAGAAGAAAGAGATTCGCGGATCCCACTTAGTCTATCTCAACAGATAACTAAAGTGGGATATCGATGCTGCGGAGGTGAAGTGGTTCAATCCGGATATTGATTTTGAGAATGATGATGCGGCGGATTGGAGGGGAAGTTGAATGTTTTTATGGAGGTGTTGGGGAGTGTTGTTGGAGAGGGGGGTGGTGGAGATGGGGTTGCAAAGGATACGAAGGAGAGGATTGAGAAGGTATTTGAGTTGTTTGCTGATGAGGAGGGGGTTAATCAGGGGTTTGGAGAGGGAGAGGGAGGGAAACGTTGAAAGCTGGTGACTATGATGATATATTGGCTTTCGCGTAATTTAGCGAATGCTTTCTGCGACGTGTATAAGAGCATGATGCACACTGGAAGAGATACTGACGAGGGCTCGAGAAGCATACGGTGTGGCCGTGCAGTGCAGGTAACAGCGTTTGAAGAGCCACGTAAGCTTTACAAGTCACGATAAGGATAGGAGAGGTGAAGACTGAGTGGATTGTAGCTGCTAGGAGGCCACATAATTTTCTTACACCAGAAATGATATATCTAGCTGTGCCAACGTCTACCTTCTCAGTCATACTCTTCCTTCTCCCCTTCGAGCAATATTTCATGCCCATTCCCTTCTTTTACGCCCTGTGCAAGCACCCATCCAGCGATGGCTACAGCGGCCATACACCACCAAGCCAGACCGATCATGCCAATGTCCAACCCCCTGCCGAATACCCAGGAGAAGAGTATTGGCCCCACGGTCCGGGTAAGACTAGATACCGACTGGCCTATGCCATGAACGGTACCTAAGACCGATGGATGCGGACTAACGTTGTTGATGAGTATAGCCGTACAAGGTAGGGCGAACGTGCGGGCAAGGACTTGAATGAACAAAGCACATGTGATGGCGATCCATATCCACGGTCCGCTGACACCATCAGGTGCTGACGTCCAGCTGGGAACCAGACTCAAAAATGGAGCTGTCGTGTACATCACTGGAAAGAGAGCGAGGAAGACGCGATAGCAGCCCACTGTACCTAGACGGTGCGCAACCCTCGGGTACACGAAGAGCTGCAAAGGTATGCCGATGACACCGATGATGGCAAGTGCAATTCCGATACGGGCTGGCGGCATGGCTAGACCGCCCGTAAAGAAAAGGCCGTGAGGCGCGAAGCCAGGAGGGTATGGGTGGCTACTATCGAAGCGAGGTGTAGAGAGATGAATTGTCCAGAGACCGTTGAAGGTGCCTACGTGCATGGCAAGAACGCCGTGCGCGCAGAGCGTTGTGACCAGGTTGCGAGTCCAAATACGGCGGAACGGTAGCTGTTGTCTGACGAAAATCTTCGGCTTGTCAAGACTGTCTGATGCAGGTGTGTGGGCCGATGTTGGTGTTGGCTGTAGCTCAAAGTCGTCGTCCGGAACAGCACTATAACCATCTTGAGATGCGATGTTCTGGCGAAAGATTGTTCGACGTATCCATCGGCCAACGCGGAGACCTGGATCGGGCCTGTGTTTGCAAAGTTCACCGGTCTCTTCAAGAAAGAAAAGGACGGCAAAGGATGACAAGCATAGGAACACGGCGCTCGTGAGATTGGGTAGTGCGTAAGGATATCGCTTCATCCACTGTACTCCAGTTCTGCCGCCGAAGGTTGAGTTGGGCCCGAACAGAGAAGGGTAGCTGGCGAAAGGGTCTGCTAGCACACCACCTGTTTCTATCAGTACGTCCTCCTATGCAGACTGCTCAGTCTTACTCACCCATTATGGGTCCGACCAAGACGCCGACATTGAAGATCATAGGCAGGATCAGGAAGGCTCTGCTCTGGTACTTCTTTTCCTTGATTATCTCACTGATCATAGTCCTCATCACGCCGACATTGCCGTTCAGTATACCGCCAAGACATCTAAAAGCCACTGCCATGGCGAAACTGCGCGAGAAGCCAAAGCCGATGATGCTAAGCATTGTACCAAGCAACCCAAGGTAGATCGTTCTTTTTCGGCCACCGTACTCTGCATCCGAAAATCGTCCCCATAGCATAGCGGTCATGAACTGAGTCGCCGGAAATGCTGCGCCTATGATCCCAGCTTGGTATGAGATGGTTGACTCTGGGAGTGATGGGTCGAAGGACTGGAGCTGGTAGTAAAGATATGCGCCAAGCGAGGTCTGAGTCAAAGGTTCGGAAAGACGAGCAAGCATTAGGACGAAGAGCTGGTCTTTTCGAGGCAATTCGCTCCATGACACCGGTTGGCTCGTAGGCTTGTCTTGTTCGACATCGTCGATATCGGAAGATGTGTTGTTTGCCTGGGTGTCGAGGTGCAGGTCACGCGACGCTATCCTCTTTTTCTTCAGCTCATCTCCATCGTCAGATGCTATTGCATTCGCGTCAACGCTGGATGACAGAGGTGTGACATCGTATTTTCCGTGGTCGAGTCTCATGAGAATGGAAGACGTGCGGATGACAGGTCGCTCTGTAGCGAAGAAGCGATTTGGGGAACGAAGAAGAATGGGTGCCCCATTGTCGCTATCTCAAAACCGCTGTTAGCGCCCGGGACTAGAAATATGCCGTCCCAAAGATTAGTGCTGCCATCTCATTGGTGAAGAGATGAAGGGAAGTGCATCGGGTGGTTGCCTGCCTGAAGATGTCGGAGTTTAATGTTGCGTCGCCACCTGGCGGGGTCATCCCGGCGGCTTATGTAAGCGCATTGCGAAATTCTTGTTGCGTGAGACAAGAACGACTTCTGCACCTGCATATAAACTGGAATGGACGCTACGGTACAAGCCCATAGTATACAACAACACCTACTGAGAAAAGATGCTCCTACGGTCTAGGCCGCTGATATTTTCCATTCTTGTTTGATCATGATTCGTTGCGACTCTTGACTAGCAATAGATGCACGCTCCGCTCGCTGACCTCTCATGCAGTCCATCCTGGAGGGTGGGAGGGTAGATTTTTTGGAGTTCTCCTGACCTCTTAAGCAGTCCAGCCTTGATGGTGGGAGGGTGGATTCTTCGGAGTTCCCCTCGACTGTTGTGGTGGCGTATGCATCCGACGGCGTCAGCTTCAGCGCCGAGAATTTCGACCTCGATCGAGTACTCTTCGTGAGCGACTTGAGCTCATAACTACCTGACATTCCACTGCCTCCACCCGTCGTCCCACCTTCACGCAGATACCCTAGAGATACTCCTTGTGTCATGAATCCTTGGGTGAAGCCTTTGAGAAGCGGGGTCGTTGCGGATATGAGGTTGTACGAAAGGAGAACGCTTTGCCAGGCGACGGTCGGGACAATGCGAATGGCTGGCCGACGGTCCTCTACGAATTTATCGTATGCCAGGAAGTGCATAAGAGCAAAAACAACGTTTCTATGCAGGTGTTAGTATCGTTGCTCGCTCTGATATCTTGGGTCGGGTCGGTGTTAACACGTACGGTATCCTCGTAAAGAAGGCCATCACAACGATGACTTTGCTTCTGATCGACATGAGAGATGAGTGGAAGCCTATTATTGGTAAGGCCATAATGATTACCTCGGTGATCATATCACCGGCAGTAATTGCCTTGAGCCAGGGAATCTACTACGTCAGTCTTTGTATGTGAAGAAACATCTGTGGAATTCGCAATAGAACGTTGCCGGGGAGTTCGTCGCCTACGAGGCCGCACTCATACAAGCCGATACAGTCTTTCTAGGGCGACAGAGAATGTACTCACTGAATCAACACAATACCCGTTCCCGGGCTTTGGTATAACAGCATCAGCTGAACAGCGGGTTGCGGTCGCAATAACTCCAATCAGACCCAGTACCACAACGACGACACCGGTGCCAATTGCAAGAATGGAGACCTTAACGTTCCGCGCGAACACAGATCGGATGAGCATGAGAATAGAGCATTTTGAAAGAGCGAGTGCAATGAAGAGCAAAATTCGACTCGTGTAAAAAAGCTGACAATGTCAAAAGCGTCAGCACATGTCAGTATGGGTGATAAAACAGGAGGTAAAAAGAAATCTTGGACTGACCTCTTGTGTCCTAGATATATCCGCATCTTCTACGATGCTGTACGATTTTCCGAGACCACTCTTCAGCGCTGAAAACAACAAGGCCCACATGCTAAACGCTAGAAGCTATGTTGATGTCAGTTTCACGTCATACTTGTAAAGGTATCGAAGACGGATCGCCTCGCAATGCGTACATGTGCTACTACGACGACAAAGTCATCCCAGGTATGCGCCCTCCATTTCGTGAACCCGAGACGAACTGCGAGTACCAAGATAGCATAAATCATGGAAAGAAGCGTGACGACCCAAAGCGTCGCGCCCTGATCGGTGGCCGTGATGCGGGCAAAGCGATTGTCCGACGCCCTGGCCAGGAGCGAGGAACTGGACGAGTGCGCCATCTGTCGCGTGGGGCCAACCAGATTGGCAAAAAGACGTTAGCAACGAGCTCACTTATGTTGCGCTCGACATGCAGTAATAAAGAACTGGTCACAGTTGGCTATTGGAAACATGTCGGGCCTCAAGGAACAGATCTTACCGTGGCACTCATGTCCCTCCATCACATTCGACAACGTGAGGCGCAAGAGTGATCCCGAATACTGGGTCGGCCATTTTGGCTCCTGATAGCCGCTCGTCTCCGGATCTTTGTCTGCATTGGTCGCCAAGTGCTAAAATGCCGAGATGATGATTCCCAGCATCCAATCCCGATCGATTTCTCCTCGTGCGCAACCGGCCGAGCACTGACCGAACCGTGTCGTGCCTGTATATAGAGGAGCAGCAAGTATGCAGTACGGCCCTACTGTACATACATAAAACGAAGAGCACGGAATTCCCGCAGCCCGCTACCACCGGGTATTTGGGGCTGTACGGGAGACGGCGAGTCTACGATAAGACTCTCGGTGCTTCTCACGTCAGAGATTTACTGCGCGCAGAAGACCAGATCACGCCAATTTGTATTCGGCTCGCTTCACTCGTGGAAGTATTTGTGAACGGAATCGACGTGGTCTGATCGTTAGCTCCCAACGCTGTTCTCGAGTCCTGACATGCGCGGCCAGCGGCCCGGGCTGACTCAAGCATTTCCCTGCGCTAAAGGCCCGAAGTCTCCAGAAGTCCACCAGCCGTCCCGTCGGCGCCACGCACCCCACACCATCATTCAGAACGTTCTCTAATTTCACATGTACCGCTCCACTGTCCCCATCTTCGATCTTCGCATCGTGTATCTGGCTGCATTTCACGCATGGCAGTTTCATGAAGATGTTGCAGATCAACATGTCACTGTGTCATCATGCTTGCATTCGCCAAAGACAATGTTCCGATCTGGTTAAATCTCCGACGCAGGAGAAATGCGCAGTCGAGCAGCCATCCCACGCGTGGGCTTCCCGACCCGTCATGATCCTGGATCGACGGCAGTTCTGCGGCACAAGCCGGTCCTTCTGTGACTGCCATTTCTCTGCGCATAAGCGAGGAGCATCTAGATCCTACAATACGTGCTACGGAGCATATTGAACCTGTCCAGTGCGTCCAGAGAGTCCCACTCCTACCTGAGAAGCTGCGAACACGCGAACAAGCTCGTGGCATGCGCCAGGCCCCCGGTCTCCAATCTGATCCTCCAGATCGTTCTGGTTCCCAACATTACGTACCAGATAACCTGCAGTGTCTCCAAGCGAACGAGACAGCTGAGCACGTTTGCTCCACCCAGCGCCACTCTCTCGAATGGGATAGTACGTCCCGCAGCAGACATCGGAACCACCCTGTCGAATTTCTTTTCTTCTGATTACTGGTTACCGACTACACTCCTCCATCTACTTGTGGCATGCACGCATCGCGACAATGAACGACAGCATGATGAAGGGTCCTTCGGAGGTGATCGACTCTCCTACCAGCATCGAGCTGGCGAACCAGACCGCCGTGGGTGAGAAGTATGGCACACGTAGCGATGAGAGCGATATGGATCGCATGGGCAAGCTGCAGGAGTTGAGGGTATGTTGGAAAACGCCCGCCGGAGAACTTCCGATTTACTTACAAGAGATCAGCGGCAATTCAAGTTCTTGACTATCTTTGGTTTCGCTGTGCTCCTTGGCAGCACATGGGAATACGCATTGATGTATGATACTCGTACTGGTTGATGAAGAAGACCGCTGACATTGTTTTAGTGGTATCGGAATCTCACTCTACAATGGAGGAGCTGCTGGCGGTATCTGGTTACTTGTCGTTGTCTGCTTCGGCATGTTCTTCGTCACGCTTTCATTAGCAGAGATGGTGTCTATGTAAGTGACAGTGACATTGATCAGGCGTCCATGCGTCTCGCTAACACAATTATAGGGCACCAACAGCTGGTGGGCAATATCATTGGATATCGGAACTGGCACCCAGGAAATATCAAAAAATACTCAGCTACATCACCGGTATGCTATCTGTTGTTGAGTACAGCATGTGTACAGTACTAACCGATCATTTCAGGATGGCTGTGTGTCATTGCATGGCAAACAGGTATGGCTGGTACGGCCTTCGCGGTTGCAGATCAGTTCACAGCTCTGATCGTGCTTAACAAGCCATCCTATGTCATCCAAGGCTGGCATAGCACCCTCCTGTCCATCGCCATCACTACATTCTCGATCCTGTGCAACACTGTCCTGGTCAGGAAGCTTCCCTTACTGGAAGGATTCGGACTTGTCCTTCATGTGTTCGGTTTCTTCGCCTTCGTCGTCGTACTCTGGGTCATGGGCGAGCGCTCGGATGTCACTACCACATGGACCCATTTCGAAGACCCCAGTGGCTGGGGTAATACTGGTCTTGCGACTCTCGTCGGTATTCTTGGTCCTATCCTTACTCTTGGAGATCCTGACTTGGCTGTCCATCTCGCTGAGGAGGTCAAGGACGCTGCGTGGGTCAGTCCACGGGCTATGGTCTCAACAGCTGTCGTGAACTACTCATTGGCTTTCATCATGACTGTCACGGTCTTCTCCACCCTTGGCAACGACCTCGACACGCTTCTCGCCACCCCGCTCGGCCAGCCGTGGATCCAGATTTTGTTGAATGCGACGGGATCTATTGTAGCCACCAATATTCTGGTGGTGCTCATCTGCTCATTGCTCATGTTCAGCTCGGTCAACCAGGTGACAGCTTCATCCCGTCAACTCTGGTCCTTCGCCCGTGATCAAGGTCTCCCGTTCTCCAACTGGTTCGCTTATGTAGGATTGTCCTTCCCGCTTCCTGATCCTTTCGCTGATCTTGATCCTAGGTACCACCGGGCTGGGACATCCCCGTCAACTCCGTCATTGCAACTCTCGTAGGAACCGCACTTCTGAGTTTGATCAACATCGGCTCCGCAATCGCCTTCAACATCGTCATTGCGCTAGGAGGTCTTGGTATCTTCACTGCCAACATCATCGTCATCGGCTGCATGATCAGGAAACGAGTTCTCGGAGAACCACTCCTTCCTTCCAAATTCGATCTCGGCAAAGCGGGTCTTATCGTTAACCTCATCGCCATCACATACCTTTCCCTGGCTATTGTGTTGATCTGCTTCCCCGAGATACCGAACCCTTCTCTGGCAGACATGAACTGGTCCATAGTCATGTTCGCGGTTCTTGTTGTCTTTGCGATGGGTTACTATTACCTTATTGGAAAGGACAAGTACGATGGTCCGGTCGAGTACGTCAAGCGTCAGTGAACGCCTCCAAAAATTTGGGGATCTCGAATCTACGCAGCCCCGTAACCTTCACAACTATATCTTTGTACATACACACCTTCTTTTCTTCTAGACTTCTTTTCAAATCAAAAAATCCTGCAAGCCTACTTCTGCATCCCTACAAGCACAATTCGCTTACTGGCACTACTCTGCCGCACTCCCAACTTCAACACCCACCACGTAATCGTAGAATAAGCGTACGCGTGCAATGCGCCCAACCACCAAACCACGACAATAGCTTTCCAAATGCCACCACACAACCCTTCCAAAAGCGCCCATTTGTATAACAACTCGAAGTAAAGTTGCATATGGTGGCCCACTAAGAAAAGGAAAATGGTTCCATATATGCCACGGCGAAAGATTGGGTCCATGAATGTAAGGAGAGAAACCTTGGTTAGCAAATTGACGTCCTCGTCTGTGAGAGTACCTTCAGCCAGCGCTTTCACGGCACGCAGTGCGTGTTGACGCCACTCGAGGTGGTCAAGGACCTCAAGGAGGAAGTCGTGGTGGTCGTTGAGGGAAGTTATCCATGGGGTATGCACCACCCAACGTAGAAACTTGACTTCAAGGCTATCTTCTGAGGCCGAGGCCTTTAGAGTGGGAGGGAGGTGGTGTGACCAGTACGGGCATGATTGCGGTGCCCGGCTGATCCACTCACCGAAGCATTCGCGTCCGATGATATGGCCGCAGGGATGGAGCTGGATTGCTTGGCAGCCTTCTGCGTCGTTTGGGAAGTATGGCGTCTTGCAGATGAAGCATTCGGTTTCAGGGTCTGGATTTGGCAGCGTGGTGTAGTTGTACGCGTATTGATCGTTGAAAACATTGCTGAGGCGGTAGCGGGACATGATGGCGGGTTGCAAGGATGCAAGTAACAATGGTTTGTGTTTGCGGTTGCACAGTGGTGGTGGTTGCTGCTGCAGCTGTTGAGGTATGTAAGAAGGCAGTGCATTTGTTCAACGATGTGCGCGAATGCACTGTGAACTACTTTGTGATGAAACCAGCTAGATTGGTGAATGGCGTGTATGATTATCGTCAAGATCACTAAGAAGTCCTTTGGCTTGTAGCTACTAGGGTATGGTCAATTATCGTTAGATATGAAGGCCCATGATGATCCTACTGTTACACGTACCCATAAACCCTTTCGGGAACTGAGAGGATGATAATTCCGATATCGTGTTTCCGGCATTCCCTTAGACGTCTAGTAAAGAGTGATCTCCATGGCCCATGCCAGTAACGGACCCAATGAAGTGCAATCCACGTCCCCTGACTCTTGTCCATTACGAGGATCATACGCGTGAACACGCCCAACCTGGCCACCACCATGATATGTTATGAACGAGTCCTCCGACGAAGGTGATCCTGGTACATACTTGGCAAGATCGGTAGGATTGGGTTTCCAGGTGCGACGTGCTCCCTCCATGAGAAGCCAGATGAATCGTGATTTGGGCTTGTCGGCAAGGAAATAAAGGGCTCGAAAGTGCTTGTCGCTTGGTCGGGTTTGAAAGTCCTTAGATATGTTGCATATAGTACTGTGCTGTTCTGCATCTTGTTGTTGACAAGCTTCTGAACAGTATTTGATGTTGTTGCAGCCCGTACACGTGATGGTCCATTCCTTCATACACGTGGCGCAACCGTCGATTTCATCGGTCCTATCGTAGTCTTCGCTGTCGGATGCCATGTTGTACTTCTCCGTCATCAGTTGTATGCGGCAAAGAAGTCGACAGATATAACGGCGACCGACGTTTGCTATCAGCACCATGTGCCGTGACCTGTGATAAAAGCATCCGGTTTGCTTAAAAGTCACAGATCGTACTAACAACCGCAACAAGTCATACTTATGTTCGTCAGAGGCATTGATCAACGTCGTCTCTCATTTCGTCGTCACCAATACACCTAGTACTACACCCCCATATGTACACCACTCAACTCTTCCAATTCATAATTCCGATTTTCAGTTCTTATCCTCAGGAGTGAAGTTAATCGACACACCATTCACACAGTGTCTCTCATCCTTGGGATTGCCAAACCTTTCGCCCTTGAAGATATGTCCCAAGTGACCCCCACAGTTATTGCAAACAATCTCCGTCCTCATCATGCCAAGACCTGGGTCAGGCTTCTGTCCCACAGCGCCAGGTACTGCATCCCAGAACGCGGGCCACCCGCAGCCAGAGTCGAATTTGTGGTTTGCCTTGTAGAGAGGCGCGTCGCAACCGGTGCACTTGTAGACACCGGCGTCGGGGTAGTGCTTGTCGTATGTGCTGGAGCCGGGCATCTCGGTGCCTTTCTTTCGGAGGATGCGGAATTGCTCTATCGTCATGTTAGTGACTATGCGTTGGTGAAGAGAAGGGGATTTGACGCACCAGGCGATAGCTGTGCCTGCCACTCGCCCTCAGGCTTCTGAACCGGGTAGTTTGAGTTGTCCGCCATACTGCTTGAAGATCCGAAAAGGGCACCCAAGAAGGGGATATTTGGCATTGAACGGTATATGACTGCGCGCTGTGGCGTGTTGTAGATAGTGCGACCGAGGGTGTTAGCAGGACTCGATCGAATGAAAGCGCTTGTTGTGTTGGTGACCGTGTGGAAGGCGCGGAGAAATGTTGGGAAGGAAGGGAAGCGCATATGGATTCGTTTCACGGAAGGTGGTGGTCGTTGTTATGGTGGAGTAATTGTTCCTCGGCGGGTTCGAGATGATGCGGAGGGGTGGCGGAGAGCTTCCGCCACCGAAGCTTTGACAAATGGAGTACATGGCGTCATCAATATCGCGCGCTATCAACACCATCGTCCTTCCGATATCGTGACCATCGCGACTTCATACCTACTCAGGTAGGATCCTGCATCGTGGCTGATGTCAGGTCTAATACCTTACGAAGTCTGAGACGCGACTCGGGGTTCTCGGCGCCGCCCATCGCGGCCTATCATCGCACATGTTTCTTTCGCATTCGGGTGTTCGGCACCAGCAGGTGACAGGATGCATCGATCATACGATGCTGACTGCAGACCCAAGCCAAGAACTACCTCAACTCGCTAAAGCTGAAAGATAACATGTAACGTGGTCGCTGTGCTGCCTACATGAGCATCGTCAGATTGCTGTGTCTGTATTTTGCGAACAGTTGACGTACTTATCATCTTACACACGCTGGCATTGCGCGTGTGGCCCGCCCACGACATGGATTCCAAGGAAAGCGAGCAGGCGAAGGAGATTGCGGCATCGACCCCAACATCATCGAGCACAAAACCGAGTCCAGACCCAGACCTACCAATATCCTACGACCCCAAGCCTTCACGTAAGCCACCGCCGCAATATGGCAAAACCGCAACTGGAGCACCTGTCAATCCCCAGACTGCTTCTGCGCTCGCACAAGCGCGTCACACAGGCAGTGGCGTCCCAGCATCAACCATCGCCACCCTCCTCGCAGCCCCCGAGCCGGAAATCAAAGAGAAGAGATCGCTGCGCGAGCGGTGGAAAGACTGGAAGGAGAGGAAATCGTATGACAAGAATGACGAAGAACCGGTCTGGCAGATGCGCGGAAGCTCCACGCAATGGAATGTTTTTGGTTCACCTGTGAGCGAGGGGAAAATAGAGAAGGGTAGGCGTCTGAGATAGGCGTATCGACTAGGAGCAATCTTGGTAAGTTGTCTTAAATGAGCGAGGGAAGGCAGATGCTAACGAGAGGATGTAGGTGGGGTAGACGCCGAATGATCAGGGCATAAACCATGATGGCCGATGGTACATCATCATCGTTCCTTCCGCAACATCATCGAATTTAGCTACACAACTTACAATCTGCGATCTCATCATCGCGCTTTCCTTTGCTCAATTTGCAATGGCACAACTCCACATCTCACCAAAGTCCCTTTACTTGAACTGCCCCTCAACATTCCCCATTGGCCCCATCGCCATCTCAACCGCCCTCTTCGTCGCCCCATCCAAATCCTCCTTCTCCATCCCCAACTCCACATTATCTAAACCCCCCTTCGTCTCATAATCAGCCCCCTCGCTCCTCCAAACCCCCGCATAAAGCGCCTTCGCAAACCCCAACATCTTCCCCTCTCCCAACTCCCTCATCCCATCTCCAAACCTCTTCTCCACATCCTCGAACTTAATCGTCCAGTCCTCATCCTTCGTGCCCAGCACTCGGTGTAAACTATCCAGGATATCGCGCTGAGAAATAAGGAAAGAAGATATGTAAACCCCCTCATTCTTCCACTTCTCCAACGCAACACCACTCTCAGCATCATCCGCCGTGACGGAAAGCGACAACAACCCCGCAACCGCCCTCCCACAAGCATCCCACGTACTCACATTAACCTTCTTCATCCCATCCCCATACATCGTCACACTCCTCTCCCTAATGCGAAATCCAAACCACGGTTCCCCCATTGCGAGACTGAACTCGTACCAAAACCCGCATACAAGCGCTGTGTAATCTACACCAGGCGTGCTCTTCACATCATCAATGAAGCGCTCGAAGTTGGCAGGTATTTCAGCCTTGCCACTGATTGCACGGTTTCCGATGCCGTAGCCAAAGTAATTAGGCATGATCCAACGGATCTTGGCGGCGGCGGCGCAGGACACGATGCGGGGGTGGAGATTGGATGGGGCGCGTGCGGAGAGGGTTATGATGAGGAAGTCATGGCCACTGAGGTCGGAGGTGAGGGCTGTGTCGTCGTAGTAGTCGACTTTGATGACGGTGAGGTTGGGGTTGGTGGGGAGGGTGGCAGTGCTGGTATGTCGGGTCAGGGCGGTGACTTGGTGTTTAGAGGTGTTGAGGAGGTGCGTGAGTATGTGGGAACCGATTTGTCCGGTGGCCTGATGGTGGTTTTTAGTGGTTTGGATGGAAGTTGATGGGGTTTGGAGGGACTTACGCCGATGATGGCGACTTTGCGGATGTGCTCTAGTTGCTGGATTTCAGAAGACATTGTTGGTCGAATGCTCTGAATTTACGGAAAGATTGTTGAAAAGAGACGATTGATCTATAGCTAGGTTGGTAGTGTGAACTGATGGTTTCGTTGTTGGTGATGGAAGCTGTCTCCTCCCATATTTATATCTAATCACGTCCACCGCGAAGGCCTGCAAAGACATAAATCCATGAACATATTCGGCATGACACTAACCTTACGTCGTATACAGCAGTAAGATTGAACCACTTAAGTCTCACACCATGTTCGTTCTGTCAGCCGGTATAAGCTAAGTCCGCTTAATCCCGAAGCTGTGTGAACGTTCTTGCTGAACTCAGAACCGGTGGGTTTGACACGAGAACCAACATCGGACATTCGGGGGCAACCACCTACCGACCTCAAAAACATCATTCCGAACACTCTACAATATTCATGTAAGTTCATACGTATTGCTCCGCCTCCGAGCCAGTAAATACCGACCGTGTCCCCCGTCTCACCACTACGCTGACTATACGGTTCAACCTTGGCCCGCACCACAGTCCTCCGCTTGGTCATAATGCGTTCGACCTAATAACTACCAACCACATTCTCAATCTCAATACTAGGTTGGATGTACGGCATGATCTTCGTCCTCATCATAGTCCTTTGCTCAAACGCATACGCAAAGCCAATCAGACTCTCTTCACTCCATAGCGCACCAGCAAAAGAGATTCCAAATGGGATATTTGGTGCTGTGGCATTCAAATCACCCCGTGAGTTCGTGACGACCGTTGTGTTGGGCGGCAGCGCACCAAGAGGGACAGTGACAATAGGTCCACCAATGATGGCGGAGATGCCAGATGCAGAAAGCGAAGGAACGACGACGGCGTCAAGGTTGTATGTAGATAGTGCACCGAGGAGGCCGCCTTCACCACCGAAGTAGAGGTCTTCTTGGTAGGCTTCCCAGAATTCTATGTCGGTGTTGGAGAAGTTATGTGATTGCGCGATGGAGCTGTCGAAGTCCGCAGTGTCTCTGTCGGGGTAGTCTTCGGCGGGGAAGTTTTGAGTGAAGTTCCGGACGTCTTCCAGGCTTTGCACGTCGTTAGGATTGTATGTGAGCTGCTCAAGGTAGTGCGCTAGGTTGGGAACGAAGTCGCCGTAAAGAACGATGCCCTCTGCGTTAGATTCGAGATACTGGTCCCAGGCGGTGTAGTTGGTGTTGTCGACAACGACGGCACCGGCGGAGCGGAGGGTGTCGAGAGCAGCTGTAAAGGCAGCAAAGATGGGCGCTGATTGGGGATTGGGTGTGCCGATAGCGTTGCGAGGTACCCCGATGCGCTTTCCATCCAACGCATCCAGGGTGCACGCAGCAACGTAGTCTGGCTTGGTGGCATTGGTGGCGTTGCTCGCCCAGGGAATAGCAGATGTGTAGTTGTCGTAACTGTCAGGTCCAGCGATGGCTTGGAGAATGTAAGCTGCATCTTTGACCGTGCGGGCTATTGGTCCAACGGTGTCTTGATGCTCAGAGATCGGAATGACAAGAGCTCTGCTTGTAAGTCCGACAGTAGGCTTGATGCCGACAACGTTGTTGATCTGGCTGGGGGAAATGATGGATCCATCAGTCTCTGAGCCGAGCGTTCCAAAAGCGAGACCAAGACTAGCAGCGACACCGCTGCCACTACTGCTGCCGCTCGGGTCTTGACCAGGATAATATGCGCCATACGTTTGACCACCTCGAGCAGTCCACCCATTTGAAGAGTTTGATGAACGAAAATTGGCCCACTGTGACAGATTGGCCTTGCCGAGGATGATGGCACCAGCTTCCCTAAGTTTTGCTGCGACAGTAGCGTCACGTGGGACTTTAGCACCCATTAGCGACCAAGATCCAGCAGTGTTGTTCATTTCATCAGCGGTAGCGATGTTGTCCTTGATGAGAATCGGGAGTCCATGGAGAGGACTACATTCACTTAGCAAACGATCCTGCGATTTCTTGGAGGATGACTTACCCACGAAGCTTTCCACAAGCTCGCTCCTCATCCAACTCTTTCGCAATCATCCATGCATCTGGATTGATCTCCAATACCGCATGTAGGGTCTTGTTGACTTCGATGATGCGTCCCACGTAAGCCTACAAAAGGTCAGCGAAGCAGGTCAAGGTACATCCATGCCTTTCCATATGTGTGCAAAGAAAACTGGGAATATACCTGGACCAAATCCAAACTTGTAAAGTCTCCAGCCTCAAGACCAGCAGCCAAATCATCTGCGGTAGCATCCAGCAACAGAGGTAGTTCAGGTGTGGTGACGTTGTACTGCGCGTAGACGGTCGTCGTCAGTGGCGCAAAAGCCACAAAGACCTTTGTTAGAAACCACGCCGAAACCATGATGACGGTCGCAAATGCTACCTTTCGGTAGGAGAGTGACGAGTGAATGCGAGATCGAGCAAGAGCTGCTTCAGTACTGTGCACGATATCATGTGTCTTATAGTCATGCTTCCCGTGGTAACCCGAGGAGGACTGCCGTCGTGCACCCATGTCAGACCAGGATTATGCTGCGCGCGCGTCTTCCCCGCGGTGCAAATTCAAATCCGGTCCCGGAAGTGTATCGATCTGCATGATAAGAAATACAGGTATGCGGTGTCACCCTTCAAGTTGGGCCCGTTGTTGCGAGATAATGGTTGGCATGCAGGTACTGTTCAGCTGATTGACTCGCCACACCCTGGTACCTGATCAGCGTAATACACCGGTGTCACCCGAGCAGGATACTCGAGCAGTCCGTAAGCCCGTTTTTCTTACTCAACTATTCCTCAGAATTGCAAATACATCGAGAGTTCATTGTATAGGCTGGAAGCTGCACATGCGATTGCGGCAGGTAGCAATGCAGATCATAGACGAGAAAGGAAGGTGCTAAGGGAAAGAATCGTGAGATCGAGCTTGACAAGTGCCCGCGGATGTCTAACGGGCTGCTGGCGACGGATAGTTATCGATACCGCTAATGCATATGTTCCATGATGTAAACATGGAGGTCTGTTTGGAGTTTTGGAGTAACCATTGCTATCGACCTGCCGTAATAGGCGTCTCTGGCTGCATCTTACCTCCAGAACCTTGGTCAGTCGTCGGGCGCATGCACAGGTTCTTGATCGGGGTAGGTATCTCCGCGTTCCTAATATCGGAGTACATCGTAGTCACATGTCATGCGCCTTTGTCAATGGCACGCTTGCTGGCAGATGTCGTTCAGTCGAAGTAGCCAGGGAAGAGCCATTGAAGCTTCTTCTCGGCCTCTGACCCGCGTCCCTCCTTCTTCGTCATGGCGCCTGCGAATCTCATCTGTCCATCGAGATGCTTAGCAAGCACCTGTTCCGTGTGCTCCTCCTTGCTGAGCTCGTTCAGCACCGCGCCAACGAACCGCCTGGCGTTCTCGGCGTTTGCCTTCATGTGTGCCATGACCATCTCTACATTGACGTCCTCTGAGCCGTCGCCCCTCCAGCAGTCGTAGTCTGTTGCCATGCAAATCATCTGGTATCCGATCTCAGCCTCGCGCGCGAGCTTTGCCTCGGGCAGAGCAGACATGTTGATGACGCTGCCACCCCACGAACGGTACAGGTTCGACTCTGCGCGTGTGCTGAATTGCGGCCCCTCCATGCAGATGAGGAGTCCCTTCTCGTGAAGTGTGATGCCGTCTCCCTCCAGCGCGTGTCCGCACTGGCTAACGATCTTGGAGAGTTGCTTATCGAAGGGGTCGCCAAAGCCGACGTGTCCAACCATGCCGCCCTCGAAGAAGGTGAACGGTCGGATGCCCTTTGTACGGTCGATGATTTGGTCGGGGATGACAAAGTCGCGCGGTCGTACTTCTTCTTGCAGCGATCCAACGGCGGAGAAGGCGATGATGGTGCGCACACCGATGTGTCGCAGCGCGGCTATGTTGGCCTGGTTCTTGACCTCATGCGGCGCAAGTTCGTGGTGAAGGCCATGTCGCGAGATGAACGCGATAGGAATGGGCTTGCCGGTCGAAGGTGATGGATGTTGTAGGATGGAGATGGGGGATGATGGCTTGCCCCATGGTGTATCGACATCGAGAGTCGCGGCGAGGGTGAAGCCTGGCAGAGAGGAAATGCCAGTGCCGCCTATGACGGCAATATGGACGGGCGCTGTATACCGGGTAAGTAATTGGCCAGATGAGCACGGGACGGAAAATGCGCACCATCGTAAGTGCTAGGAACGCCAGCCATCTTGCGATATGGGATTGAAACGCGTCTAAAGAGATTGAGAGGTTGAAATTGAGGTTTGTAGCTGCTGGAAAAGAGTTTGACGCGTGAAAACATGCACTGAAGGGTGTCGCGATAACAATTTCTGCCATGGCGGGGTGCTCCTTCCCCCGGACCCTAACGGCGTTGGCTTTGACCAATCAGAACGGGCGGCGATTACACGCTAGCGGCCTTGGGCAGCTTTCCCTTTCCGCACTCCTTGCGTGTTGTCCATCGTCACTCTCGTATGCCCAACAATCGTTTGACGTGTAGACTGAACATAGGATCGTTGTTGTATGCAGCAAGTTATCACCCATGAATACCCATCCACTCCTCCCTCATCGCCTCCGCCAAATCCCAAACCTGTCCCTCATCAACCACAAACTTAACCTTATACATCTTCATCTTCTCCACCTGCGCATCATCAAACAGCATCGCCATCGCTCCCTTGCAATGCTCATCCCTTGCCTCCCTAGTCTTCGCCTCTGTCACGAAACGAATCACAATCCTAGCCCCAGGCTTCAGTTCGAGGATGCCGTCGAGAGCCTCTCGCATACGCTCCGGTGACTTGGGTATGCCAAACATGTAAGCGCGGAACGAACCACGGTCATGCGAGACAGCGTTCAGGCCGATCTCAATGCTGGATACCAGTGCTTTGGGAGGAATGCCTAGTTTCATTTCGTCCGCGTTGAGGAAACGCTTCATTACTCCTGGGTCGTCGCCGAAGAGGAAGGTACTTGTTCGGTAGTAGTTCTCTACAAGCTCGCGGTAGAAGGGCTGGCCAACGTAATCGGTGTCCCAGTAGTGCGCGGGGAAGTGTTGTGCTTTCCATCTGTCGAAGTCGTAGGAGTAGAGCCTCGTCAGCGGATCCAGGGTCGTCCGGAAATGCTCGCGCTCGATGAGCTCGCGATCTTGTGTGCTGAGATGGAAGTAGATCATATCACGGATCTCACGTGGTAGTTTGGTCATGATGTTGTTGGTAAGCTGCTGGCATTCTGTTTTGGCGAGCTGCTCGATTGCGTCTTGTGTTGTTGGAGTAGTGCTGGCGAGGTCTTGCTCTAGATTTGCAAGCTCTTGTTGTAGTCTTGCAACCCGCGCTTTGCGCATGCTTTCTTCGGAGAGGGCTCTGTGATCATTGTTAGTTTGATCATGCACCGTGCAAGATGCGTACGCATGAGCTCGCTGGTGTACCTCAAAGCACGCTTGCGAAGGTGCACGCATGTACAAGCTCCCACACCACCAATCTCATCTGTCCTGGGAATCTCGTACATCACGATGCACATAATCTGTTATTTGCTGCGGACTGAAGAGAAACATAGTAAGGTTATGTTCGTATCCCAAGAAGTCGTACTATTGTCTATCAGGGTGCTGCTGATCGCTTATTCAGGTACTCACGCCCTGCATCTGCGGTCTGGACCCTGCATCACTTGCGATCGCCAGCATACTCCGCTTACGCCAGCCGTCAGCTGTATAATTGAGCCACCGTACCCTTGGAAGAAGGAAACATACCCGTTTGGAATAGAAATGGGGGAAGCAAAGGGGGAGCATGCTTACCGCCAACCATTGGAGAATGGTTACGAAGTCCACTCCACCGACATCCGAGTTGACGCCGTATACTACGCAGCTCTCTTTGCTATAATTGCGCCTAGACGCCGATCATCCTCAAGACACAACTTCACCTTCGTACCAGCAGCAGCCAGCCTGCGCATAGTCGGTAGAATGACCGGAACAACAGCTTCGCACTCCCACTCTTCTTTTCCCTGTGTACCCGGCAAGAACGCACGCTCGACAGCCATGTGCAAGACAATTTTCGTGCCAGACCTGAATCCAAGAATAGCTTCCATATCTGCAAGGAGCCTTCGATGCGACTTGACCAACTGCTCCGCGTGCGGGGGCGCGACTATGCCTTCAAAGTCATAGGTAGACAAAGGTATGTACATCGAGATGTTGCGGATGTAGTCAGCCGGTATGACACCAAAGTTTCCCGCATCCATGGTTCACAACGCCCCAATCTTGGAGAAGTGATTTAGTAGGTCGAACGTGCTCGTGCGGTACCACTTCTCCAGTAGCTCTTCAGAGAATGCTGAGGTGACGTACGAGGCCTTGAGGAGATGGTCGGAGGGTTGGAGCTGCGTTTTGTGTGCTTCAAGTCGCGCTTCTTCCTCTTTATGCTATTGTTCAAGCTTGTCTTCTGTGCAGAGCAGCCTAGCTTCTGTTATTCACTGCCTGTCGCAGTGGGCTTAGGAGACTTACTTATAGCATTCGTCGTAAAGAGCCTTCTCTTCCATTCTTGGCTGTGAAGAGGTGGTCATGTTGACAAGTATCGAAGGGAGTTACTTCTCGGTTGAATCGCAGACTTGAGGTGTGGTTGAAACGGAGTTTAGGACCTGTGTCGTGAGATCTATGGTAGAACAATCACTAGAGAGTGAGTGAGAGAAAAGGTCGTGTATCTGCCTCGCGACTGAGAACGGAATCACGCGCCACTATTGTGTCATTAAGTCTTCATCCGGGTGAACTGCGAGACCCCATCATGAAGCTGTGGAGTAGCCGCGGGAATGGCTATGAGCTTTTGTGTTGAAGATACTTCTCTTTCTAAGAAGACCTGATTGGATCGGTATGTATATATCTCGGAAGTTGTAAGTCGCTCGCCACGATAGGTAATCAGCAATACCGTAGGATAGAAGTGACGGTACCCTACAATGGCTATAATTTCACACTTGTCAAATTTCCTGAAACAGTTCGCTGTTTATTTTTCGAAGAGCAGTAATGACTATGAACAGTTGTGAAACTTATGGCTTAAGAGGTGTGCATCGGGAGAAAGAAAGAGCTCGATTTTGACAAAGGGAAAGGCAGAAGTACCGTGACTCTTCCGCCTAGTTGCGCATCTCCCGAAGATGGGCACATTCGCCTATATCTTGGCTACCCATAAGGGTTGTAGTCAACCTCCAGTCACTTTTGTGTGCCTTAGATACCCATGGCGCCTCAAGCCACCTCTCTCTCATTCATCGTCATTGAAGTTGTCATCTTCCCAATAGCGAAGCTCAGCTACCCTGTCCTCGGCCTTCTCCAACTCGATGAACTTAGCATGTTAGTAACGCTCGAGGAGTTGTCTCTTCATCGTACTAGGATCAACATACCGTCGAAAAGCTTTCCGACACTTCCTCTATAGATACAGCATTCCATGGAGACACGAACTTTCGTCCGAAGGAGGTGCCCCAGGGTGGATCTCGAAGAACGCTGAGTGCGAAGCGAACGTTATAGCCAGCATGTTGGAGTCGCTGCAGAGTTGGCAGAAGTATGGGAACCGTGTTCTCGGTCATGAACTGTAGCTTCTCGAAGTCTGAACGCTCTTTGTAACGGCCCATGTAGATGGTGATGGTAATTCCGGTGCCAATCCTGAACCCGAAGAGAGATTCCAGTTAGACGAGGAGCTCAGGTGTTGGAATGTCAGCGAGCTTACCACTAAGAATGGGACGGCGCGTATCCCATTCATCGTCAGCGACGGTGTCCCACATACTGCCTGGCTGCTCCGGTACTTCATGCCATGGATTTTCCTTGTATGCCTGGAAGTTGTGGCCATCGCACGTAATGACCACTTCTACGATGGAGACAAAAGAGACAGGCAGGAAGTCTAGCTTCCACTGGTCTGTGATCCGGAACTTGGGAATGACTTCCAAACTGTTCTTGAACTGGAAGCTGGTGGACCGATAGTAGTTTTCACCAAGCTCTTGTACCATCTGGGTACCTACGAATTCTGCCAGCCACCAGTAGTCAGGGTCTGGTTTCGGGAAATGGTGCCGAGCTTGGGTCTGGCTGTCTGAGAGAAATACGAGCGTCGCACATCCTTGCGTGAGTAGGGGCGCGGTGGTAGTTCGGAGACCGTCAATTCCTCGCAGTCCGTGATGTAGCCGTAGATCATGTCTCTGATCTCGCGCGGGAAGGTCTGGTGAACCTTGGTACAAATATTCAGGCATAAGTCTTTCGCATATGTTTGCACAGCATCCTCTGTAGCATTCTGACCAGCTTCAGCCCTGAGATCGAGGTCTCTGCCGTGGCGGCGCAGCTTTTTGATCCTGAGATGCAAAGCTTCGAGCTGAAACTGGATTTTGTGTTCCTCCTTGAGTGCCCTGAAGAGAGTTGTCAGCGTGCTCTGGATGCCAAATTGAGAACTTACTTTATGCATGTCGCGTGCAGCTGCTCGCTTGCGCTTGCAGATGCTGTTGTAGCTGCCATTGTCGAGCAGATATTTCGATGGAATAAAGGTGTGGATTAAAGATAGAAGGAGATCTGGTGGAAGGATTGGGTATAAGTAGTGGATTGTACCACCAGACTAGTGGTCAGGTAAGTGCGGGCAAAATGAGGCCACTAGCAAGTGAGACCTTCACCAAGCGATAGAAGGTAAAACATGAAGTCGTGAGGCTCTTGTTCGTAAGTAAAGGTAGCTCGTAATCCTCCCTTGGCGACTATAGAAAGCTGCCACCCATGAATAGTGGAGCTACATATCACTAAGCACCCCGGGCCCGCCAGATCTTCAGATCCTCCTGGCACCACTCCAACTCTTTCTCAAGTTCAAGAAGCTCATTTCTATCAAGAGGCAGGTATTGATCGCGCTCTTCATCAGTGTCGTCTTCTTCCGGCTCCTCATCCTCTTCTTCGTTTTCGTCGTCTGATTCGTTCAGTGTGTCATCATAGTAACGTTCAAGCTCTTTCCGAAGCTGCGTTTCCAAAGTGAGCTTGTATAGTGGTGCCATGGTCAGATCATCACTTACTTGTCTGAACTTGTCCGACCACTCACTGAGTGACATCTCTGCATTCCCGGGTATCATCAGGTTGACGTGATACCCTGATACGATATCTTTCCACCCTCGCGATAATCGACCGTCATCCGTAACCATGTGCACAACGAATTCGATCGTCCAACCAGGAAGGTCCGGAAGCAGTTGTCTGACGTTGTGTAATAAGATCAGGAGCCGGTCGTCATTATAGCGCACAACACCCTGGATGTCGCGTAGGTAGATTCGTAATCGTGCCGGCTGTACCCGTAGTGTGAGATCCGCCAAAGCCTGGGTCAGAATTCGCTCGGTTTCCGGCTCGAACTCATCATTGCAGTCGATTGTAATCTCCATCTGGCGAACTATCTCAAGGGCCTGGTATCTAGTACCGGCAGCAACTCCATTGAGGAAGGCTCTGAGGAGATGCAAGTCCGTGCAGAAGTCGAACGTACTTCTTGTGTACCAAAACTCTGCCAGTTCCTGCCGTGTCTCCTTTTCGATATGCTCATATCCGCCGCTGGCGAACAGACCGATGCTGTTGCTGACGAGATTGAAGGCGTCCGAGATACCGAGGTCCTTTGATGCTACCACAGGTACGGTATGTTTGTTGTTGTGCCAGGCTGGAGGGCCCACGACATGCTCATAGATCATGTCACGAATTTCGCGTGGCAGTTTCAGCTGCATGGCTTCGCACAGCGGGGGACATTTGCTCTGCTCCATTGCCATCAGCTCCTGCAGAAGAGACTCTCCCTCCCGATCTTCGACACGTTGCCTCAGATTCCTTTCGAGCTCATCCTCGAGCAATATCTTCTCGGCCTGAATCTCGTTGAGTCTGTCACATATACGTTGCTCATCTGCCAACAGGACTTGTGTGCGGTTCTGCTTCGCTTGACGGTAATGGTTTAGGCGTTGCTCCAGACTGCCGATGCGTCAATACATTTCCAACACTTGGGAGGGCTTACACTTACGTATCGCCATTCGGCACCTTCTTGGTGTTCGGCATATCTGAGTCTCGCGCGAGAGTGTGTGGTTCTCGGAGTGATTGTGGAAGTTGTGGAGGTGCTGCTCAGTCGACGCGATCTATGTCCGGTTGTACAGAGCGAAGAGCCCGCGAAGTCACATGGCAATTACCGAGAGCAAAGCTGAGCGAAGTCCTGGAGTGTCAACCAGGTGGCCTGGAACAGCTGCGGGGAACGACGCGCCGAGAAGCACGTGATCACGCGTGATTAGCTTTCAAGCTAGCTCCTTAGGTAGCCTACGCATCACACACAACCTGTCTCCAAGCTGTCATGAAGTGAAACCACAGTCGCCAGTCTGGACGACACATGATTTCGACGGACTGGTTGTGGATCAAATCCAACGAAAGAAGACCAATACCCATGCGGCCTGTCGTGGGTGTGCCTGCGCCAATGCGCAGGTGCTACATAACCCCGCTCTTCGCCCCTGACCTTCCGCCTCTCGGCTCTCATCGCGACAGGCACTTTTGGTAATCTTGACGCTCTATCCTACTTTCGCGCCCAAAAACGCGCCTGCGATTCATTTTGGCTGCTTCGCCACTGGTGTAAGGCTCTCACGACGCGATATGAACATGTCTGGACGCTCCGCCACCAAGAGCATTGACACCGACCACGAGTTTGCATGCCGAAAGCGATGTAAGATTGTAATTGCGACACTACCAAGGGAACTTAGAGACATGATTTACGAGTATGTCTTGTCTTCAGAAGCACGCGACGTCGCTGCATTACCGACAAGCGAGCCAACATCTTCCAAAGCGGGCTCTCGCTACTGGCAAGCCGAGAGAGTTGGCAACGCGGCTTCGAAAGAGATACTGGAAGTCTGGTATCGCTTGGTTCGTTTTCACATAGGCCAGGATCTGGGTTATCTGAAACGCTTCCTTTCATCTCAAGCAGCATCCTTGGACACCTCCCGCCAGCTGCTTGTCACAAACATCAGTATCGCCTTCGACCTCAGAGATGTGGGGACTCACATGCAACCATCAGGCGGAGGGGTCGTGAGCGACTCCTCATCCCGCACCCGCATACTCGAAAGACTAGAGCACCTGTTCTTGTTGAAGCAAGGCGCTTCCATCCATGCCTATGTGATTGTACCCCATAGCTACACCATACTCGCAAGGACACCGGATCGATATGCATATCACGAAAGAAAGGTCTTGCGTGAGGTTACCACCACTATAGCTGACGTACTGTCACGTTTGGCGGTTGCTGGATACGGCCTTTCTACCGGCATCATGCTATCATCAAGATGGCCGAACGATGGCTCACTCTATCAATCGGTTTCGGAAAGGTCGACCAATGATACGCGAAGTTGCTTTTTCAGTGGGCATGGCTCAAAGCTGATGTGGATGTAAGTGTCCGGTCGAACATGGCGGTAGGCTCTCGGTTGACAATGAATAGAAGAAGCACACCATCTATCACTTCTCGCTGCCATTGTCATGATCCAAATGTGATGGCATCTACGCCCCGCGAATGCGTGTTACAGTGCCAAGACGCTATCTAGATGCCCGCGCTGCTGCCTAGCCCCGCACGATGTCAAGTCGTCCTTGCGCATCATGCCTTCGCATTCCAAACAGATCATTATCACAAAGATAGAAACACGTCATGCGTAAAGAAACAACTGCTAAACAACTGCTGAAGCTGTATCAACAGGCTGTTGCGTAAGTCCCGGCGATCCTTCTCCACCCGGGCTAACATTAACGCAACCTACCAGGGCCCGTCAGCGTATCAAAATGCGGTATACCTCTGAAGAACATGAGGCTGCCACGCGAGCCATGCAAAAGTTGGAAACTTTCGACAACTATGGTCAAGTGTCATGCAGGTACATGTGCCAAAAGATCATCATTTCTCTGCCCCCAGAGTTGTGTGACATGATCATTGAACGCGTCATAGGCCACGATCATGTGGGCGTGGTGGCGACAGGGACTTGTGAGCCCATCTACGCTCACACATGGCGTCATCAAGTCGTACATTACTGGAAAGTCGAGTATGTTGGAAAGGCCATGTTGGCGAGAATGATGGCCGTCTGGTACCGCATGAACAGCTTCATAATACAGTGGAACCTCGTGGACAAGAGGCGGTTTCTTAACGAAGATGCCCCTTGTGTATATACTCCGCGTTATAAGCTGATATCCAAAATCTGTATCACCGTATCTCCAGATTTCCTGGCGTTCGACCCGAAGAAAGACCCGAAGAAAGAACTGCACGGCTTCTATCGGATGTATCCGCGTCGAAACTGGGAACAAGAAATTCGAGACCTCGAGCTACTGTTTCAGTTACGAAGTGGCGCATCGATACATATCTTTCTTGACTACATGGATCCCCAGGCGGTACTCAAAGATGGCCAAAATGCTCTCCTCTTAGGGGGTACCGCCCCTATGATTGAGTCTTTGTGTCGGCTAAGAAAGGCTGGCTACGTTATTGGTGCCAGCGTTGTCTTCCAAGGAAAATACCACGGCTTGGTAGACACTTTTGGATATCGACTGGAGGAGGTGCATGCATTGGGATTAGAGAGAACCGACTGCATGCCTGTGAATGATTCAGGCATGGTTTGGCAGTGAGTGCTCAATTTTTATCTAGCTTACGTCTCCCAGCTGATATGCAATTGAGACCATCGAAGCCAAAGTCTCTTCAGAGTTAGTGCACACTGCTGAGGTTCGAGGACGACGCGCAAACTGAGGACACGCCCAATGATTTTGTGCTTGAACAAACGGTATCTCTCACTATACTTCACCCACGTGGCCGCCGGGCCGTCACTGCCCCGCTGTCCGTTTGTGCGCGATCAACAACACCAAGCTTTGTTCCACGTCCTTGCAACCACAATTATCACGTCTTTCGCGTTAAGCTGCCGCCGAGAACCTCTTTCCGTCGCTCACTGGACCTATCGCGACTTCATGTACATCACCACGAACATCCACTGACCTTCCCTCTCATCAGATCGACGAGCAAGTCTACTGCCAGCACTCTCTTACAAAACGCCGTGATGACCATTACCGGCGTCGTGAGCTCGGGCAATTGGCGCATTGAGACAAAAAGGTAGGCTTGCTTCTCCTCATCATGTGCACGAGGCTGACAATTGACAAGACCCTCAACACGATTAGTAGGCTTAGCGAGGCTTTCCATGACAAGGCGGCTAAACTCGACAAGATGAAAAGAGCGGACCCCAAGGGGAAGCTCACTCGCGAGAAGCAAGCGCTGAGGCAGGGACTATCTTACCGAGCAAGTGGATGCTCAGGTCAAGGCTCTCTGTCGCCCTTTTTGCGAAGCTGTCCATGAACGACTACTGCAGGAACTACGCGACATCATTGCTCGGCATCTTTTGACCGAAAGCTCAGTCACTCTCCTCTCCAGCGAAGATGACAAGATCTCTTTTGTCAACGGTCTCTCGACTCTACGACACGCTTTCGAGGAGGAATATACTGGTATCGGACTGCACATGGACATTATAAGTGAGCTGATAAATCAAAACGCCCGCTTCGACTTTCGCGCTCGACACGAGCTACTGGGCAAGGTCTTCAAGCACTTTGCAGTCGACGAGCGCAGAAACCTCGATATTCCTCCCAAGATGAGGAGACTGAGTTTGGTGGTGACAGAGCGTCATTTGGAAGTTCGTGAAGTCGTCCTCGCTCATCTAGAGTACCTGTGCAAATTCAGTAAAGGCGCCAACATCTCCTTTGTCGTCGAGATGGGCCACAGTACGAAGGCTCAGACGGTCCGTCAGGTCCGACGAGTCCTACGTGTGCTCTTCGAACTGCTGAAGCGCCTACACAAACTCGGCATTCACGTTCATGTCGTCGTCAATCCGGCTTATTTTGTTTCGCAGATCAAGAATGATAGCGATGATACCTTCTCGGTCGTACATGAAGTTCCTTAGAGGTATTTCGTAGCGCCGGAGAATGCTTCATTCACGGTTGAAGGCCTTGAGGAGCGTCTAAAATATCTCTCTGGAACGTGCGGAGAAGATTGGGTTTCACGACGCCCACCGCAGGAGGGGTGAGTGGGGGGCTTTATTATAGTATTATAGGGTGTGTATAATCTTTATCGAAGGTGTATATAGTCAATAAAGTAGTTTTTGTATCGCAATTAAAGGTTTCCAAATGACGGCGCGGAGCTACTCTGTATCTCCCACGTTGTACCCCGTGATTCTATCAACAGAATGCATTACACACGCTACCTCTTACCACTGACTCTCGCGGGAAAAGCCGATATAACAGTCGTCTCTTGTCTCAATAATACGCCACAGCCACCCCTTCTATATCGTCGTCGTCGTCGTCGTCACAGGGCCCATTTCTTTGCCTAGTCCGCCAACTACAGTACTCACAATCGCGACTGTTGTCTGTATTGTCGTCATCATTGCTGTCCTGGTCTCTTTCATTCGTTCGCTAATGAAGGTAGTCACAGTAACCTGCATCGTTCTTGTAGGGCGCACCATACTAGCAACAGCCTTCGGGTAAAAGCTTCCCTTCTGAAAGAAGATTATGAGGAAGGCTGCGCCTGTGACTGTGCCAGCTAAGATTATGAGCAAGTAGGATGAGGCCATAGCGATGCGAAAAGTATCGCTGTGCCAGAGACGCTTTTGTAGAGGCGGCGGTGGGAGGCGGTACGGGAGGTGCTTGGGGAAAGACGTTGGAGCTTTGGCTTGTGTTGCAGGTATCGTTGGGTTTGGAAGGGCGACGTACGTTCTTCATCAGAGTCACTGTCGTTAATCTCCTCCAAAGAGTCCCTTGTTGACGCGTAGAGTGGAGGCGGGGTTTGCGGGCAGGCGAATCCTCCAGTACCTGAAAGGCCGGTATTTTTGTCGAGGCTCTGCATGTTGTAGATGATTCGAGTAAATAAACCTCTGGATATGTGAATCTAAGCTAGTAATTCGGCTCTGTAGTAAGATAGTTGTGATTTGGGAAGTACAGAGGCTGGTCTTGCGAAGGTCACACTGAGCCAACGACGAGCTATATAGTGCACATGCCCAAAGACTGTAGCTGCACAGTGTTGAACCAGATTGCAAAGCAAGAAAGGCATCGATAGCCGTGCTAAATACACTGCATCATGTGTACTGACATCACCGAGGTATAGATCGCTACATACGAGACGTTCCAGTCGTTATCTATGCTACTGATATCGACGACTATCATCTTGAAAGAATGCTTGATTTGATAGCTATGTATCCGGAATTATGTACTCGGCCTCAACTCTCTCATCTCTTTGAAACAGATTCAAAAGACTACGCATGTGCAGACGAGCAGACCCTGCACGTATACCCTCCCGTCCATGGTACACACATAGAACGCTCTAATTTTCCATCTGCGAAGCAACTCCCTCTGCACTCCTCTACAGTCGGCCAACTACCCTTCTCACTACAGATACCTTCCACAGGCTTCACTGGCGTAGGACGAACCGGCGCCTCAAACGGCAGCGTCTTCATAGGCGTCGTACGTACCGTCGTTGTTATAGTCGTTGGCTCTGGCGAGGAATGTGATGACGTGGATGTAACAGTAGTTGTTTGGTAGACCGGGGCTGGCGCGTGTGGACACCTGGAAAGACCGATTTTGATGCCGCCAAGTAGGGCGGCGATGAGTAGGGCTATGATGAGTATCGTGCCGGTAGGGACGAGGAACCTCTTCTTGGTGAAAAATGAGTGCCGTTCGTAGAATGGGCGAGGGGGCAGTTGGGCTTCATCGTCATTGGGGAAGTAAGGGTGGTTTGGATCGATGTGGTCTGCGGGGACGCCTGTGCGTTGAGGCGCGATCCCGGAAAGCTCGATGTCGGGTCGTTGTGACATGCTTGTTAATATTGCTGCGCGGTGATACGTTGCTGGGTCTCTGGATATTGGTGATGCTTTCGGGTCTGCGATATTCGATAGATCAGACATTGAAGAGCAAAGTGGCAGGGAACGTTATGTAACGGACATGAATATAGTGAAAGATAGATCCCTAAAAATCACTTGTCACACAGCGCGTGAGTACAATGCTTAGGTCGTACAATGTGAACAGGGGTCAAAAGTCCCCAGAATGATTCATCACCATCATAATCCGAGCAGATCTCACTTCACATGGAACACGAGAGCGTGTATGTAATTACTAATCGTACTAGGTGTTTGCTGAAGACCTCTTCCTTAAAATCCAGTGGAGGGACTTTTGGTTGACGGCGGAGCGTCTGGACTTGAGCCCGTCACATGAAGTAGGCTGTTCTGTGTGACCAGAAGTGAATGATGTGGAGCAAGTTTATTAGTGGTCTGTGTATGACCAAAGCTGTCACGGGAATGCAACCCCTATTCCGTGACCATAAGCATGTGAACTGTTGGTCTGAACTCTTGCATTGATCTTTACTTCCTGCCTTTCCCCTTGCCTCCCCTTGTAAGAAGAGTGAGCGACATCCGTTGACGATATTTTCTCCGCACGTTCCCGAAAAACGATATTTTTTCTGAACGTACTCGAGGAACATACTTTTGCCAGTCCTCATTCAACAGTCTTTCGGTCTCATCTGCCAGCCGCGTTTTTTTGTTTGCGCAGTAGATGAAATGTCTTGTCCCTTGGAAGTCGAACCAAAATCGATCTACTTCACAACCAGTCGTTGCGACTTTCTCAAGGCCCACTGCGGTGATCGGACAGGCATGGCCATGAAAGCGGCCCAGTCTGTGACTATGCCCCATTCGAGATAACCGGGGAAGAAAATCCGTCCCCAGAGACCATGTGATTCCCATCACATTAGCAGTTCTGATCAATATCGGAATAACTCCCTCATCGTGTACTCCTGGGTTCCACCATCCCTTGAGAGATGAGCTTTGAAGCACGACTAGAGTGACGTTCATATAGAGTTGATCGATTGACTTCTCATAGTCAACTGTGACACGCTGAACAAGACGTACCAGCCCAAGCAAACCATAGACTCTGTCGCGCGGATCCGCGCAATCATTTGTCACATAATCGTCCAGGGCAACGCATATATCGAGATGCTTGAAGAATCCACCAGCTCTTCGGAAAGAGCTCCTGCCGATAAGCCTAAACGTGCTGCTGGATACGGAGTGCCGCAAATAGTCATCGAGGGTGTCAGCTCGACGCTCCCATCCACGTGTGTCATCCACCAGCCAGATGTCTTTGACGAGAACCCTGATCTGCCTCGCTAGAATGAACTCTTGTACAATCCAAATTCGTGTAAAGTATTCGTTGTGAAGAACATAAGCTAATGCCGCTGGTTCTCCAACATGCTTCCAGACACCTGCAGCATCGTACATGTTTTCAAACATATCGCATCCGCGTTGGGCGAGGATGCTGGGGGATGCGTCGGCTTTCTTAGAACCTTCGCCCAACCAAGCAATGACTGAATTAGCCTTGCTGTAAATATCGCTCATCATCTGCACTTGGTGGTTGCGCTCAGCAGTAGTTGACTGATCAATGCACAGCTGGTCAATCCACAGATGCTGATCCGAGGGCGCCTTGTCGCGACAATTCCCGAACTCAGTGAGAAATTTGAATAGGTTTTCTCGTATCGCAAGTCTTCCGTTTGCGATGTAGATATCGTGATTTGACGGCGGTGGACCCCAAACATAAGACAAGGCTGTGTATGGCGGGGCTTCCGAAATCTCGAAGACGTTGATGTCGAGACGTATAGCATCGTCGTTCTCCAACGGACGCAGAAGCGTGACAAGGCGTATCTGCTGTGTCGCATGATTTAGTGGCCGGTATTGGTAGTTGTAGGTAGTCGAGTTAACAGCGAAGGACATGTTCGCTCCACGGCTTCCTTGCGCCTCGACCTAACATCTTAGTACGTGTCACATATGCGACAAGCACCCATATCACCTACGAAGGCACTACGCAGCAGACAAAGTAGACTCGGCGTACGACCAAGCCTTGGGGGGACCTGGAGACTATGTGAGGTTTGTGATGATCGCGATAAGAAAGCAATACTGCATATTGAATGTAAGCGGGGAAGATGCGCGTGCCAACGTGTTGCTGACTGCATGGGCTATGCAGACGTATACGGCTTGCATAATTTGAGAGTCTGACCAATGAACAGTGAGGCGCTGTAGAAAGCGCTAGGCCTCATCATGCTAGTAGCTGCAGGAGCAGGTTGAGCAGATAGCAATGCAGTGGCTTGAAGAACACTGAGTAACAAAGTCAAAGCAGGTCAGCGGGTAGTAAACGTAGTTCAGGACAACGATCGTATGGACACGAATTTGATGGGTATATAGCGCCTTGCATGGGTATCGCATGCAATTCCTCAGAGCTCCAGAGCCAGGAATATCAGTTCGGTGTAAGGAACAGATCACGCTTTCCTCCGACCTTCGTGTTGCTCGAGGCTAGGAAGACCAAGACGCTCTGTAGACCTTAGCCATGCTCTTTATTTATCATTACCAAACCGATCATCAGTACCACTGTTGCGCCGACGCCGAATCTCGGTGCTTCGCTCATCGTTGCCTGGGGCCGGCTCTGGACGTCCATTGGCTTGCGCCTGGTCCTCAGTGATGTTATCATGGCTCCCAGAGGACCTTCGAGTAGGGCGTGAATTGCCTCGGCGTGAGTTGCCTCGGCGTGGTTTTTGTGGAGCATTTTGCGGGGGGCGGTTGCTACCGTCGTTGCTGCCAGGTCCCATAAAGCGTCGAGTCCCGTCAACGCGGTTAGGCGGAAGATGGTAAGGCGGACCACGCCGTCGCGAATTGTCACGCGGCTGATCGATCGCTTCGATCTGTGGTCTATCTCGCAACGTTGAGACAGGTGTAGTCATGCTGAAATCGGTCTTTGCGCGCTTGGTAGGGGCCGTCCTCATCGTGGTATCACTGTCAGGAGCTCGGCGCCGCGAGACTCCATTGACACTTCGCCCTTGCACGGCATGATCCTAGAACATTGTCAGCTTTGATCTTGAGAACTACCTGATACTCGAGGACATACCTGGGGCTGAGTCACCTGTTGGCGATTCCGACTGGGCTGCTGATCCTGCTTCATCTGCTCTGGGTGGACCTTGTCGTCTGCATCTTGGTAAGTATGCTTGTCCTTGCCCAGGCGGACCTCCAATTCCTCAATCCACATGTCCTTGGGGGTGCTCATGCTTTGTTTCTGTAGAAGTCTTCGATTGCGCTTCTTAAGAATCGCGTTGAGAATGTCTTCCCCGATCTCTCCGCACACTTGAATACGGGAGTCGTGCGGAAGGTGGATGATATCTAAGATATTGCCAAAGGCGCCCGTCTTGGGTTGGTATGGGCAATCCGCTTCTATGTCATAGACGCCCTTCTCTGGGACATAGGCGACCTTGCTTTTCTTGCGCTCGTCCCAGCAGTAGTATACTGTTTCTTCTGCTTTCTTGAGACCGAAGCAATCCACGCGGACCTCTACGGGCTTCGATGACGGTCCGCTGCCTCCTGCAGTGCCGAGCTTCAGAACCTCAAGTTCGGTGGTGTTGTCGATTACGATACCGTATCTAGTCTTGAAACAGAACCAGCCAAACTGCGTCAGGACAGCGTTGGGGTCTTTCGCCTCGCAAAGGACCACATGAGGGAAGTTCACAATCGTGCCTCTCACGTATTCATCTTTATCGACAGGGGTGTGATCATTCCATCGTCCTTCATTGGATTCTCTCCGCAGGGGCCGGCCAGTTCGTTCAGAGACCTCTCGTGTAGACAACATCGTGGGCACACTTGACTGCCGATGCACAGTTGCGGAGCGGGCGGTGTGACAAAGCCCTGAGAGGGAGTTTACGCCGCTGGTCGAGCCACCTAGATTAGTGAGGACTCAGCTTGGTCGGCGTCGGATCTTGGGTCTTCGCAGGGTAGGATTTCGCGCTGATGTAGTAAATCTTAGTTAGCTGAGTTTGTATACTACAGAGTATCGCTGGTACTGCTTCGGTCGGGTGGTATCATATCGCTCGTGGGAATGGCCATAGCTTACGCATGAGCGAAGTCTTAGCGTTACATAGTGAATAGGGCGGCGGATGGAAACCACGCACCTTCCACGCTCACCTAGCCTGCAAAGCATTTTGCGTAATCAATCGTGCGCTCTCTCTCCGTGACCGTCCATCCTACAACAACCTGCTCGCCTTACTATTAAATTCGTCGAGAATCAGATATCCAAGCCTGACGTCTTGCATAATCTGACGATTGACGCTTCCGCTCAACATCCGGCTTGCATTATACGACAAGCGACTAAACATGTCTACCACCCAGGGTGCTTTGAAGACCGCTATGAGCCTGTATAGGGCGGTAGCGAGCTATATTCCTCTCGTCCGTCACCGCGAAGGCAATGCCCCCCGCGACAATGGACGTACCGGTAGCGGCGCTGGAGGCCAGCCAACTGTATCTAACGTTGAACTTTCGTCATTGCATACCCAGCTTTTGATCACCTCCGTCCAGTCCGGAAGAAGCAAACACGAAACGATGTTAGAGCTCCGATCCAAGTCGGATTCGATCAAAGCGGACATTGCGATGATGAAGGCGAATGAACAAAACGCTCAGTCGACAATCCAGTGGAAAGAGGCGGCTATCGAGAGGATAGATCGTCAACTGCAACATCGAAGCGGAAAATCGAAAGTCCAGCAACGTTGCCTGAGGATCTTATTGCGCGAGCGCGACGCAGCGGCGAAGACCAAACGAGGAATGCAAAGATTAGTCAAGTCGCTTACGAAAGAATACAATGAGAATCTTTGCTCATTTGCTGAAGTCGTAATGGAGCTCCAGGATACCTTTCTTCTGCCAAAAGGGAAAGAGAATGAGGTCATAGCAGAGCAGCATAAGGCCGGGTGCGTGCAGGGAGAAGTGGAGAATCTGGTACAGGAGCACGAGCAAGCGCAGATACAGCAAGACGGTGGTATCCCCGAGGTGAACAATGTTCAGCCGAACAATTCGCCAGGCACCGCCCAAGAGATCGAAAGTGGCAAATCTCTCGCCCGTAACCAGCCTTTAGAGGCTTCGCAACCCGACATCCATAAAATTGTCGTTAATGCTGCCTGCCTTGACCAGCAAGCCGAGGCCCAGTCCATCAATATCGCTGTTGACGACAATGATACAACGTTGAACCCGCCAGTGGAAGACAGGGGTAGCTCGCCATCCAGCAAAACAAACGATTCTGCTATCCACGTCGAAGACCCGCAAGAGGTGCAGGATATGGCTAGATCAGAAGCTGGTGTCGATATTGGTGGTCGGACAGTCGATGAAGTGCAATCAGTCGGAATCGGACAGGAGGCCGGAGAAACACTTCCCCACGAAGATTCGTATGCCAAAGGTTACAAAGAACAGTGGGATAAGATTGAGCAGGCCATAAAAAAGCTCGAGCGATGTGAGAAGAGTTATTGGGAGAGGAAAGAAAAGTTCGAACAGCACTACAAAACGTTTGATGAAAAGCTGGATAAGTTCTGCTCAATCAACTCACGCATGAGTAGAGCGGATGCAGAACAAAGATTCGGTCGACACTTCCTCGAGGTAGGGGGCAATTTCCGTTATTCTTTGGGTGTAGCGGAGAGGTCGCTCAAGAAAGCCCGGATTGAGGCGAAAGAAGCAGGAGTCCACGATTGCAACTCATGGGACCAGGAGTCTGGCTTCCTTTCAGTGACGGGTGAAGGTCCGGATCTAGAAGACAACGGCTACATGAGCGATAGTCGTGATCGCGAAGTGGTGATGGAGTGGCTGCAGATGTCCTACGGCCCAGGAATTATGCAGCCTTCTGAGTTCAACTTCGCGACATCGAAGGTGAGCGTCGATCCTTGGGAGAGTCATTCCACGAGGGGAGACTCAAGCAAACGGAGGAAGATAGACAAGAATGTCGGTACTTGGGAAGTCCAGTCCTCTAAAGCGTACTCAAGCAAGCGGAGGAAGATTGAAGGGGATGTTCGTTGGGTGGCGCCCAACGACAGCAATGACATCGCATATGGCACCGACAAGGAGGACAGGGGAAACCAGAAGCAATCGGAAGGCCCAAGGAAGAGGCCTCGTGCAAGGTCAGAGGTAGCCCATAAGCGACGTGCTCGATCATCCAACGCGCTTCCCGGTTACGAGGTTATCAAAGGAATGTTTTCCGAAATGCCTGTAGAGGATCACAGCGTGAGTGTTGACCCCTCTGAAATATTCGATGCCGAGTACTGACATTTCCACAGGTCTGGATGAAGCGAGACTACCGAGAAGACGTCATCATGGTTGACGACGAAACGACCGACGACGATACCTGAGCGACCAGGCAGCAAACTGACGAATTGCGAGTATGAGAATCGGTGGAGTGGGAGGTGATGAACCAGCGACTGAAGCAGCTACGTGCAGTTGCCGGATGTAGCAAGTCGAGACCGGAGGCATTGGGCACATCATCTTACCGGCAGCAGCGACACACAACACCAGTCGCCAACGCTGCAGAACAGCAAAGACTGTTCCGGTACATATGCAAGACTCGCATAGCACCGCGTCGAACGTGTCGAACGCATCGGCGATGCGGAGAGATCAACCGGCAGAAAGGCAGAGGAAAAGAATTTGATGGAAGGACCGAACGACACCTATGGGTAATCCGAGAGGTCACTGGACAAAGCTCAGGGCTTCCAGTATGCATGCAAAGACATGTCCCCCGATACCAAGATATCGGGGAAGAACTTGGTGCAAAGACACCGGGGAAAAGTCTGGAGCCAAGATATCGGATAACACGCCAGCCGGGAGGTCTGTGCGCAAAGTTCACAACTTTGCAGGCGTGCACGCGCGCACGCGCCAGAGATGACCTCATGTTTGAGCGTTGCGCCTATAACCGCTCGTCTACGATGCTAACGAGGCTCCACGTAAGAACCTAGACGCTGAAAGAGCGTATGTGGCAGAGTTAAAAAGCGAAATTGCGCAGGTAGATACTGAATGTAGAGCCGACGAGCCATTCACAACGTCCGCAATCGATATCCCACCCATACAAGATTACTTTGTTCAATGAAAAGACTCACAAACATTCTGAATAAACAGCCGACAGTACTCATGCTTCAATCGCTAGCGATGTCTATGGAATCTCTCATGCCAGCACAGGCACAGAGCCCAACGAGTGATCACAGTAAGTCTTCCAAGGTTTGGTGCGCTGGTTTCAAACACCACGGTTCAATATCCAAACTACCGGACTTCAAGAGTAGGAACTTCGCGAGAGTGAAATTTTACATATGATAGATATATAAGTCCTCGTTTCCTTTCCTATGCTACCATATCCACTAAACCCTCAAATCGTCGAAACACCAGCAACTTGACAAAACAACTTTCAACCTAGTACAAATCACGTTCACCATCCCGGGACATGCCTTCCTTTCTACGTGCCAGCGTTCAGCGCTGCGACGACTTCATCTCACACCCCGATGCGCACTGCGTGCGTCTTCCAAGCGGTTCCGACCTCTACTTCACGCTACCGATCGACTTGGACTCCCGACAACCCATGCCGCCCCAGGATCTAAAAGCACTTGCTGCATACCTAGAACAAACTCCACTACATCCTGCAAAAGGATCAAGCGGTCCCGTTTACCAAAATAATCTTAAAGTGCGGAGTATCATCAGCGACTGGCTCCAAGGCTCGCGGTACCTTGACGATTTGGAGATGCACGCGTGGAAGCTTGGTCATGGCTTTCCAACATTTGATGAATTCGGCTTTCCAGTCGATTTCCACTGGGTGTGGGATGTTATCGCTTTCGAAGGAGGAGAAGAGTTGGTTTCCCAATACGTCAATGCTATAAATGCACCCGCAGAGCCACAATCGCAAGCTCATGCCGAAGACCATCATGACTCCACTCCGGTACGCCGCGCTCCTCGCATAGCCGACACACCTCCTTCCAATTCTCCGATCCAGCAATCGCAACATCAACACTTTGGCCAGTACCGTGTGAGAGCCCAGGCCGACGCACCCGTCTCCTTACATGGAGCTACCTTTGCAAACAATGACGATTTCGTAGCATTCCTGAAGACACTTACCAAATTCGAACAGACGTTGCTTAAAAACGACATCATACGATTCGAAGGCAACAGCTCCAGTGGCCTGCGCATGGTACGTGGACCGAATGCGAAGTTCCTCCATGAGCGAACTTCTCAGGCTAAAAAGGAATCTGTTCAAATTCGCACATCCTCGCCTGATCCTCGAGCCATTCATGTGCTAGTCCACCAAGAAGACCTACGACCTGTTGTTTTGCACCACGAGACCCCCGTTAGACAAGGAAAGAAACCGCGCCAAGAGCAGAAGTCAGGTTTCAAGCGCATAGGAGCACCATCCAACCAAAAGATGGCCGCTGAGCTCGACCCCTTCCGTTTCCACGGCCGAGAAAGCACACAGGAGGCACGAAACCAAGTTGTCAACGATCAGAGGCTGTCTTATGAGTATCAAAACCTGGCTGACGAGTACCACCAAGCTACCAAAAGGCTGCCTGCTTTGCAGAGTACAGAGCCACTGAAAGAGGCCTACGCCTTAGCATCTACACTTGAACGCGCGCGCGAGAAGTTGAAGACCGCTGCGTACGCGAGCAAGAACAAGGAGACCGATGCGTACGAGAACGAGAACGAGAACGAGAACTATGCAAACATTTATGTCCAATACACCAAGACCGCGCAGCAACCTTCATCCTCGTCTCCATTTCCGCCCCCCAACGTAAATTCCTTCAAGAACTCCACCAGAATCCCCGCTCCCAAGGCCGCCGCTTCTTCTGCGCGTCGTAAACTCTTCTCCGCCAAACCAAGTGCTCATCGCAACTTGTCGTCCCAAGAGCCTACTCGTCTGCCAATGCGCCCAAAAGTAGCTGGTAGATCTTCGAGCTACGATACTGGTGTCGACGATCCCGTCTACCGGTATCAGGCGTATGCGGAGGATAGCTGGGAGGATAGCCCCGAGGGTTCGCCTCGTGCAGCTCCCGGGAGTTGAAGGGATGTGTGAAGGAGGGTGTTTCGTGTGAGATACGTACCAATAGCGAGGAAATGGAGATGTTGGTAGTGTGCTTGGGGTTGTTGTGGTAGCTAGGTTTGGTTGATGTAGGATAGTCAGTGTATTCAGTCTTTCGTATTTGACACTTGCACTCTACAAAGCGGCCAACTTATTGTTACACCCTCTTGCATATCATCACGATCGCTCCATCATCATCACTTCAACTAACTCACATAGCCCAGTACTTTTGCACAATTTATCCATTCCAATGCGGTTACTACCCAGCAGCTAGAGAAATCTACGCTATATGGTATGTAAACATTCAGATACCAGCCCAAAAAAGGATATTGTTCATGTCCAAGGAGATTCGTTGTCGTATCCTTGAAGAAGCCTACTTTCATGAATATAGAAACCATCGTGGGGAAAACAATCCGAGGAAGACAGTCAGTGGAGCACTGACCACGCGCAAGCTCCATAGTTCCCGAAGAAGCCCCTGGTATATTTGGTATCCCATCCGATGTACCCTTTCCGTGGATCTACAAGCGTCATATATCGTCGAAGCCTTCATGTTGCGCCGGGTTTAAAAAGGAAGTAAGGTTATGAAGAAGAAGATATAAACTAGAACGCGAGTAAAAAAAGATCAAGGCGACAGGGGGAATCATGCTTGCTTAAAGTCGAAAACCTTGATGGTAATGTGAAAGACATAAAATGGGGAAACTCCTCGCTATGCTTGACCGGCCGTCGTGGTTGTATAGAGGCCGTAAAGATGTTGTGCGCATGGCGGAAATGCATAAATAAAAGTTTGCGCAGTGTTGCTGGTAACGAAGAATAGGTCGACGGATCGGGGGTATCAATGCAGAGTCGAACACCAAATGCGGAAAAAGACATACTATGCCCTGCTCGGGTTGATGTTCTCGAGCTCACTGCGCTGGCGCAAGTACTTGGCGGCAAGCTGGTCACCGCCTTTCATGGATTGCTCCATCCAGTGTTGCGCGACACACATGGTCATTGGATCGCTGCGGGCGGGATCTTGCGACGCCTTCCTCTCGCGGTTGAGAAGCTCAGTCTTGAAGACCTCGCTGGGCCTGGTGAGCGGCAGAACTGTGCGATGAACGAGCTCGGGCGATGTGAGGTAAAAGATCGCAAGCTCACGCTCGGCAACTGCGTCGCCCTCCTTGGCAGTGATGAGAAGCATGCGCCCGGCATCCTCCATGGTGTACTTGGATAGCGGTTCCTCAATCGGAGCTGGTGTAGTGGACGATGCACCAGCCTTCTCGACAGCAGCTCCACTGCTGACTTTGCCTGCATCACGCTTCGAGTTCTGGGTGATGACCTCATCGACGAGCTCTACCATGATTCGGCAGACGTCTTGCTTGAGGCCAAGAGCAGCGAGACCGACATCCCAGAATGCCTTGCCTCGTGCCGTCTTGTCTAGCATCTGTGCGGGTACAAAAGACGCAATGTACTGCAAGTCCCGGAACAGTGTCTTGGGTCGAATGTTAGCATCGCGGAAGAGGCCCTGAATGACTTCAACGATCATGTCTGTGCTTGGAGGTCCAACCGGAGAGCGAGCGCCGTTGCGAGGTAGAGGGGACGCGTTGCTCACGCGTTCTACGCTCATGCTGTGAGAGCGGCGCTCTTCGCAGTTGGCGATGGCTTCCTCGAGGTTTTGTGCACGAGAAGTTTGAGTAGCTGGCTCACGAGAACTGAGATCTGGCATGGTGCCAAGGGTGGGTGATTGAGGAACCGGGGGAAGAGTCTCTCTGCGGTTGTTGTACGAGCGGCCCGTTCGAGAAGACAATGATGCTATGATGAGCAGCTCCAGCTCATATAGTGCATGCAGTTTGGAGAATGGGTTGGGATGTGTCTGAAATCTGCCCAACAGCCGTCGGAAAGCAACGTTGTACGGGAAATCGAGTAGCCCAGCCTTCTTTGCTGTGGCATTGCCAACTGAACGCGAAGTCGCGTCGCTGGAAGTCGAGGATTGCTCGCCAGCAGATTGGTGAGCGTCGGATGCACTGGCGTGTTGGAAAGTTGCGACAGGTGGAGCCGCTGTTCCACGCTCATTACGGCCAAGCGTCTCCAGCGGCAGATTGCGTTGATCGGGCAGTGTCTGCTTCCGGATGTTCTTCATGCTCTTCTTGGCGAGCTGCTTCTTGCGTTTCCGTTCTTCTTCATCTCTACGCTCGAAGCAGTCGTCAAGTAGATCACCACCGAACCATGAATCTGTCTCGCTCCCGTTGGCGAAGACCATTGTTCCAAGGTCACTCAAAAGAAGGCCTGTGAGTGTTTGCTTCAGATCGAGCATAAAGCGGCGCTTGTCTTCGTTGACCATTGCAGATTGCTTCAGCATCACCGTACCCTTCGAGGATGATGCGGTACGTGGTCGGATGCTTGTGGCGTTGGTAGGAGACTGCGCTTGGGTCTGGAACGGTGACCAAAAGGTAGCCATAGAATCGATCGCATGAACGGGTGAAGACCCGCCGAAATAGTCGGGGGCGTCCATGGGATTTCTTCCCCAGGGGCTCTGGTCGAAGCTTGAAGATCCGTTCCGGTTAGCTGCGGCGCGCAGACTACCTTGACTTGGTCGCTGTGAGAAGTCATGGCTACGAGAACCAGGTCGGCCATGAGTCTCGTACTCTTCGTCGCCAGCGATGGAAAGAGTGCCAACACCAGTCAGGAATAGGTCACCCTTCTGCCGTCCACTCTCCAGAATCTGTTGGTCGCGTTTGTAGAGATCGCTGGCCCAGAGCACAGGCCCGTCAAGAACGCCCTCGCCAATGACCTTGGTGACGCACTTGTCGACCTCGAGACAGAAACGATGTATTCGCTCTTCGCCTTTGCAGAAGTTCTCCACGCTGTATTGCATGAGCCACTTTAGGGTGATTTGCGACTGCTCGTCTGACAGCTTGTTCGGCCCACCGAAGTCTTGAGAAGCTGACATCAGATCAACCAGCTGAGCTTCGCTCTGGCGTAAGAAGCTATTGCTGTTTCGCGGTTGGGAACCTGAAGGGCCCCTGACGTTGAGCATCTTAGACTGTTGGTCCATGATCTTGAGAGCAAGCGCAACGTTCCTGGCGTCGTCATACGGCTTGGAAGTACGGACATCTGTGATGTACCACATCTTGTCTCGAAGGTTCTTGAATGTGAGCATCATCTCTTCGACCATACCATCTGATCGCTCCTGGGACTGCTTGAGCCATACGAACCAGGCCTCGAACTCTTCAATGGCATTGGCTGCCTTGCTGAGGAGGTCACGCGGGCCGCGGGAGAAGTAGTTAAGGAGGGCCGCGTAGCCGTTCTTAACCAGTGTTGGAGAGCTAAGTCTTTTCAGACTCTGCAATGTCTTGTAGTACATGTGCGCATTCACAAAATCGGATCGTGCTTGGCACTGGTACATTGCGGTCTCAAGCATGGTGACCAGAACTGAGTTGTTTTCTTGCTTCTCGCCGACTTGCGGGTTGCTGTGACTTCTCGGGAATTGTGGTGAGCGCCGTGATGAGACATTTCTTTGGCTGGCAATCATGTTTGTAAGCTGGCTCTGGCTCTGGGTCGAATTGTATGGGTTGCGCGATCCTAGGTTCTCGCTGACGTTGCGTACTGGGCCACGTCCACGAGTGCTCTTGCGGGTCGTCATTCTGTTGCTGAAGTTCTTTGATTCGCTGTCGGGCGCAAGTTCCTTGGGAATCTCGTACTCCTCCACCAACTTGGCGATTGCCTCTTTCAGCTGGTGGTAGTCGTTGCCAAGATCGAACCTGTTCCCGCCCTCTTCGTCGTCGCTGCTGTCACTGTCTGGTGAGTCCTCATCGTGCTCATCCTCATCGTCAAAATCTTTGCGCATACGCGGCTTCAGCTGCTTTCCATCGGCGGAGATGTAAAGGACAGCCCATCGCTCTGCGCACGGATGGCAAGAACCTGATGTGGCCTCGAAACCTAGGAGGCGAGTCATCTCAGAGCATGCCATTCGCAGCTGTCTACCGTATTGCTCTGTTGGTGCAGGCTTCATCTCTGTCGGCGATTCGGCGGATGCCGGATTGCTGTCCAGAAGTGGCTCGCGCGAGGTCTGGTCGCTGGTCATTGAAGAAGCACTGGCACTCAGGATAGAGCTTGCGTCAGTCACGGAAGCGGCGGCATTGCGGAATGGAACCGACATTCCAGACATGGAAGAAGCAGAGGAAGCGAGACCAGTACGGCGCTGGCTGTCATTGTCCATGTGACTGGATGATGGGCGTCGCTCCGGGAAGAGAGCATTGACCAAGGTGACAATGTCGGCTGGTGAAAGGACAATGAATGGCTGAACTTCTACAGTTTCTCTGGGTGATGTAATGGCCTTTGCGGGTAGCAGAATAGGCTTCGAGGGTGTCTTGGTGTGCTTGAACCGAGCGAGGATGTTCTCGATGTGTGTGCGGATCTCTGGGAGGATTTCGTTTTTCTGCTTCCTACAATCTTGTTAGCTGACACTCCTTGATCTACTAATAGCGACATACCAATTGTAGGTCATGTTCACGACGTATTTCTGTGCTCGGATGGCGACCTCTTTCAGAATCTTGATGCGAGCATGCTCGCTGATGTGGTGGCCAATCATGATGCCGTGGGTCTGTTTGGTGTTAGCTTTACAGTACTTGTGTCAGAAAGGGTAGACATGCCTCGGGATGGATGATGGCGTTCATGAGGAAGGTGGAGAAGAGCCAACGTGAAACAAAGAAATTTTGCGAAGCCCTGCGCAGGCTCTTCTCGTCCTCCAGCTTTCGAAGGATGGCATTTCCAATCTCCAGTACTCCTTCCGGGATGCCACCGGCACTGGGCTCATCGTCAACGACCTCGAACAGACGCTTGACAGCCTTGTCAAAGAACTCGTCTGCTGCGATGGTGTCCTTGCTGGAACGCGGGGTCGCTTGCATTCCGGGTCGTGCGGCCTGCTCCTCGGGCTTCTCAAGCAGGAACTGGCCATCCTGGAGGGTTTGCATTAGATAGAGCTCCAAGTTAGTCTTTCCGGGCCATTCTCGCATGCCTGCCCAGACATCGAGCACTGTGCGGATGAAGTTGGGGTTGTTGTTCTTGATCAGCTTAGCACAAACAGTGGCCCATACATCTGTGCGGCGAAGGTCTTCTGCCGAGTCGGGTCCCGATGAATTAGCGAAGATGGTGTAAACGAGGGCAGACAGCGGATCATGGCGCTGGAAAGATAACAGGCGTTCTACCGGGCTCGTTCCTTGTTGTTGGGCCTTCTGCGAGGGAGCGTTGCGGCTACGGGCGTTTGCAAACATGACCGAGTCAATCGGGTCCATGGTCTGACGGAAAGAGGTAAGAGAAGTGAGCTCTTGCTGCGAAAGACTGGAAATACGAGCAGCAAGAAATTCTGGGTTCGTACGGATTTCGGAAATGAAATCTAGAAGGTTGTCCAGAATCTTGGACGGGACTTCATTGAGGAAAGTGGAGGCAGAGAGGGGCTTCTCGCTCCGAAAGTTCTTGGACTTGCCAAACTCCAGATCCGGCTCCAAGAGGGCATATTGCCGCGTGGCATCGCACGAGTTGCGGACGTCGTTGAGGGCGTTGTAGAGGGAGGCGAACGACTTCTTGTCGTCGGAGCGGAAGTTGTCGACCAGCGTGCGATAGGCCAGCTCGCCGCAGTGTACCAGACGTGCGGAGAGGGCGCTCGAGACTAGCCACCGGTGCAGGCGCACGCGGGCATGCGTCTTGCGCTGCTCTTGGTAGCCCTGGAGGCGGATTAGGTGGGCGAGCTCGGCGAGGGAAGTCGCGGACGGTGGGATAGCTGCAGTCGGCAGGTACGAGTCGGTGTAGGAGGAGAGGTCTGCGGGCAGCAGGCGCGGCAGGCGGCCGGCGGGGGCAGACATGGAGGCGGGTATCTGGGGGCGCTGGAGTTGTTGGTGGCCATGGCCATGGCGGTCGGCGTGGACGTCTGGTGTTCCGCCAGGTCGGCTGCCCATGGTGGCCGGTGGTGGTTTGGGAGCGCGAGGTGAGGGCGACCTGGGCGGGCTTTGAGACCGGGGCGGAGCCTCAGCGGGCGGGTCGTCGACTTGAGAAGTAGTGTACGAGGGCGTGTGGCATCGAGACGACACATGGGTGACGGTGGGCGACACGGCTACGAGAAAGTCAGCGTCGGTTCGCCTGCCAGCTCATCGTACATGCACAGAGCAGCGCATTGATGCCCGCGCCAGCTATTGGCCGGAGACGCGCTCCAGCACGGGGAGGGATATGGGCACCTACGCGGAGTGTTGCCAGCCTGCGCCGGCGAGGCTGTGAGTTGGGTTCGTCGCATCATGTCGCCATGAGAGAGCCCCATGGAAGCCCTACGGAAGGTGCGGACCTCAAGAAGGTAGCAGAGATCCTCTACGGCATTGCCAGATGGGGCGATGGTATTGGGAGAAGAAGAACTGCTTTGGGCGCGCCCTCTCCACAGCGCTCGACGTATGCGCTGGCGCGTCTTGACTCTTTAGGTGGTAATGATACAGAAGCGAGGCAAAAGAAGCGTGATTGGGCCTCGTCCTCGAGTCCCTGCAACAAGTCACGACTGCAGCTCAACGGCCCCCGACTAATCCCATACTACTGCGAAGCCGCCAGCCGCCTGGAAAGCGCATACCGTGTGCGAAATACAGCGGGGGAGCTGCTTCAGATTGGTGGCCGTGCCAGACCGCCAGACTTGCCCACGACCTCCATGTCGCCATGGAGCTGTCCAGGCGATGACTTGCAGGAACAGCACATCGCAGTGGGACGAATGAGGACCAGCCCGCCGAGTGCCTCAGCTCAGACCCTCTCCTTCTCACACCAGCCATCCCCGCCTCGCACAGAGACTCGTCGACAACGCACGCTTTGGATCGGCGCCGTCGTCGCTCTGATGGAAGCTTCGGCGACGCTCTCCCGCCGCTGGTGCTGGCCGTGTTGATGTCGCCATAGAGAGACTAGGCGGTGCTGCTGGCCGCTTCTGCGACCGCCCCTCAACGCTACCCCTCCTCCCTTCACCACGGCACACTGCCCTCACCAGCAGAGCAACTCGTAAACTCTCAAACACGCTTCTCCGCTGCAGCTGCAGCTGCAGCGCCAATACAGACGACGCCCCTCAGCTAATCGCCTACGCGCAGCTCTGCTCGCCCTCCTGACGTGACGGCCGACGAGTGGAGTCGCCTTCTTCCCCTGCGCTGCCAGCGCATGGCTGTCAAAAAGGACCATGCCATGCAACATGCTGCACGCCAAAGCATCGCGCTGCACCGCTGTGAACCCATGTTTTCCCATTCATCTCCCAGTGCATGCCTAGTGCCTAGCAATCCTCGACATCATTCATCACTCCGCTATGCATATCCATTCGCCATCCAATGAGCCGCACCATCACACCACATACTAAACTCTCTGCAGCATCTCCTGCTTGGGGCTATCGCTGCAGTCGCTGCGGAGCTTCGTTCCTTTTGCATGTTTGCAGTAGCAGTGCGTCTGCAGCTATATCCCGGTGCATGGCATCTCAATCGCGATCGTAATATTACGAGATAAGAATATCTTGCGTGGGCGTTGAAATGTTACATTGAAACGTCTCCAGGTTTGCCCAGGTGGCTATCGGAGATCGTCCACCATCTGCCGGTCGCGTGTAATACCCCGCCACACGATTGCCGCATACAGACCGCTCCTTCTTCAGGTACCCATGGCCATTCCACGTACCCAACGTGCCAACGGCATTTGGGCTGACGGTTGCCCTGCCCAATCGCTGCTAAGCGCCTATCTACAATGCAAGACATGCGAAATCGTGGCGATCCCCGCTAATCCAACACCAACGCGCCAGCGTAGCGCTCTACCGGCACCATTGCACCCGATCGCTGGCTTCGCGACTCCATCACAGCTTGCCCAGAACCCGTAGTCAAGGCATGGCTTCCCTGAGTAGAGGAGCGACACGTTTCCGACTGTGCTGCACTTGTCGCTGCCACCAGGTCTTTCTCCACTCGCTCTTGCTGTCAATGTCGTCGGAACCCTGCCAATCCTCCAATCCCAACTCATCTTTTGAATTCGTGGCAAACATCTTGGCAGCCGACACGGCGCCATCGTTGAAGGCCCATAGTAACAGTTCTCTCTGAAATTGCCCATCTGCACCCGACGACGTGGTCATCAGGGAAAACATGTCCAATTCACGCTCCCTTGCAAATTCATTCAACGCTTGGAGGAACGCGTCGGATGCCTGAGCACTTGCTTCGTCGCCAGCTTTTTTCTGAAGGAACTCTATAGGCTTTACGACGGAACTAACACCGAGCTTGCGGCCACCCTGGTCCCACTGCTTATAATCCTTCCGAAGTATGTCTTGCAGCTTTAAGCTTCCAATGTCTTTCTTTGCTGCGTCGATCTCCTTGTAGAAGCTGGCGCGGTTGAAGCTTGCAGCCAGCGGGGGACAAAGCATGATCTTAGCTTCCAGGTACTCGACAGCGTTACGATCATGCTCGGTCGTTTTGTTCTCGTCGTTGAGATCGGCCGTATCGATGAGAATGCTGGCCAGGCCCAACTGGGCGATGTCTGCATCCCAGCGCTTGACAAAGGCAGCGTCGTTGGACATGCTGTCACCCTGTGCGTGGGCCGCCCCTGAAGACAAGGCAGACGCGGAAGCCATGTCCCATGATGGCTGGCAATAGTTTGCAACCAAGCTAGTGCAGCTGCCACACCTCTCGATTATCCTCGGCTCGTCGCCTGTGTCTTCTGGTACTTTTTTTTCGTCGTCATGATGATCAATGACACCAGCAACACGCTCTGCATAGATTTTTCCCAATTGGCCCTGCAGAGCATTGTGGTCTACCAAGATCCATTTGGTATTCTCAGGTGCGAGCTTCGACTGTATGTCTGACAAAGCGGGAAGGTCGTCCAACGTGATCAAGTGCTTCGACTCAATATTGGTGTGTTTGAATACGGCAAGATATTCCGGCCGTAGCTGAATATCGGAAGATGGAATATTCGTGATTGGTACATAAAGTGGGCTAAAGGCATTTTTGGGCGGCGACATGGACCGGAGGTATGCGTACAGAATGGAACATGACATCGAATCAAGATCTGTATTTCATGAGTACGCAGCGCCATTGTGGAGTAGGAGTCATGCTCACCCGCAGACTCATTGCCAATGACGAACGTAATCTTCTGGCTAGTTTCGATAGCGCTCCGGAGAGCGCCTCTCGCGTGTGTAAGAAAGGCTCGCAAAGAATTCCTCGGCACCGCCATGACTTTGTTTAGCGGTGAGACGTGTGTAGGTTTCGGGAGGGTGGAAGTGGACGAGCGAATGGTGTTCAAGAATGAAAGTGACGTAGAGGGCGCTCGGACCATACCACATGCATCACGGGGGGCAGGAAGGCGCGATGATGGAATTGTGGTGGGCAAAGCGATGTTGACTGTGTGTGGGTGTGAGATCCTCCATGTCCAGATCGCGTGATAATTGAGGAGCCGATTGTATTCTTTGGTGTCCTTGCTTTGCTACCTACCCAGCACTTGGAAAGGCGCCGCCGCATGCGCGTTGTGGCCCATAGAGGCTTTGATTGACCTCGACAAGACATTTCACGATGACTTCACTGACGTGCCTATCCGATCTCGACGCTACCTGCCGGAACTCCTCTGGTACTCCGTAGCCGACGAGCAAAAAACTGCATGATGGGCAGCATCTCGTCACGGCTGCTCGGCATGCCGTCGCCGTTCTTCTTCCACTCTTTAAACTCGATGTATTGGAAAGCATCCTTCAGTTTCGTAGTCGCACTGTCGGTGACTGCAGACTTCTTGTCTGCTTTGCAGATCAGCACCGGGGTCTTGCTCTTCTTCTCCAAAGCTTTCAGCGGCACTGATTGTGACAGCGGCCCTCCGATACTGATCACCCCGCCGAGCTCATCCTCAAGCTGGGCGGCAATCTGCAGTGCGACCATGCCGCCTTGCGCGAACCCAAAGATCATGATCTCTCGCGCTTTGTACCCACATTTGCCGATGAGACCTTGGCGAACCACTTGATCTAGAACCAGAAGTGTCGCCTTCTGGACGCCGGTATCCATGTCCATCTCGCCCGTGGTGGAGTCGAAGATCATATCTTCACCCCAGTGCATCCCTCCGAGATCGAACGGCAGCGGGTTCGGCGCTTGTATCGCGATGCATGCTGTTTCTGGGAGGTTCAGCTGCTCGCCGAGCTTCGTGAAGGACGCATTCGTGTCGCCGAGGCCATGTAGCAGGATCAAGATGTTCGTGGGTGGTTGCGAGGCCGGCGCTGCACGAGTTAGCGAGGGTAAGAGCGACTCTGGAGATTGCGACGTACGTGGCGTGATACTCAGGGTTACGGACAATGGAAAGTCAGCTTTCGTAGGGAGTCGGCCCGGCATGTTGTCGCGAAGATGGAGTTGTGGCTGAGTACATGGTGGAGTTGGAGCACCTCAGACTCGGGAGATAATCGCACGCTAATGAGCCAAGCTTTCAACCACGGTACCAAAGCAACAGCGCGTGCGTTTCTACCTGGCAGCAGGCTACAACATTTGATACAAAGATACTACTTTCATCTGAATTGCTATGGTACTATTCATGAGGATTGGAGAATTTGGAACCTCTTGCAGGCGCAGCCCCTCAGCTCGCGAGCCTAGACGCTCTATCATGCAAGGCTAAGCTTTACCAAAGAAGCTTGTTTGACTGTGCCGAGCGTCCCGTTGATCTGACGCCCACATCCTGGCCCATTACGCACGCGTCTATACCGCAACAGGCTCGTCAACATGCTTTCAAACAAGCCGACACGGAGAATGAGCCACTCAGATTAAGATTTCTGCGGTCTAATGCGTAACGTGGCGCAAGAATGAGCTCAAGGACCCTGCGTGTGCTTCACAGCTGAGCCACAAGTGGTCCCTGGATGGCTGAGCAAGGGAAGAGAGGGGTATGATCGGCCTCGATGAGTGATTCGGTACTGCCAACAGATGCACGAATGTTGGCCGACTATGACGCCGCGTGGCAGCGGTTGTCCGTGGAGAGATGGGTACTTAAAGGCTGGCGAAGTACGCCTTCAAAATGAACACTACATTCAATTCCCATCACTGAACTACAGATACAAGTCCAATATCAATACTCGTCTTTCTGTCTTCACATCAACAACTGTCAAAATGGGTTTCTGGGGTACGTCTGTCTCATTTATCGAAGATATCCGTCACTGACTCTATTACAGACAGGAACGAAGACAACTACCAGCAGGTATACGAGAACGGCAACTTCGAAGAGAACAAGTCAAGTCTGGGGCATGAAGTGATCGCAGGAGGAGCTGCTTTTGCAGGCTTCAAAGCATTTGAAGACCACCAGCGCAAAGAGGGTACGTATGCTTCATGTGCTTAATCTTATCGCACACTGACGTCGTCTTAGGCAAGCCGGTTTCCCATCAGTTCGCCAAAGAGCTTCTTGCCGGCTTCGCAGGCGCTGAGGTAAGCATCAACGTATGATGGTGTATGGGATGGTCGCTAATTGGACGTTTGTAGGTCGACAAGCTCGCCGAAACCAAGGGTGAGGACTGGTTCGACCGCGAGAAGGCCAAGCGCGACGCAGAGCACCATGCAGAGCGCATGTACGACGAGCACTACATTGACAACCACGGCGCGGACCAGTACGACCCTCAGCAGTACGGTCGCCCAGAGAGGTTTGACAGGCGCGGATGGTAGCGGAGGAGAGACAGCTATGATTGGTCAGACCCGTAGAAGCAACCAGGAACCCAATGAAGGACTAGCTCAATCCTTTTGAGACCAGTGCTCTGGCCAGCCCCTCGGTATCGTCAACGTGTTTCGTGAACAGTGGCAGCTGCTTGTCCATATCGACGTGTGTGTGTTTATCCGGTCTTGTGCTGGAGGCTTCTGAGGGGCTTCCACACCTGCAGAATACAGGATCCCTAGGTATGACGTTGTCGCCAATGCGCCAATAGCGGCCAAGCGGGAACATGATTCGTGCAAATCTCCTCCGCGGTGTACTCAATCTCAGCGTGACAGCCCTCGCAACCACGGTTCAGTTACTGGAAGGTAGCACACGACCATCTTCGCATTCACTGACCCTTATCGACACCCGTGAAACATTATACAGTGTGTGTGCGCGGAACCTCATGCTTCGACGATAAACGCGAACGCGCTTTTGTGCCCCCCATCGATCGTGTTTAGGTGTTAACGCGCCGACGAGACGGTGATGAAGTTCGCAAAGTGAGACAACGCACCTAAACATCACCAGCCGCGGGACTGACTGGAGCAGAGAGCTAGAGCGCGATCTGGTACCGGAGTGGCGGCTCAAGTACTTAGACTACAAGGTGATGCCGACTTCCGCTAGCCGACGCTTAATACCGCAGACGACTGACGATATCTCAGGTGGGCAAGAAGAAGCTCAAGGCCATCAGTCGCGCCCTCCGCAATGTCGAATCGACCCCACGCCTCCGCCGACGCGGCACTCAGATCCTCCCCTCGCCCTTCGACGCCGCGCCCAAGTACACGTACCTCAACCGCGACCAGACGGGCAGCGCCAGAGACCCTGAGGACTTGAGGGCACTTGCTATCACGAACAGCCGCAGCCAGCACAGCCTGCGCCAGAGGGCGAACAGCGATCAGAATGGCCGCTCGCCAGAAGAAGAGCCATTGGCACAGAGCGAGACAAATCGCCGAGACTGGGCACACAACTACGGCAGTTTTGGAGGAAGCACATCTGATGGCGCCACCAAGACCGGGACCTCTGCAGACAAGGCCAAGGCACCGCCGTCCTTAAAGCTGCCTGGGGCTGCGCTCGACCCTGAGAACCCTTCCCCTCAAGGGGGAGCGTCGGGCGCATCGCTACGAAAGCACAAGACGGTCACACTTCCTCCACCAGCAGAGCATGATAACGACAATGCCTTCGAGGTCGGGAAGACGGTGTCGCCCCACAAGCATCACAACTCGCTGCCCAACAGATACAAGAGCGTCTTCACCCCCAAGCGCATGAACTCCCTACCTGGGCCTATCACCGAACATAAGTCGCGCCCATCGGTACGCCGTCTGTTCTCATTGAGCAGCAAGACTCCTCCGGACAGCCCAGGCGACGTCCCCCTCGAAGCCTATCGCGACCTTGACTTCCGACAAGCCGAGTTCTTCAACTTCCTCGATAGCGAGCTGGATAAGATCGAGTCGTTCTACAAGCACAAGGAAGACGAGGCTACCAAGCGCCTGAACATGCTCCGTGACCAACTTCACATCATGCGAGACCGACGTATCGACGAGGTCATCAAGCGTCAAACGGACAAGATCAATGCGAAAACCCATAAGAAACATGACGGGCACCATGTGCTGAGCAACGGTCAGAACAGTAGCTCAGGCGACGAAAATCAGCAAGCCAACGGGAATGGGAATATTGGAAGCACTCTAAAGGACACTTTTTTAAACCCCATAGACGCCGCGTTGGACGCCATCAACGCTGGCAAGTACGGGAAAAGCACCAAGAACATAACACAGCTTGCAACTCCAGCGGCTCTTCAGCCCAAGGACCATCCCGATAGCCGTCGCGACTTTGCTAGACGACCAGAACTGCCCGATGTGCCATACCAGACAGCGAAACGCAAGCTCAAGGTGGCACTGCAGGAGTACTACAGAGGACTCGAGCTCCTCAAGTCCTACGCGTTACTAAACCGGACTGCCTTCCGGAAGATCAACAAGAAGTACGACAAGACCGTCAACGCGCGACCGTCATCGCGGTACATGAACGAAAAGGTTAACCAAGCCTGGTTCGTGAACAGCGATGTCATCGAAGGGCATATTCGAGCAACGGAAGACCTATACGCGAGGTACTTCGAGAAGGGCAACCACAAAGTCGCCATCGGGAAGCTACGCATCAAGATCGCACGCGCAGGCGATTACACAGACAACACATTCCGCAACGGTCTGCTATTGTCGGCGGGTGTCATACTTGGCATCCAGGGTCTCATCAAAGCAAACACTATTGCCGATCTGCACAACACTGACGGGAACGAGTTCGCAGTGAACACAAGCTATCTGTTACAGGTGAGTTCATTCAAACCATGGACAGGGCAAAGCTAACATCTTCAGATATATGCCGGCTACTTCCTCATCAACTTCCTTCTTCTCTTGTTCACTCTGGCATGTCGGACCTGGCACGAGCACAAGATCAACTATGTCTTCATCTTCGAATATGATACCCGCCACCACTTGGATTGGAGGCAACTTGCGGAGGTTAGTGCTCATTCCGTATCTGGCACGCTGACACTGACATATCACAGCTTCCTTGTTGGACTTTATTTATGCTTGGGCTGTTTATGCAAATAAACTTTCATCAGGTTGGGGGAGATCGACTTTATCTCTACTACCCAGTCATTCTTATTGGTATATCGGTTGCGCTTTTGTTCAATCCTCTGAGGATAATGTACTTCCGCACTCGCATGTGGCTGCTGTACTCGCTGGTAAGTTTATTGATCAGTTTGTGCGAAACCGCTGCTAACGCATAGCCAGTGGCGCCTGTTGCTCGCCGGTATATACCCTGTCGAATGGCGAGACTTCTACTTGGGCGATATGTTTTGTTCCCTGACCTACAGCATGAGTGTAAGTTCGCCGAACCCATCTTTGCTCCAAATCACTGACTCATCTAGGGTATCGCACTGTTTTTCTGTCTCTACGCGCACGGCTGGGATAACCCCAACCAATGCAACTCGTCTCACCTGCGCGTTACCGGCGTTATGACAACTTTGCCGGGCATATGGCGATTGATGCAATGTCTACGACGTTACAAAGACACCGGAAACAAGTTCCCTCATCTGCTGAACGGCGGAAAGTACATTGCAACCATCTTGTTCTATGTTTCCACCAGCATCTACCGCATGGACCAGAAACCGTCTACCAAGGCAGTGTTCATACTGTTCGCAACCATCAATGGCATCTACACGAGCTTCTGGGACATCTACTACGATTGGAGTCTCGGTGATCCGCATGCCAAGCATCCCTTCCTGCGCAAGGAGCTGGGATACAAGAAGGTATGGTGGTACTACACTGCTATGTGCATTGACCCAATCTTGCGGAACAATTGGGTTATGTACCTTGTCACACCCCTACAGCTTCAGCACTCGGCGACTACCTCGTTCTGCGTCTCCCTCAGTGAGATCTTCAGAAGAGGCATGTGGTCCGTATTCCGTGTCGAGAACGAGCACTGTACCAATGTCGGTCGATTCCGCGCAAGCAGAGACGTACCACTACCCTACTACCTACCCCTGGACGCAGAGGAGGAAGAGGACCACACCTCTGGCATCCCTCGAGCACCTACCCTCATCGATGAAGAACAGCCCGACGAGCTCCGCCCATATACACCAACCGAGAACCAGAACCAAGTCCACCGACCAGCTACAGCGTCTGGAGCAGATCTCGAACACTCGCAATCAAACACGCGCAAGCGCCGCGGCCCTCAAGACGATTTCCGTCCTTCTCCTCTCCAGCGCGCGTTCACTCATGTCGGCGAGATTTTCCGCGACGCCCACGCTGAAGATTTCGAGCGCAAGACGAAGCCGGAGCTTGGCCGCGATCCTCGCGATGCGAATAAAGCTGACGACGACGACACGGATGATGATTCGGACAATGAGGAGGAACAGGAGCAGGAGCAGGACGCGTTGGTCAATGTGGATGGTAGCGATGGTTCGGATAGCAGACACAGCATTGCTGAGGTCGAAGTAGATGAAGAGGTCGCAGATGAAGAGGAGCAGAGTGCATTGTCGAGGATACGCGAGGACTTCAATATTGGAGTTACCGGGGCGCGGAGCGATCATACGCATCAGAAGTAGTCTGCGACAATAACGTGTACGCCCGTTGGTTGTTGCTGGATGAGTCTGGAGATGGCAGTCTTCGTCATAGTTTCGTTTCCTTCGTTCTAGTCTACACCTATTCTTTTGAAGCTTCTGGCGTCTTGGGGCATCATCTGAAAACACAGTTCTCGCCGTTGGTAAAATGGTTCACGTAGGAGACTCTACAAGGGTCTGATAAGATCACACCTGTAAGCACTCCATGAGCGTTTTATGGATACATTTACAAGTACTTTCCTCCAAATTCTAACCACCACAGCAGCCTCCGAAATACCTCGGGCAGCATTATTAAGATTACTCAACCCTTATCGTCATTCCATCAACATGACACAAAAAGAACACCTCCACCGCCTCATTTCTCGAACCTTCGTCGCCTTCGTCGCCTATTCTATTTGTCATTCTACGTTGATCTGCATGCGCATGGTTGCCACATTCCACGTGGAACGGAACATAAACAACGTGGTACGGAGACAAAACCAGATTCGCGGAAACGCCAAGTTGTCATGATATTCCTCTTGTAGGCTTTCTTGTGGTTAGTACACGTGTACTAGCGGCGTGCACGTCAGCGCTGTAGTTGCTTTTTCCCGCCAAGAACCAATGGCACGGTGCGCTAGAAGAACATGAAGGAACAGCGCAGTAGAAAAAGGTGTTTCAGCGACCGAGTCATCGGGCTCTACGCGAGGCTGAGGCTGAGTGCGGTGAAGAGAAAAAAAGTGGCGAATGGGGTAGTGGAGAGTGATTCGTACATTGGGCTGGCAATGTAATCTCGTGAGTCATGATAAGTACGAAAGATGAGTGATGAGATTCGGGGGAACGAGTACTGTATGAGAAGGAACAGGGCACTGAAGTAAATGAGTGAGGTAGGGAATATGGAAATGGATGGCTGGCTAGATGTGTAGTTTATGAAAGGACGGCGTCTTGGTTAGGTAGGTTAGCAATGGTGAGGTCGTCCTCGCCGAATACCCCACGGCGCACAAACCTTCTTCTCGCTCGCTATACGTATGGAAATACGACGGAGCACAGCCCGGAAGAAAGAAGTTGCTCAAAAGAACCATTGGGTTATCCGAATCCAAATTCGAAGGTCTCTCTTCACGTCTAAATACTGTCTCTTCCGACGCCGGGCTTGGAGAAGATATATTCAAGCAC